GGCGGCCACTACAACATGGTGCAGCGGAAGCTAGAGAGACGGACGCATAGCACCGCTGTAATGCAGCCAGGCTCACCTTGCGTCTGCGGCACGGCTCGCACGAGAACGCGCTCTTCTTGGTGGCTTTTGCCGACGACATGGCAGGCCACCGGCGCGGCGAATACGATGGTCTGCGAGGGAGATAATTGCTGGTGATTGCTCAAAAATGAACCCTGTGCTTGGCTCGCAGACAATTGGGGGTCTAAGCCCAAGCACTGCCCCGCGTCTCATGCAGTTAGATCCCCGCTCCCCTGTCCAAAGTGCCAGCGTCTCAGTGTCAAGTGAAAATTAGGCCACGGCCGGTGCCTGAGTGGATTGGCGTGTCGGGCAGTGAAAACCAGGCGCAATTGGCGGCGCAGATCGTGATGCCAAGAGGTCGACAATGGCCGAGTCGTGTGTGGTGGGCAGCAAGACAAGTGCCGGGCGGGTTTTGGCCATCAGCGTCGCTGGCGCCGATCACCTGACGCGCGCCGGACGAGCTCCTTCCCAAAACTCAAAACTGGCAACTGCACGCACCGGACTCGCCGCTGGACCGTCTGAATCAAAAGGCGAGGCTGTGCGTCCTGGTAGCCCGTTTGGGACGCCGAGCAGCTTGTGCGGATGCATCAGTTGTCGTCTAGCCTGACAAATGGAGATTTACCGCCGGCATCCGGTCTCGCAGCGCGGAGCTTTACGGAGCACCAGCGCGGTGGTGGATGAGTAATCAGGGGGATCGGATCTGGCTGCCTTAGCTTCATCGGCATTGGATCAAATACGAGCATCCAGGTGATGAGCGGTGCTGCGGCTGGATTTTAGGCAGTGGTATAGGGCCGTATCACCAATCGGAGAGGGCCTTTCACTCGAGCTGAGCAGAACAGCACCCCCCATGTCGAGCGCTGCATCTGCGCTGCATCTGATCCCAGTCGATGTAAGAATGTCACAACATCTCATTAGCACCGTCTGCTTGAAGCGTCAATGCATGCATAGCAGTATATCTCGCTTATCAAAGGAGCTGATTGAATATGGATGTGTATCAGAGCTCTTATCATCTCATTTCTCTCATACAAGATACCCATTTACTCAAATTCAGCTGTTCTGTTGGTACGGGGGTCTCGGAGGAGTCAACCGGCCCGGGCCGGCTGTGGGGCTCGGCCATAAGGCTGATTGCATCATACATGATTACATGTCTTAAACAGGCTCTTTATCTTGTCTTAGGGACGCGGTACGAGAGTAACAGAAGGTTTTCCAAAGTAGCCAATTATCATCTAGCATACTGACTGAATGGGAATTAACCGCAAAGTGTCCAAAACATGCATCGCTCCGTTTACTAGACATCACACCAAGCCTCCGGCACGCGGGCTTTTCAATTGGTCATTTTACGTTAATATATTCGCATTTCTAGGCCGTTACTTATATACACATTATAAGTTCATATTAGATTTACTGAGAGCAGAGGCTGTTGTGGACGGAAGGGGGGTTGGAAGAAGCGTCGCCCCAGTTGTAGCTGCTGAGGAGCTGGCCCAGAGCAGTTGAGCCATCGGCACGAAGGTAGTCAGCTGCGACGCGACACATTAGCAACGAATACCAAAACAAGTACATCAGGGTTGGCTGGTAATTGAGGAGTGTTACTTACAGGCAACGGGGAAATACCACCAGTCCTGGCTACGGAAAGCGTTGTCATCAAGCTGAGAAAGAGGGTCGTTCCAGCCCTGTTGTGCCACATGAGTTAGAAGCAGTTTTAATATTTCAGATATAAGAATGCTTATTCTTACCGTGTTGCGGTCGTCGTAGTTGGGGTGCTTGCTCCACGCAACGTAGACCTAGGGACCAGTCAGTAAATGTCTCTGAAGCCAACGAATGCGCCCATTCTAGACGTTCAAACGGAAGCCTTACCTTGGGGTGGTCGAGGTTTTGGCGTCCGTTGGCACCTCCTAGTGCAAGAGTTCCGTCGGCAGTGTTGAATGTGTTCTGGATGTCGGCCCAGTTGAATCTGCCATAGCCGGAGTGCTGAGAAAGCAGAGCCTGGTTCTGCACCCAGTTTCCATCTGAACCCTGTGCCCACTCGATAATGACACGCTCCCAGTCGCTTGAGGCTGTTAGTGAATTGAACGTGGGCTTGTTCCAATTATCCAACACTTACTATGGGTGGCCCAGAATGCCCTCAGGCTCAGTACTAAATTGAGTTCAGTCAGCATCGTAAAGCTTCATACTGGGCAAAGCTCATTTGGAGGCCGATCCTTACCCGTCCTTCTCGTAGAACAGCGAGTACTGGATTCGGATAGTGGTAGAATTGCACTTCTCGTAGCTGTAGTAGGTAGGGAATGAAGGCGATGGGTTCGAGATGGCAACGCCTGGGGTGCGGCAGTTGCAGCCAACGTTGGGGTACGCGCAAAGAGCAGCCGAGGGGGTCTGCGATCCATCGGGCTGCGTCGCGAAAGTTGGGATGCACGGGGGCTGGCTCATGGCCTGGCCGAAGAACCACATGGGCTGGGCCTTCATGGCGAGCTCGACACCTCCGGCGTTGAGGAGGTTGGTCATGTCGGAGTCGGAGATGGGAGTGATGGCGGCAGCCATCGAGACGAGGCCGGAGCCGGCAATGAGGCTCTTCATGGTTGATCCCTTCATCTTGATTCACGCAGCAGATGCCGATGAGTATCCGTTTGATATAGTAAAAGAAGGCGGCTGCGAGAGAAGGAAGGACAAGCCAGTACAAAGGGCGGTTGCTTCATTATATACCACATCTTGTCTGCCATTCTACTGTACGTCCTTGTGCTCGTTTGAGGAAGCCCAGAAGCTCGTGATGGAACCAGCGGTAGCATGGTGATCCATGTCTCAATAGGCTACTGGTGTTGACCTGCCTATTCCGTTTGACTAAGAACAAAGACACCAGCACTCACTAATCAATTTACGAGATGGAGCCAAGGTCTGCGTAGCATGAAGCCGGAATGCTATTGCTAGTAGCCCTTGGTAGGCCCTTTTGGGCTTGTTCGACCGACAACGCTTTGTGGCGGCGCTTGAGATGGAGACAATACGGCAGGTCTCCGGCCGATAGACTGCGGCCTGTCCTGAGTTCAGTGCTTACACTGTCACATCGGGCTGTCACATCATCTGCAAGCAACGTTTAGCCCCCTGGCTAGATTGATGGGGCGCTTCTAAAGCAAGTGCCAATTTAGGATGGGTGGAAACCCGCGGGGAGGCGGGCGTAGCCTTTCGTGGAAATATTTTTGCATTTCAGTTGGGGTTTCGGATAATCCAAACAGTAGATTAAAATTCAAAAATCGTTTACATTTTGCGTCATGAGAAGAAGGAAAATCAGTGCGAGTTGTACTTTGGGATACAGCCGCTGTCGAAATGGCGGCATTGATACATGATCCGCACTTATACATGATCTCGTCCACCTGATATGCCTGGCAGCATGACTTTGCCCTGTGAAGCCTTGTACACCGTAGTTTCAAATCAAGTGCCTCCATGTTACCCCGTAAGACAGCCAAGCGATCGGCGCACGAATCCCAAGACCGCTAGTCTTCTTCAGCTGATCAAGCTGCATTCCACACCATTTTCCCACCTATTAATTCATTCCAAGTACAGCGAATTCTGTTTGCGTTGTCTATTCTTGCGATGCAAATTTATCCGTCAGGTTTGATTTTTGCCCTTAATTTTTTTGGTTTTTCCTTTTCTCTTTTCAAAGTGCAACAACTTTTGGATTGCTGTCCAGGTGGGAATAAGTGAAGCGAAGACGTGAGGCGATGCCCGACTAATTTCCAGAGGGGAAAACGGGAATTGCTGATCTTGGACATAAGGCCGATAAGCATTTGGCAGGGGCCTAGTATATAATCATGGTTATTCTACCATGTTCGGACTGGACGGATATGCGGATATGCTACTTTAGCTCGTGATTGAGCATCTCCAGCCTCATGGCGTCGGTGTCGAAATAGTTCAAGAAACTTTTCTGAAGAACCCTCGTGGTCGCTTCCATAGGATAGCAGTCGTCCAGGTCGAATGAATGAGAAAAGCGTTGAGCGCGATATGCGCATCGACAGATTGGTCATGAGTTCTCAAGATTAAAGCGCGCCCAGGTGCTCGAGAGACACGACGGGATTGGCCGTTTGCAGTGTGGGGGGAAAATCATGAACAAAATTGTGTAGAACGCAACTAATAGATGCTGCATCTCAACGGTCACAATTGAAAATGAAGGCATAATGCGATAAAATCTAGACACGGGGCACTACGAGCTCTAAGCGATGTTGATGAAATAACGCGGGCAAAGAAGGCTGGGTTGGCTGTACAGTAGGGTGTTGTCTCCGATGTTAGCGAAGAGAAAAAGAGAAAGTATTGACTCAGTGTAACCAAATGGGTGATATTTGCCTCAAGCTGGCGTTTGAAGATGGCCAATGACAACGATTATTCAAGATATATAGTCGCTCTCACATGCAAATAAGGTCTACGAAATTGTACTACTCCGATAATACTATCTTAAGACTGTATTATCAGACAGCGATGAAATAGTCTAGAACGAGCAAATAGGCCGACCCCGAAGCTTTTGCGCTTTAGACTCATAGTGCAGGTGAGATTGAAAGTCTCGCGCTGAAGACAGATAAACGGCATTTTATCATGGAAATACAACAGGCCAAAAAAGAAAAAAAGTCGCGAGCAAATAAAATGAGACGTAAATAGAGCCAAAGACGCGCCGAATATACTTTTGTCACACCTGCTCAATTGGTGGAATGGTCCCGGTGGGGATGATTTTCGTCCAGGTTAAGGCTCCTTTAACCCAACCAAGGATGGTTATTTTTGTAGAATCTTGGCCCGTGGTCACGCGCCGTTACATATTTGTTATCATTGTTTTATTTCAAGATGCTTTGATCGTCATGTTTACTTCTTCATGTTTCCATGCCAGTGCTGCCCAACAACTTCACTCCTCTGACTACGCGGACCACCCAAGGCTGAAAGTCGACCGTTGATTGTTACATGCGCCCTGCCTCCTATGCAAGCCGGTCGCTCAGCTCTTTCCCTGCAATCCACGCCTCCAAGTCCTTAGCAGCCTGCTCATAAAACCCTGCGATAGCCTCCTCCTCAACGTAGCCCGTGTGAGGCGTGAGCAGTACATGGCTGGTGCCATCCTTGCCCCAGTTGGGATTCCTCCACTCGCTGTCAGGAGGAAGAGGCTCCTTCCAGAACACATCGAGCCCGACGCCTCGGATCTTTCCAGCCTTGGCGATGTTGAGTAGATCCTGTTCGACAACGAGCGGGCCTCTCGAAGTATTGACGAAGAAGGATGACGGCTTCATCAGGTCTAAATCGTTGGATGTAACAAAGCCCCGGGTGCGGTCCGAGAGCACGACGTGCAAGCTGACGACGTCGGCGGTCTTGAAGAGCTCCTCCCGACTGACAGCCTTGAACGTCTTTTCCCCATCAGCAGTTGTCGCTGGCAGCCTGAAGTAAGCGGCCTGCTCATCGGCCTTTTCCTGAGTCAGATTTTGGCTCCAGGCGATGATCTTCATGCCAAAGCCAAGGTGGAAGATCCTCGCGGCGGCACCGCCCAGACGGCCCAGTCCGACTATGCCCAGCGTCTTGCCGGACAAGGATGTGCAGAGGCCGCTTTGCCAGATGCCCGCCTTGACGCCCGCGTCGTCGTCTGCGATGTTGCGCGCGAGGGCCAGGATCATGGTCACAATGTGCTCGACCGTGCTCTCAACGGCATTTTCCACGGTGGCATGATTGTGGATTGCTGTGGCGATGGGAATGCCCCGGGCTTTGAAGGCATCCAGATCTAGCGATAGATTTCGTCGTCCCTGGGTTAGGAGGAGCTGGAGATTGGGTAGCTGGTTCACCAGTTCGGCGGGAAATGGCGTCCGCTCTCTTACGGTGCCTGGGCATATTTAGCATTGATACTCACTACAGGATTGCAAAGATGCTGCATACTGATGACGTTGAATGGCTCAAGTCTCTTTACCAGAGCGTCTTTAACTGACTGCGGGGTGTCTGCGCCGTTATATGGCGGCAGGGTATCTGGGAAGTAGACAATCTCATGGTCGTCCTTGAACTTTGCCAAGTATGGCTCAGACGCCCTTTGGTAGTCGTCTAGAACGGCAATCTTGAGTCTCTTGGCAGCCATTTTTGATGAGTTGACTGGGTTCAATGACTGTCAAGTCTTGCTTTGCCGTCAAACAGCACCGAGTTTGACGAGATGAGATTACTGACTGTTGCGATTGCGACATCGCTTCTTCAGTCTGTTTAAATCCGCGTACAGTTACCGTAGAGAATTAATACTGTACGTCATCCTCCACATCAATATGGAGGCACTGCACTTTTATCCCACGGTGGCTTTCATTGCGTGACAGCCCATGAATGAGTTGACCGTATCAAAAGCCACCCAAATTAACAATGGAAGGGGAAAGAGTTTTGCCCAAGAGTACCAAGATGTCGCGATAACATTCGCGACTGTGTGGCGCAATCTGGATGGTGAGTCGGGTGCAAGTACTGCAAGCCTATGGAAGCCTGGAGAGAATATCCTAGTGAGTTGAGGCTGGATATTCCTTCGTCGAGCATAGTCGTGAAGTTTCCAAAAGAGGAAATTCAACAGGTAGAGCTCCAGGAAGAGCATCTTTGCAGCTAGCCAAAAGTATCGGGCTAGGATCAAGACTCTAATTCCGAGGCAAAGCCACGCTGAGTCTTGGCGCAAGGGATAGTATCCTTTTTGCAAACGGATAAGGATCCTATTGCGAGCCTCTATCGGTGTCGAAGTAGTGCAGATTCGAACATATTGAAAGATGAGACTGAAGATGATGCGCCACCGCAGGCAGAGCCACGAGGAGTGGCTGTCGCGTTCAAAAGGTGGCGTTTCCAAGAGCCATCCATTAGTGCATCTGAGATATTCCATCTAATACGGGTGTTGAGATCTGAGATGCGGAGATGTTTGAAGCTCTGAAGAATAGACGTGCCGCATATTATTCGCGTCGACTTTGAGCGGTTCACGCGAGTGAGATTGTGTGAGGAATATCCGTGCGAGTTGTGAATAAATACTGTATATTCGTACCGTGTTTGCTGCTAGGAGAGCACTATTCTTTACCTTTGAGTGTTATAGTATTTACATACGTGTATATGGAAACTTGAATATGAAGAATATTGATTTCTCAAAGCCTTAAATTGTAACATGTTATTTTGCGCTTCTTAGTGAATGTAGCTTCAACATTCTCATATCAACAACCGAGGGTTAATTGCCAAACAACTTTCTGATTCCATATTACAACAGCCATGTATACAAGTCACGTTGAATCTTACCTAGATTGATATAGAACTTCTTTTGCAGAGCAACTTCTACCAAAAGTCATCGACTATACATATTATAAAGCTACGTATCTAATAAGTATTTAACCCTTGTTGTAAAATTACATAATATTTGAATATTTACCACTTCTGCCCCGCAAATGCCCATTAACGGGTTACTGCAAAAAGAAGGTACACCTATTAGTTGAGAGGTGTTATCTTACCTAGCAATCAACTCAAAAGTGACTCAATTCAAAACACTAGGAAGGATGAACCATTTGGCATCTGGAGGTGGTCAAGTTCAACGCAAAGATCCCAAAGATGGCATGAACGATTTTCCATCTTGGCGCGTTGGAATGAGTGCCTGGTATTGAGGCTTACAAGCCAAGCTTGTTAGTGCGGATAGCATATGACCATGGCGGAAATAAGATCAGATGTTGGTTGACAGAATAGGTACATGTAGACAGCAATGAACTTGCACTCGTTGAGTTGTCTTGTGTGAGCCTAGTAGATGTATGTATTGAGGCTCTGCGTGGCGTATACCAAAGGAGTTGTATGTCAACTGCCGGCCATGTATGATTCCTAATAGCTCTGAGGGGCGAGCCGTCTTTACTCTGTAGCATACACCTAGTCACCTATACCACGACGGCTCATTGATAATAGGTGAATCAGTAGTATCAATACCGAGGGATAGGAGCGTTTCTACGCAGCCAATCGGCTCTCGCTCCTTTGCCTCTCGCCAAGCCATCTTGCAGGATAGTCCCTATTAGCATGAGCTAGTTTTTTCTTCTTGCCCGACCCTTTTCATATGCAAGTCGCAAACATCGGAATTATAGGCGGCGGAATTGTCAGCAACCGTCCGGACAGGCGTATAAGCGGCGTATTTCCGGCGAGGATGTCTCCCGCTCGCGTGGCAAAATAGGATATCGATAAGGCTAATGCTGCAGCTTGCCCGTGGCAGAAAGCGATCTCTGCATTGGAATAATTCCGCTGCTCCACCACGGCTGAAGGTTCCATGATCCTGCGATCTATCACTGGGCAAGGGCAATGCTTTGTCTCATAGGACTGCGGCACGGCCAAGTGGACTCAGATGCTGGCTATAGATTTGGACTTTTCGCGGGCTGACAAATGTAGCTCTCGCAGCTCTGCAAATACCCCCAAGTCCTCCCACTGCGGAAATCGACGTGTTAGTTCTCTTGGTCTCTTATTCCGCCTCTCGGACTCAACGCCCAGTTGACATCAGACGATAGCCAACAGCGTCACTGCGCCGGTTGCTCTGTTGAGTGCCTCCCGGATATCCCGTTCCCGTTCCTGCTCCGCTGCTTCGGGCAATCAGGCTCTCCTGGCAAAACTCCATCTCCGGGGGCCATGACCAACATCGGCAAAGCCTGCGAGGCCTGCCGGGTCCGGAAAACGAGATGCGACGGCAGCGAACCGTGTGCCCGCTGCATCAACCGGAACGTCTCGTGCGTCTACCGTACTCGGACCAGGAACCGGCCGCGCAAGTCGCAGGCGCCGGCCGCGGCCACGGTGGCCTCGTCGGCCTCGAGCAACTCGGACGACACGCCCGGATCGTCTCACTCGGCCCACGAGTCGCAGACCAGCAAGCCCAAGGACGACAACAGCTGGGGCTTCCACGTGCACAGCGTGGCCGCCATCACGACGTCGCCATCGTCCATCATCCAGCTGCACTACGGGCCGTCGTCCAACTTCTCCATGCTGCACTCCATCTACCGGCTCATCACAGGCATCCAGACCCCACTAACACGGCGTGAGGAGGTGGCCCAGGTCGGCCCCGGGCTGGATCTGTTTCAGAACCGGCAGCTCTTCTTTGGCGACTTGGCCGACAGCAAGTCGACGACAATATCAAACGACTACTCCGGCATGTTCCTCAACAGAGAGCTGTGCGATCGCGTGCTGGAGCGGTATCTGGCCACCTACTGGCACCTGCTGCCCATCCTGACCAAGGAGGACTTCCGTCGCCGCTCCGATCTGCTCTACTCATCGCCAGGCCTCTTCTCTTTCGACTCCCCCGATGTCGTGGTGGTCATGCTGGCCATGGCCATTGGCGCCTCAATCCTCGAAGAAGAAACCCTGGCACAGTTTCTCTTTCAGCGGGCGTCACAGGGAGCCGAGAAGCTGGCCGAATTGGTCAACATCCAGGCAATTCATATTCCATTGCTGCAGGCACAATTCCAGATGGAGAGATCTCGACCGCATTCTGCATTTTTATATGTTGGAGTGGCCACGAGGAAAGCAGTGGCAGCAGGTCTACATAGGGGCATCAGCATCCGAGGTCAGATGCGAGACTGCTTGCAGCGCCGTCTGACTTTTTGGAGTCTGTTCATCCAAGAAACGTATGTGCATTTTTGCTTCTCCATCCCATGTGTATTTTATAAAAGTGTTGCATCATGTTGCTGACGTGAATTCTGCAGCTGGATTTGCTTCTGCCTCGGACGTCCGACATCCATTTCAGATCCAGGCAGTGGAGTTCCCGTGCCAGCCGAAGAAAAGTATCTGCTGGCCCTTGTGAGGCTGGCAAGGCTCATCTCGAAATGTGCGGCACGTATCTATAACCAACGCCACGAGTCGCTACTCCACATGTGGAACGCCGCAACGGAGCTTCGACACGAGCTTCAGGCGTATGTGGAGCAGCAACTGTACGAAGTTCACCTCGATATCCAAGGAGAGCCGGGCACTGGCGAATGTGGATTTTGCAAGACCATCATGGCTTCAAGTATGTCAAGAAATACAATCTGCTCTTTATGCACCATCGGAAACTAACGACTTCTGCTTCTTAGTGTATTACCATGCTCAGCTATTAATGTTCCGCCCCTTCCTTGTTCTGAGGGGGAAACTGAGAAGCCCGGCACCCCAGGCCGGCGCTGAATCCAGCGATAAGCTTCGAGAGCTGACTTGGCTGGATACTGCATGTGAATACTGCCTGGAGCCGGCTCGCCAGATTATCAAGTACATCAACAAGTCCTGCGAGATCAATCCTCTTTGCAAGGTATGTGCGAAAGCTTGCCGAAAAATGGACCTCGACTTACACTATTCCACCAGGATACGAAATACTTTTCCTTCTTCCTTGAAGGCGCCTGCTACGTCCTGGGATTTGACATGCTCCAGGACAAAACCAAAGTAGACACTCACCTGCCGTGGCTTCATGTCGCTCTAGAGTGCCTCTCCACCATGTCTCCAACCAACGAGGCATCCCCTTCTCAGACGCAGATTCTCATCAAGGCCATCAACCGCATCATCTGCACAGTTGCCCCCTGCGCCAACTGTCCCTGCCGCAGAATGGACACAGCCCTCGCCGAGACTCCTCAATGCCCAACCGACCCAGCACTCCCGCTGGCCAACAACCTGATGACGCCCTCCGATACTTCTGTATCTGCGTATCCGCCATCCGCACCGTCCATGTCACTAAGCTACTATGCGCCAACCGGCTCCCGAGAGTCTATCCCGCCGATTCTCTCTTCCTGTGCTGACGGCCACTCTTGCGTCATGAATCTTCCGGGAGCTCAGGATCCGGATTTTGACTGGAGGATGATTGACGTGGAGACGCTCATGTCGATTGATCCGTTCGAATTCATCTTAAATGCGAGGATGAATGAAGAAGGAGGGCAGGCAATGATGTGAAGCACCTCTGGCGTCTCTTTGTCTTCATCTTTTTTTCGCCTTAGATTGTTTTATATTCTGTTCACAGATTGAATTATTGAGCATTGATACTCTAGTAAGATTTTATACGCGTTTATGAGAGGGAAAGGCGCTTTTTTTCTTCTTTATTTGGTTGGGGTGAAGGCATGGAGCATTTGCATGATTTAGTTTAACACTGTACCTGGTTATTCATTATCCAGGATGAGCCAGCCTCTCTTTCGGAAGCGAATTGATGTTTATACAAATTTGAATTACATAGCTATACCAGCTCGAAGCAACATTTATACAAGGATGGATAAAATAGTTGTACAGGCTCGAATTAACGTTGTGCAAACTCAAAGCACAACGTGTCTCAAAGTGGTAGTAGTTCCAAGTTTCCCCTCTTGTTTTGTGAGTTGACAGCCCAAAACGATAGATGTGTATTTTATTCATTTACTGGCACAGGAGCGATGAAATGGTGTTACCAAGAAAGTGAGAGATCATTCATCGCGCCATCCCTCCAATATAAGTTGAGCGAACGACTCTTTTACCAAGCACAGCGGAAATACGGAAATTGGCACGAAACTGAAGCTAACAAATCAACCACTACCACGCTAATCAAAACGCCTCCACCTCGCGCGCGCTTGTTACGATATACACGTATAATGTACGCCATGGCCAGCATCATTATCAATCTGCAGCCTTGTTTCTCCGAGAGCTACTAGTCAAGGGTGGGTAGCCACGATTTGAAATCATGAGGCTGGAGGGTCAGCCTGGCGTTGCTGATTCGATGGCGTTGTTAGATACGGCTAATAGAAGGATCTGACGCCAGATCTGGCGAGATCTGACCACGAGGCTATGGATACTGGGCGTGTGCTAGTGTGATTGTGTGTTGTGGAGGATTGTGGCCTCATATTGCAGCAAATACAGAACTGATGTTGGCGAGCTTACAAATTCTGATTGATAAATCATTGGTAACAAAGTTGTATAAAAGGATGGGCATGTAATGAGCAATAAAGCAGTTGGAGAAAGCATCAGCATTCGTACAACAGCATCAAAAGCACTAACCACACAATCATCAACACCAAGCAACAACCTTCATCAACAACACCAACAATGGCTTCCCCAAAAGGCATCGCCCTCATCCTCGGCGCCGGCTCCAACGTCGGCCAAGCCCTTTCCAGCGCCTTCTCCCAGGCCGGCTACAAAGTCGCCCTCGTCTCGCGCTCCATCAAAGAATCCTCTTCAGACAAGCAAATCCAGATCCCCGCGGACCTCTCCAAGCCAGACACCGTCCCGTCAATCTTCGAGTCCGTCCGCCAGAAACTTGGCGCCGATCCTAACGTGGTCATTTACAACGCTGCATCTCTGACGCCACCGTCGGACAGCTCCAACCCCTTTACCGTTGATATTGATTCTTTTGAGAAGGATCTGAGGCTGAGCAACACTTCGGCTTATGTTGCGGCGAGAGAGGCTGTCGCGGGCTTTGAGAGGCTGGATAAAAGTTTGTCAAAGGCTTTCATCTACACTGGCAATTGGCTCAATGCAGTGACAATGTCCAAGCCGGTTTTCGTTACGCTCGCTACTGGTAAGAGCGCTGCCGCCGCTTGGATTGGTGGTGCAAGCGTTCATTATAAGAGCAAGGGCTACGGGTAAGTCTTTTTACGCTTTATATGTATAGATCTAGATGGGCTAACAACAATATTCTGTAGCTTCTATTTCGCTGATGAGCGTACTGCCGAAGGAAGAGCAGTTACCACTGGCGTTTCAGGAGCTGCTCACGCAGAGGCGTATCTGAAGCTGGCTGAAGGCAAGGCTGATCAGCCGTGGCACACGACTTTTGTTGATGGAAAGGGCTTTGTTGACTTTCCCGAGACCCGAAAGGCCTACATTGACTCATAAAGCTCTAATCGTATGCAAATTGTAGCGAAGTATTAGTGTTTTGTCAAACCTGAATAAATCTGTTACTATAATCTTATGTGTTTTAAAGGCTTTACTATCAATGTCTGTTTCAGGGGGCAATGACAACATATTGCCCCGGCCCAGCATTCTCCTTTGCAGCCGTAAAAGCCTGATCCCACTCGTCAAGCCCAAACTTGCCCTCGACACGAGCTCCAATCTTGTCTCCCAGCCCCATGACGCCCGATTCCACCATCTTGATCAGCATTCTAATGTCTTTCCTCTCGTACATGAACTTTCCATGGAGCTTCAAGTCGTTAAACGTGATTACCGCGTACGGGATGGCAATATCGCCCGCAATACCGCCCATGAGGCTGACGCGGCCGGAGTGAGCGAGGGACAGGATGCCGCTTTTTATGTGCGTCGAAGAGGCAGCCATTGGCGGCGAAATGTCGAAAAAGACGTCGATTGGGCCGTGCTTCTTGATGGCTGCCGTGTCGTTCTCAACGTCTCCGGTTATCTGGACCGTCTTGGTCTTGCTGCTTGAGGCGGCAAGCTTCTCTAGCACTTGGCCGTTTCTCCCCATTGCAACCACATTGGCGCCTAATGCGAGAGCGAGGCTCACTGCCGCGGTGCCATAGGGACCAGTCGCTGGAGCGATGAGAATAGTCTCTCCTACTTTGAGATCAACATCTCTGAATCCTCCAAATGGGACAAGGAGGCGATGGATGTATAAGAGGTCGTCGATAGAGTAGCCCAAGCCACCGCTGGCAGGATCTCCAAGAAGACGCGCCTCATCCAACCCATAGCAGTTCTCCAGAGGGACTTTTTGATACTCGGCATATGTCGAATCCCGCCACTCGTCAGTAGCGAGTTTGACAGAGCCGCTTGAAAATCCATTGTGTATACCAATCAGGTAATTGGTCGATGTGTCGTCTCTGGCGCGAACCACGACATCCACAAGAACCAGCTGACCTGGAGCAAAGACTGTAGAATCAGGTCCTACGGCGGCAATTCTTCCAATTGCACTTCCGCCGGGAGTATATGGCTTTGGGTAGGGGTATGGCCGAGTGCCGTCGAAGATTTCGCGGCCGTATGAGAGGACGTTGGCCGCAAGCACTCGAACGACAACATTTCCTGAAGTTGCTTTTGGGGTTTCGAGCTGTTCGACTTTTAATGGGGAGTCGATTGACCGCAATACAAGAGCGCGGTGCGTGGGAGGGAGAGACGATTCTGAAGCCATTGTTATAAGTTGGTGATGATGGAAGTTGCAGTCCTTTAACAGTAAATGCTTTGTAGATTCTGAATGAACATTAGATATTATAAAAAATTTACCTTCATTTCATGAGCCTTTTATAATTATTTCTCCCTCCATTGTTAACCAAGTTTCTATGATTATTAATGTCCAGACTTATACGAGATTACCGGAGTTTGCTAAAGCCAAGCCTATTTCCGCAAACGTGCATCGGCGCCTTCAAGCTTAATTTTAGTCCGCGGGAACTGCTCGATTCCCCCCTCAATACGCGGATAATTATGAGTTAAATCCTTACAAATGCCATTACAGCAAATACCCATCATTTACACTAACTGGTCAATTCTTTCGTCATGTAGAAACAATAACGTAACACTGTAGCTGTCAATTCACTAACAAGGTTCATTGATCTATCTAAAGATTATCTAAGTAGCAACCAAGCCCAAAGAACAAGGAGAATCATCTAGTTGGGGATCCCCAAGTATCTCGTCGTTATCACCATAGCCTTCGTAGCTCCCGTCACCTTGACTGAAACCTCTTCGCCCGGAACAAGATCAATCAGGTTGTCGTCAAACTTGACCGACTCGTCGTCACATTCCAGGGCAACACCCTTGGTTGGTACATCCGAGCTTAGAATGACCAAGCTATTATCCTGAGAGAGCTTCGCACTTAGTTTCTGAGGCTGTTGTAGGTGCACATGCTTAAGCGGCTGAGGCCAGTCGACATAGCGGGCAAGCAGCTTGCCATCCTGGTAGATGTATGCTGCAACAATAGTGCGGCCCTCCAGCCCGGCGTTAGGAGTCTTTACAGGAATATCGATGACTGCCAGCTCAGTAGTTTGATTACCCAGTAACTGTTGTGATGACACGATGGTCTTGCTAAAGATTTCTTCAGCAGTCTCCACATCCCATGCCTTGACAACACAGTCGACTTTGATGTCGTCGAGCGTAAAGCTAGAAGCCCAAATCTCGAGCTTAGTCTTTACTTCGATATCAACTCTTGTGTATTTATCCTTGGGATGACGGTGTTCAACTCGCTTGATCCCAACGGTATAGGGGTTAAGCTCTCGTTTTACGGTAAAGTAGGCGAGCTTTGGTCGTAGATAGTAATCGCAGAGAGCCCAAGACGTCACGGGCCAGCAATCATTTAGCTGCCACACAAGAGCTCCGCTGCAGTATTCTCGTCCAGGGCCTTTCCATTCGCGGCGCCAGAGTCGGTACGCAGATGACAGGCACTCTCCTTGCATCAGCTGAGTAGAGTAGACATATTGTTCCAAGGGACTCGTGGTGTGGGTGATGTTCTCTGCCAGGTAAAGAGCAATTCGGCGCTCATGGCCATCGGCCTTGTTGTGGAAGTCCACAATGTCAGACTGCGGATGTCGATCCGGATCATCTTTACCCTTGGGCAGGTAAGCATCAATGGTTTTGACAGATGGGAAACCCTGCATGCCAAACTCTGAAACAAAGCGCCCGCTTAGCTTGTCGAAATTCTGATACTTCTCCTGACTGCCGTGCCACACATTCCACTGGTGAATATCTCCGACTGTTGGATCGCTCGATGACTTGCCGCCCCAAGGACTGCCAAAGTGATAGTATGTCTCGGGCACCAGGTCCTTGCACACTTGCACAAGGAGGTGCTCGTAAATGTAGCGAGCGGGGAAATCAGTCTTGAGCCAGCTCTGAGGATCTTTATCTTTGGGATCATATGTGAGCCCCTCGCTCTCCTGATACTGGTAGTCTTCGTTATTACCAGCGTAGATGACAATGCTGGGATGGTGTCTCAGGATCTTGACATTTTCTCTGGCCTCTCTATCGATGGATTCCAGCATCTCTGGCCAGCAGGGGTAGTTTCCACAAGCGAATGGAAAGTCAACCCAGACAAGAATTCCATTCTCATCACACGCATCGAGCAGGTTCTCATCCTCATAAACCCCGCCACCCCAGATACGCAGCATGGACTGATTCCCTTCAACCAAAAGCTTGACCCAATCCTGGTATTTTTGCTTGGTGATTCGTGGAGTGAAGTTGTCTGCGGGAATCCAGTTGCTGCCACCGCAGAACACTGGGACATTGTTGACCTGGAAGAAGAATGACGTTCCTGGTTGGTCTTTGAGCGGCTTCTGAACAAGCTCTACCTTTCGGATGCCTATTCTCTTCGACACAACGTCCACTTCATCGCTACCGTCAAGGAGTGTAGCAGTGATCGTGTACAGTGGCTGCTTTCCATACCGGAGAGGGTACCACAGCTCTGGTTTGCTGATGTCAAAGGTAGCTACCGCATCTCCTTTTGTAACATCAACAGTGTCACTCAGGGAAGTTTGACCAAGGGAGATGTCAAACCGCACCTTGGATGCCTTTCCTTCAGTTGCTGCATGGAGCACAACCTTGGCACTAGCAAGAGACTCATCGACAGTGACATTCGAGTATAAATCGGCGAGACGTGATTCGTATATCTCGAGGCTGATGGGCTTCCAGGGGCCGCACGTCAATAGTGTCGGGCCCCAGTCCCAGCCATAGTGATACTGGGCTTTTCGAACGGTGAGTCTGGAGGCGTCTCCATTCCAGACTCCCCACTTGTGCTGAGGATGCTGCTCCACTCGTTTCCACCCATTGACATTTACACTGTCAAAGGTGATGACCAGTTCGTTGTCTGTATCTTTGAGAAGTGCTGTGACATCCACCCGCTCGGGTATAAACATGTTGTCTGTTTCCAGAATCTTTTTGTCATTGAGCAGCACTTCGGCAAACGTATCCAGTCCGTCAAACGCGAGAATTGCTTTTTCTTGAGCTCCAATCTTAGGAGTCTTGAATGACGTGCGGTACTGCCAAGCGTTGACCTCTCCTACCCATTGCACATCCAGTTCATTTTTGCCAATGAAGGGATCAGGAATGAGGTTGTGATGCAACAGGTCAAGGTGGATGTTGGTGGGGAACTGGGCAACGGGCAGAAAAGAAAAGTCCTCGACATCTGTCCTCCTGAACTGCCAACCAGCGTCGATTGGGATGATGTTTCGGGGCGCCATTGCGGGGAATCTATTGGGCACCAAGTCTAGGTGGTGATGATGCTTGATTCCTTATCCACCGGAGTTATAAAGAGTGGAGAAGAGGGGAAAAGAGATTATCAAAGGGAAACTGATGAGAGAATGAAAACATAAAGCTCAAAAGTGAACTGAAGGTCAATACTTATACTTGCAAAGTACACGCTTAAAGGTTGTCGAGGTTGTAGGACGGAAGCTGGACCTCCGCGCCTTGAAGCGGCAAGGCGGGGTTTTTGGGGTATCGCAGATGCAGCACCTGCAGCAGTTCGCATCTTGACGCTGCAGGCAATTTATCACATTCGAAGCGCTGTATATTTTTAGAGACGGTATGACGCAAAATAATTCGTCATTGGGGATACATGGATACACGTACTACGCTTTAAATAGCCTATAAGCCTATACGCCATACGTGTGCACTGAGACGACAACGAGGCTATACTCTTCCAGATAGAACCAAGAATCATATTTTCGAAAAGATGATGGCGAACAAGTCAAAGAAAAATTGTGAAAACAAAAAGAGAAAGAAACTGTACTGCCAGTTTAAAAGCAGGACTCGAGCTTCTATGCCGTTCCCAAACGCCAACATTGCTTGCTGTCATTGATGTAAAAGCTCATCTCTGAATTAACAAAACGCAAAAGAGCTGATTATGCATATTCTTCCACAATTTCCTCCAGAATTTTTGCGCGCATATGGATATAAACATGGCTAAGCTCTCAAAAGACAAGAGAGAGTGTGTTGCTTGTGGTGTGTGAGTGAGTGTGTGTGGGTAAAGGAAAAGAAGGGGAAAAGGTCGTAGATGGTAGCTGTTTGACCCTTAACAACATCCTCTGCCCCTCCGGCGGCTGCTGAGCGTAAAGACATCTTCCCATTCTCTCAAATTCCAGTTCTGGCCTCGGCTCTTTCCTCGTCTGCGTCTCCGTGGGCCGCTCAAGCTCTCGTCCAACGTGCCGCCGGTGATTGAGCTCTTGATGCTGCCTCCATCGCTAGCGGTATTCCATCCGCCGTCACCGTACTGAATGCCACTCATGGGATCGTCCGGATCGATTTCGCCCAGCTCGATTTTCGTCAGGATCATCCTGGCTAATCGATTAAAGACCTCGTCTACACCTTCGCCGTTGAGCGCACTGACTTCTGTGACGACCGGGATGCCCACAGTGCTGGCCCATCGACTCGCCTCAGCAGACGATATCTCACGGCCCTCGGGCGCCTCCGTCGCTCTCTGTTGCGTGCCAACGCCAATGGAACCGGCATGATCTCTATATAAAGAGGGAGTTCCGCCGTTAAAGCCCGTCGCCGTAGAGCTCACGCTGCTGGGAGTAGCTGGAGGCAAACTTGTATCAATAAGGTTTTCTGAAGCCAAGTCCAGCTTATTTCCCACCAGCATGACGCTCAGATGAGGCGACGCCAGCGCTCTCGCATCGTTGAGAAACGGCTGCAGCCCTCGGAAAGACAGATGTGATGCGATGTCGTATACTAGAATTGCGCCCGCCGCTCCGCGATAGTAGGATCTCGAGACGGATCGGAAACGCTCGGTTCCGGCCGTATCCCATAACTATACCAGGCACATCATATGTCAGCACATTGGATCTTGGATCTTGTCAAGGCCAAGCGAGGGGCTGGCTGAAGTACCTGCAGTTTTATCCGCTTTCGTCGCGCCCCGCTCCCAACCTTTATTATTTTTGTTGCAAACTCGACTCCGATCGTCTGCGACGACAGCATCCTCCATTCATTCTTGACAAATCGATGGAGCAAACATGATCTGTTGGGGAAAAAGAATCTAGTTAGCCATCTTTCAATCTTCCACAGCGGCAGATTAAACCTCCAAAGTCCTGTCCTCTGCAGCGTCACTTACTTTCCTGAGCCGCTTGGTCCTAGCAGTATAACCTTGGCCAGATAGTCGTACATGCTCCCGAGCTCCTATTGTATCATCGTCTCAGCATATCTCTTCTCAGCAAGTACCGCCACAACCACCTTCGCTTGAGCCATCTCACCTGCTCGGGGCGAGCTGTTCCGGCGCTGGACTCGCTCGCCCCAGACGACCGCCTTGGCCTCATCATGGGTAGGCGCAAAGCTCGTCCGGCGTCGTTGCGCTGGAAATGGGAGATAAATTATCGTCGCTGGCGATGCAGAAGCCAGATTCCGAGGAAACCGATCGTCTTCGAAGCTCTGCAAAAGTTGATAAAAGTTCAATGAAAAAGAGGTTGGTCGCTGCAGAGATTATGGAACGAGCGAAACGATGGTGATGTCGCAGGGATGTGTCACTGCACCAGCTTTTTAGCGCGCCCCTCTGTATCTGCCCGCTGTATCTCTGCACAGCGGAGCTATCAGTGATGCTCGCAGCCCAATGGCTGGGTTAGTAAGCATAGAGCACTACCTATCGTTTGCACTTTAGCTCTCGAGACGGGCTTGGGCATGAACGGATGGCGGGACTGAATCCACACATCATCATCATGTGGTTCATGTTGATATCTCTCCAAGTGGGCAGAAAGCGGTCAGGCCATTTTACTTTATATCACGAATGCCCACTGTATTCTGCAGTTGAGAGTCCTACATATAAAACACAAATACGCTGATACTAATGGGGTTTTACATGTGTGTATGCTCGCCAGAGCTATGTGCCACAGCGCCTTAGCAGCCCATGCTTATACAAGCACGAGTTGAGCCTCGGCACGGCGGGCGCAAATAAGCTCAGTATAACCGCCCCGGCTTTATAACTTGGCGTTTACCATGTTTTTGTTCTCACATGAGAAATGCTTCACTCCAAACTATAAAATAAAATAATCATACGATCAATCCCCATCATGAAGATCCAAAATCGCACATTTATCATCTCGGGCGGCGCGTCCGGCCTAGGCAAAAGCACCGCCCTTGAAATCATCAAAGCCGGCGGCTACGTCGCGATCCTCGACTTATCCGATGAAGAAACCGGGCGAGCTCTGGAAAAGGAGCTTGGGCCCTTGGCCAAGTTCTTCCATTGCAATGTGCTAAAGACTGAGAGCATCGCAAAGGCTGTTCAGGGCACGGTTGATTGGATCAAGGAGACTGGAAAACCGCTCGGCGGTGTGGTTCCAGCGGCAGGCATTGGCCTCCCAGCAGCCGTAAGTGAACTGACTCGAGCGATGGCCACTTGCTAATCAGTATCCAGACCCTTGACCGAAACGGCAATGCCTTCGACATGGATCAAGTTGACCTCGTTCTGGGCGTCAATCTCAGAGGCACCATCGACCTCATCCGCCAATCCGTGGAGCATCTCGCCAAGGTCGATCCCGAAGGCCCAGACGGTGAGCGCGGCGTCGTCATCATGGTCAGCAGCTCAAGCGCCTTTGATGGCCAGTACGGCCAAGTCAGCTACGCGGCCAGCAAGGGCGCCGTCGCGTCAATGGCTTTGCCCATGTCTCGAGACTTGGCTAAATACGGCATCCGCGTCGTCGCCATTGCTCCCAGCTTGTTTACGACTGCCTTGACGGCCATGATGAGTGATAGAGTGCGAAAAAGTCTCGAGGCTTCGTTCATCTTTCCCAACAGAGCGGGCAATCCGCCTGAATTCTCCTTTTTGGTGAGTATTCCTTTCAAATCTTGCACGTATGCTTCCATGAAATATGTTAGAGGCTAAGACCGCCTACAGGTCAAGCACATTATCGAGAATCCCATGTTCAACGGGGCCGTTATCCGAATAGATGGAGCGTCAAGATTGAGCAAACTATAATTGGTGGCACTGTTGTCCTGTTTTACGCCTTTGCCTACACGGAATACCAGTGAGCATGACGCGTCCATTGCATTCACTCCATCTATAATAAAGAATGAGACTAATATTTGGCTTATTAGCACCTCACGACTTCATTTCATCACTCTTTAGTTCTGCGGTCATCGGTTATATATAGTCATCTATCATCATATAACATTTATCTAAAGAACGGCCCTAGACGCTAATATCGCAACAAATGGAATGAAAAATGGAAAAGAAAACCCAAAAAATAACCTCCACGCTCACATTCGTCCAAGGAAAAAAGCACAGTATGCAAAAGAGGTAAAGAACGCAAAGCCGCAATAAAAGCGAACGAGAGAAGGTGACAATAAAATTCGTGAAGAATTTGTCCGTTGATCGACTTTCTGGGTCAATGAAGGATTACGGCGGAAGCGAACGCGCCTGTTCCGATAGTTTAGATACAGCCGTTTCGAAGTCGGCTGATAGCGTCTAAGACTCCTGTTGCTCTTAGGAAACCGGTATAACGGCGGCTCGATTTCAATTATGGGCGGCTGGGCGTGCCGTCTTTCGTCACACTCATAAAATGTCGCCAATTCTTCACGATCTTGTGGCCCTACTTGCAGTTGACTTAGGTCGCTGAAATAATTCATCACTGATCGAGCATTTTCCTTCCCCCAAAGAAAAGATGTTTCAACAGCAAACTCATGGCGAAGGCCCAGAATATGGCCGAATTCATGAGCGAGGATGTTTGCTAAGAAGCAGACATTGGACCGCTCCAGTGCCAATTCGTACACAGATAATTCGTCAGGTGAGTCGTTCGGAAAGAAAGCTCTGGCATAGACATCACGTCTGCAATTGTCTGACTGAGGGCAGAACTTTATTGCAAATGTAGCTTTCTCATCACGACCAACTTTCTCAAAGCGAACTCCGATATTTTGCCACATCGCAATTGCTTTTGTCGCTTCGCGCGCTACCAATCCTGCTTGTCGAGGATTTTGGAAAGTCTCCGTGCGAATGATATATTTCAGCACCGAGCCTTTCTTCCAGCGAGCTGCAAAGCCTTTGTCTTTGGATCCCACGCGAGCGTCTCTCTCTGCATCTTCTTGGGTAACACACACGCTGTAGCTAAGGGATAGCTCTTCTGGGGTACAAAAAGTCGCGGATTTTTGAGAATAGAGTCCAGCTAAAGTACATGTAGTGACTCCAATATCGGGACCAGCCGACAGAATTTGGGGTTGATCAACATCGTTATGTTTCAAATCAGTCCCACAGCCAGAACGCTTTTCCTTGGAGACCATGCAAGGAGCATGAGAAATAGATGTGAGAGTCTCTGGGTATCCCTCATAGCCTATGTTACTGGTGCTTGCATCATCAAAGGTAGATTTTGAGATGCTTGTTGATTTGGACGAGGTGTCGCCATAAGGCAGAGTTGGCTCCCAGACAGTGATGTTTTCTTCTTGAGACGGGCCAACACTTTGAAAGGATGATAAATAGTGATTTCCATTGTCGACTTCGTAGATACCGCTATTATCTACATGGGGCCACTGAGCTGGCTCATCTTGTAGGACAGCTTATGCAGAAGCTTGGGTCAGCATGCAACATCATGAAAAGGCAAAGACGATGACATACTGCATGGAGCTGTGTAGGATGCATCGAGCACTGCTTTTGCGTTTGAAGATATAAGGAAAGCACTCATCGTCTTTCGCAATTGTTTTGCTGTTTAAAAATGATTTAAAGGGAGCATTTGAGGAGAACATTTCTTTCATTTATATTTGTGAGACGACGCAGTCCCAAGATCCTCGCAGGCGCGGCCACGCCCGTCGACGACGATTTCATTGTGGACTCTTGCGGGGCTGTAAGGCCCCAGCGCTAAGGTCGCCGGTTCCCACAGTACGTCGCGCACAGTGCCTGCACCCTGAGTCGGCCCCGTCGCTCACGAATTGCCCTTTTTTGTGCCAAGCGGTCGACAAAAAAAGCGAGACCGCAAAATGAATATGCACTCACAAAACAGTAATAGGAGCACTAGTTGCGCACACACTGATCTTGACCCTTTGTGTACATAGTTACCATATTGTGTGTTCAAAATCTTTGCGGTCTCGCTTTTTTTGTCGACCGCTTGTGCCCCAACGGTCACTTGCTGAATCGGGGACCGCCCCCGTATTTCGAGGGATTGAGGTGAGCCAGACCGCACTGTGGGCAGGACTACATTTGACTGCAAGCTCGTTTCACAGTGGAGACGGAGTTATGATTGGCTTTTCCTCGCCTGAGCTGGAGGCTGTCGTTCCTTGAATTGTAGCCTCTACGGATATCGCCACGCCGGCACCTCACGTCCCCAGCCACTTTCCTCAGCTTGGATGTCTCACAAACCTCGCGTCAGCAGGGCGCGGATACAGTAGCAAAATCTGCGGAAAAAAAAAAAGGAGCTCGGGAATTCTCAAACAATCAGCACTCGTTTCTCAACGTCACGCACCATATTGACGCTGCTGCTACTATCGCTACCGCTGCTACTCACAAGGATATATAATACAGCAATAATACTTATCTACGTTATACATAGACTAACTGCCTTGTTGAGCTGTATTCGAGGTGCTGGATCACTTTTTCCATATAAAATGTAGCTGGAGTTTGTATACTTACCCACGTAATTCCCAAAAGACTCTTTGAGACTCTGGCTTTATGTTGGCGAATTGATCAGGTCCGCAAATGGGAATCTTGTCACGCACAAGTACTAGCTTGAGCGGATATATACGTTTGTTTCAATCCAACTGTATTACAAATGCCTCGGTGGCATTGCCTGGTTATCTAGGCTATAAAAATGAGTGTAGAGAAGTGAACCTATATAGATTGACGAGAATTGACAGCGATTCCTATCAGCCTCATTCTAATTACCAATTCATATTTAATCTGGCTTTCCTGTACCCCGCAGATCTGTTGTTACAGCCATGAGAGTAAGACTGTGACATATGGTCGCTATCCCATTTCGAGTTTTTTTTTCATCGCCATCCGATTTTTCTAAAATAAGAAAGAAAATGATCAGTACTTGCTGTAGCTGAGCCGTCACCCCGCGCCGTGTGCCATGCTGCTCCGTGTGATAAACAATGCTTGTTGAGAAGGCTAAAAGTGGAAGAAATTGATTTATCCGCACATCAATTCTCAGGGGCTGTTTATAGAGCAAACCCGCGTCCTGGTTGCCATTGAACTCTATGAGCATTCACCAACTGTCTTTCAGCGGGGGCGTAACATCAACTATCGGTAGGTCCTGGTAGTGTGCCCGGTCATACGCGTAAAAAGCCGCCAACTCTTCACGGTCCTGTTTACCGACCTGGAGTTTGCTTGGGTGATCAAAGTAATTCATAATGGATTGATGGTTCTCGCTTCCAAAGCGAACAGAAGGCGAAAACACCTCTGTTTTGAGAGCAAACTCATGGCGTAGGCCCAAGATGTGACCAAGCTCGTGAGCAAGAATATTAGCCAGGTAGCTGGAGGTCTCCAAAGCTTTACCATAGACAACCAAGCTGCCACCGCATTCCCCGGGGAAGAAAGACTTGGCGCACATGTTGGGATGGCTGTTGTGGCTTCTCTTAAACTTAATCTGAAAAGTAGCCGGGTCGGCGCGGCTGACCAGCTTAAAGCTCACATCCATGTCCCCCCACATGGATATCGCCTCCGTCATCGCGGCAGCCACCAAGTCTGCCGCCCCGGGGGTTTCAAAACTATCTGTACAAATGTTGTACAAGAGCTCTGAACCATTGTGCCAACGTGGTATTTGATGATCTTTCCCAATGCACAACGCAACGCAGCTGCGCATTTGGGTTATGCATTTCGGTCTCAGTTGCACCTTATTGTGCGAGTTCAAGTCTTGAAAGAGACCAGTGGATGCTTGAGCAGTAGAGCCAGCTAGTGCATTGTTGTTGCTGGTCTCGATTATCAATGGACGACTTTCAGGTTCGTGGCCGTCCTCCATCTTTGACGGATGGCCATTGCACAGATGTTTGTCGCCATTAGCTGGGCGCGACAAGTTGGACGTAACTCGCGGTGGCCCTGGCTCTCTTGCCGTGTGCTTTTGTTCACGAATCCTGCATTTATCGTCGCGTGTCACATCGATAAAGGCATCACTATTTTCAGCAGTGATGTTGGAGATTCTTGTTTCCCCTTCAGAGATCGAATAGCTGTATCTGCGAGACCGTTTACCACCAACGACATTGTTTGTGCCATCAAAACGGACTAAAGGCTGTGGGGGTGGCATGTCTTGTGAGATGTCTAAATGAAACAAACGATTTAGTGAGCCTGCAGTGGTCTGTATCAGACACCTATATCAGATGCTAGGACATACATTTTATCTTCGAGTTACTCGGCATTCGTGTCGCCTCTGTCTCTTCCTGCGAGACTGAATCGTAGTACTGGCAAGTAGCAGGTGCTAGGTGATGTCAAATGCTCAATATTACATGTGCCCATGTGCCGCTGCATCGAAGCCGTGGAGGTAGTAACTTGAGACTTATTCTTCGCTCTTTTTGGCCGATGATATCTAAAGGGCGGTCAGAAAAATTCACGACCCATTTCACAGGACGACCTTGGCCATTATATAAGACGCGGAAGCCTCTGTCTATATCAATCATCTTGACGGCAGCTCATTGCCGCTGCTCTTCGCGACCTGGTCAGTCATACATGAGAGCCGCCCAGTCGGTTCTGTATGTACCTGAGCACACTGCTAACAGGGGGGCGCGTGAGCTGTCACATTCCCCAAATCTTTAAGTTCTGCTCTTTTCTTAGAAGCGATGGCTGAGAAACCGCGTGTGAACAGGGTGTTAGAGTCGACGGCTAGCGTCATCACATTGCAGGGAGCGTCGACAGCTACAGGAAGCGGACTTTTACAATCATGACTCGTCACAAATCGCCCTGAGGCTCCGTTTCGCTTGCCGGGAGGTTCGCGCCGGCCGCGATTAGCGTGGACTTTCGGCCTACTTTATACTGTACTACCCACTTACCTGGTCTACAGGGCACCGCTTGAGGGACTGACAGGTCATAACGCAATTAATATCCATCCTACCTCATCTTCTGGTGACGCTTCTTTTCTTTTTCTTGACACAGAGTGCTAACAGATGTTTCCACCCCCGTAAGCCTTTAGAGGCGTGAAAAAGTCGTCTAGAGGGGTGGCTAGAAGAAATCCCTTGAACAATCGGTGAACTACAGAAGGCACATCGATTTATACCTAAGTACCAGTAGGTACCTTACCTTAGGCACCTATGTGCCTGGTTGCCTAGGTATCGATACAAAGAAAAAAAATATGTAATTGTTGCAATAAGAAACGGGCCCCGCTCTAGTGAACGAGGTAGGCCCCCTTATAGGAGAATTTGACTATTTCAACAGTAATCTAAGGCCATTTTAGAGGCCTATTCGACTCACTTATTCAACACTATACAATCCCATGATTATTAGAAATGCTTAATTTTCAGCTTCATTTGAGTATCCGCGGCATTAGATTTACTTGCGATCAAAGGCAACCCGGTCAAAAATAAATTAAAACTTTGTATGATATTCGTCATATAAAGTTCCAAGTGTAACGAAAGGAACTACAAAACCGGGTACATGTACTCACTTGAGTGTACTCGCTTGAGTGCATACCAGGTACCAACTGAAGCTTGGTACCTATATACTAGTAGTACTCTCAAAGCGGCCTTGCGATCGCCAATTCGCGATGCCCTCAATTTGCAAGTCGCGATGCCCGTAATGCGCTTCAATTATTTATGGTATTTTAGATTACGCACAGATATTATATAAATCCGTGTATTTTCTATATGAAGAAGGCATCCCCGTCATGCTTTACTCAATTGGGTTTGAATTCAGTCGCTGGATCCAACTGATAACAGTTTCGCCCCCGAATACGTGCTCCATCGACAGGATCAAAATTAACTACCAGATAGGTAGCGCGGTTTCAAAGTTGACATGGCGCGCTGACAACAAGTGTGATCCTGCGTGGTAGCAAGGGGGTAAAGAAAACACTGCCAGTCTGCTCTATAAAATTGCGTGTAAAAGGCAATGTAATTTTTACCCCACATAAGTACAAGGTAATACAGTATACTACTCCCAACTCCGTGCCTTAGTAGGTACTTTAAAATTATATATATACCAGGTTCTATAGCATAGCATCTTAAGCAGATTTGACCAGGGATGGATCTCAACATTTACCTATATATAGACGCATTTGTAGCGGTAGAGGAGACTAAGAGGATACCTAGGTACCTACATACATACCTAGGTACCTACTAGTAGGCTCAAGGCAAAACCAAAATTCCTACGTGTACCTCAGTACTTGCATAAGAGGCCCTATACTCCTTACCTGCAAATTTCTCTTGCTCCGGCGGCACATAATACCTGGGTGGCCCACACAGCATCTTCCAAGAGTCTCATGAGTTAAATATAAATAATACAAATATACATCTAAGTTCAGGCAATGAATCTCCCCAAGGGGTCTGGTCAAATACCTATCTTTCATGTCCGTGGTTCCACTTTTGTTGCCCTTCGCAATTGCGCTGTGTCCTATACCTCAACTCAAGCGCGTTAGGTGATATTGGAGTCATTTCAGATGGTGGCGATTTGTGTAACATTGGATGAAGTGCCCGAAAAGAGCAGAACACAAAGACTAGACGAAGAGAGAAATTGGTGTCTATTCTATTCTAGATGATAATCACTAATCAAGTTAGATGACAACATTAAAGGTGGCTTACACTATGAACCTCGCAGTCACACCGGCAGCTATTAAGGTATACATGTACTCGCCTGATTACAGGTATACTACATATACCCCGGAGCTTTTTTCCGAGTAGGGTTGACATACACCTTAATTATCGGTGGACATAAATAAATGTAATGTATATGCATAGAGAATAGGTACCTAGGCATTTATTTATAGATGTCCGCTTATAGAGTAATTCGCTGAAGTATATTAGTCGTAATGATAGTGTAAAGCTAGTACAACTAGTTTGTTTTCTATCTTGTAATTTAATGTTAGCTGACTCAACATCCATAAAGAGGTGTTAAAGTTTCTTGATGCCGTCTTTTATGTAGAAACAGGTGCTAACGATTGCGCATGTGCCTACATGTATGTTGTTGATGCCGCATATGATTAGCAGATAAAGAGATGGAAGAGTGTTCCCCTCTTATTTGCAGTAGCTTTATGTAAAACATAAACGGCATTATCACAAACAATGACACTGTAACTTTCGGTATATGTACTTAGAGAAAAATTATTCGGCACTCTAGTTCTATTATCTAACACCCCAGCCACGAAGAAGTAGCATATGCTGGTGCTACTAATGCTACTAATGCTACCTCTGCATCAACATTACCGCCCGTAAATCGACTTGCTGGGGAAGCCTCCGCTACCCTTGTCTCTAGGCAAGGATTATGACGCTGATGATCGGCATGCGAACATGGCTGAGTTGACGTCCTCTAATGACAAGAAGAGAGATGTGAATTCAGCCGCCTATATACCCACTGCGTGGAGCCTGTCAGTAATTCTGTCCTGCAGTCGCAAATCTGTATAACCGTCTGGAAGTTGCAACAAGAAATTTGACGGCAAAGTTTTGCGGCCCTCGGCCCTCAACTGATGGTATAGCTTTTCCATTCGGGCCCGGTAGCTGCCCCAGGTACTACTGCTACCGCTGGTACTGTTAAGTACATATATATAACAACTACCTAGATAATTCTATATATATGCTAAATTGCTTTGCTAAGCTTTAAATAGAGCGCCGTAATGCAACTGGGATGCTGGATAACTCTCCCTCTTATTTCTGCTATCTCATTTTCTCCACTGCCTATACTACATGTATCTATCTGTTCAGAAGAATAGACCAAGCATCACGATTCTCACCGGACTGTACAATGACTCTGGAAGCCAAAGCATTAGTTCGGCTTGAAAATCTGGTGTTCCCTCCGTTGACGCTCCCCGCTATTACTGCATGAGCACCTTCACCTTTCGCCCTTCTTCAGCTGTCACGACCTGCGTTACTGTGCTGATTATGCTGTCACAGAATACCTAAGGCATGTAATCCATCAGGTGTGAATATCATCTATATCTCTCTAGTCTTGGGTTGCGTCTTCTTGGTATAGCAGCAGCAGAGACGCACTTCCCATGCCGTTGGTCTCGCTCTATGCGCTATCTCCGAAAGTATTGGCGTTTATCAAATGTTTTAGATTCCAACATGACACTAAGCAAGTTAATGAGTAAATTATTCTAGATACTGGGCAATAGTAAACAAGAGAATAAATAAATTGATGACGTGTGATTGTGGGAGCCTGAGTTGTAGACCAGGACAAACGTACATGTATCTTATTCGCTACGCGTATCAGCAGCTTCAAGCGGGGCTCAAGGTCTTGCGAAAATTACTAAGGCCAGCAAATCGATAAGACCCGCTGGTAATACAATTTCTTAAGAAATTTCATCGTCCAAAATGCTTCCTGTTCCTTTTCTCAACCATCATTTATTGTGTCGCATTGCCTCAGCAGTGCCACGCAAGAATCTCTACAGCGCAACATGCACTGCATTTTTCGTCGACCTGAGGCCTAAAGCTTTATCGAGCTTGAAAACTGGCTCGAATCGACGCGACGGTAGGGATTTTTCTTTTCCTTTTCTTTTCTTGTGATCCGCAGCATATCCATGCCAGCCACTCAGGCTTCCCACGAGTTTCTCTTCCAGGCACGCCGCGTCTTGCAGTTGTGCCTGGGGGGGGGGGCTGGCGTATCGATTGCAGACGAGGTTATCTCTGATAATTCTCGCCTTCAGCGTTGCTGCAAGACAAACGGGCCATCATAGTCCATGCCGAATGAATTTTTCCATCAGTCGACGGCGTGGCTCCCAGCGCACCAACATTTTCCTACTCCAGGGCTACCCTTTGTTTCCATAGCGAGTTAAATACTAGACGCCCGTCTAATGACACAAAATAAGAAAGAAAATAATACAAGCCACTCTTGTTGTCCGTATCAACTGCTATCTCACTCTCCATCTGTTCTTTTGTCTTCGATGCATGAGGCTATACTGTATCTAACGTAGCAGCGTTTTCTGCCATGCCATCGTAGCTGGGCACAAAGTATGGAGACGACCAGAATGTGCCGCTTTCCCGATGCACACCTCTAGCGAACAATCGTCAGCTACGTCACTGCCGCTCTATGCATGCTTTATCGCCCGATTCCTCATATTGGCCAAAACTTGAAAGTACACGCATATGCCTCAACGCCAACTCTGTTTACCTCGCGATCCTCCTCATTTCGTGCATATTTATCACCTATGATCTTGTCTCATAGAGCGTTGCCTAGGATTTCTCCTAAAAGTCGTATCCTTCTTCGTACCTCGTTTTATACCGCTCGTCACTATTTGAATAGCCCGCAGAGTACCTGCTTAGTTGTAAACACACGCCGCTCTTCATCTTCATCCGCCATGGCTCCCGCCAAATCTTCCAAATTTGGAGACCTCCCGCTTAGCACAGTTGGCCCTCTTGACTGCGCTCTTACCGGAACAGCGCTCCTAACTAGCCCGACGTTCAACAAGGGATCTGCCTTCACACAAACGGAGCGTCGAGACTTTAAACTGACTGGGCTGCTCCCCGCGAATGAGCAGACTCTGGACCATCAGGCCGAGCGCGCGTACCAGCAATATCTGACCAGAAGCGACAACCTTGCCAAAAATACCTTTTTGACCTCGCTCAAGGACCAGAATGAGGTGCTGTATTTCAAGTTGCTGCTCAACCATCTCAAGGAAATGTTTAGTGTGGTGTATACTCCGACTGAGGGTGACGCGATTCAAAACTACTCAAGGCTTTTTCGGCGCCCTGAAGGCTGTTTCTTGGACATTAATCATCCTGAACGCGTGGAAAGCGACCTTGCGCTTTGGGGAACCCCGGATGATGTTGACTATATCTGCGTGACAGGTATGTTAACCTCTTCTAATGTCTTTCTTGCCTAACACTAGTAACTCATTTTCCAAGACGGCGAGGAAATTCTAGGGATTGGCGACCAGGTACATTTGGCCTTCTTCCACCAGGCATCAAAAAGAATTACACTAATAATGTCCCTCTGGGCTCTGTCATCTAGGGCGTAGGCGGCATTCTCATATCTGGAGCAAAGCTAACCCTCGCGTCCCTTTGCGCCGGTGTTCATCCCAGCCGCACTCTTCCAGTCGTCATAGACTGCGGCACTGATAATGAAGAACTCCTTAATGACGAGCTCTATCTCGGACTATGCCAGCGCCGGGTAAGAGGAAAGCAGTATGACGATTTCATCCAGACCTTTGTCGATGCTGCTCGAAAACTGTTTCCTCGAGCTTACATCCATTTCGAAGATTTTGGCTTAAGAAACGGTACGCATCAATACACACTCCACAACCATCACGTATTGTTTTCGTCTGGAAACTAATTTACCAAATTTGCAGCCAGGCGTTTGTTGGAGTTGTATCGCCCTACGATGGCCTGCTTCAATGACGATGTCCAAGGAACAGGCTGTGTGACGCTTGCAGCCATCATAGCTGCGCTGCATGCCAGCGGACAGAAACTCGGTGACATTCGGATGGTCGTTTTTGGCGCTGGGAGTGCTGGAGTTGGCATTGCAGATCAAGTCAGAGATGCTATTGCTACGGAGATGAAGATTGATCATGAGGAAGCTTCGCAGCATATTTGGCAAGTTTCATCTTATACACCGCGAGACCCCTTGCTAACAGCGTCATTAGGCTGATTGACAAGCCAGGCTTGTTGACATCCAAGCACGAGGTCTCAGATGCCCAGAAAATATACGCCAAAGATGCATCCGAGTGGAAAGATGATGGCAACGACCTCCTTTCAGTAGTGAAGCAAGTCAAGCCCAACATTCTCGTCGGAACATCCACCGTCCCTGGGGCTTTCACCGAAGAAATCATCAAGGCCATGCACGAAAACTCATCTCGGCCAATCATCTTCCCTCTTTCCAACCCAACTCGACTTCATGAAGCCAAGCCAGAGGACCTACTTAAGTGGACAAATGGCAAGGCTTTGGTCGCAACGGGATCTCCCTTTGATCCCGTCACCGGCCCTTGGGGTGAGGACGGAAAAGATATTACGATTGACATTGCCGAATGCAACAACTCAGTCGTCTTCCCCGGCATTGGCCTCGGCTGCATCCTCAGTCGAGCCAAGCTTCTCACCGACCGCATGCTCGTTGCGGCCGTGGAAGGCGTCGCATCGCTAAGTCCTGTTCTCAAGGACCCGACCGCGCCTCTCCTGCCAGATGTGGAAGAAGTGAGGGCCGTCAGTGTCCAGGTAGCCAAGAGCGTGATTCAGGCGGCAGTGGAAGAAGGTATGGCGACTGAAAAGAACATTCCGTCCAACGACCATGATCTCGAGGAGTGGATCAAGGAGCAGATGTGGAATCCAGAGTATCGCCCGCTGAAGCTTGTCAAGATGGAGGGCGCGACGAGAGCGGCCAAGGGTGAGCTTGGCAAAGCCATGCCGGGACTGTAGCACAGGATTATGAAGAGCAAAGGCAAGGGACATGGTAAAGATGCGGGTGCATCCGTAAAGTAAGCAGGCTATAGAGTACCAAGAGAATAGAATAGATGTGATGTGTATCAAATGCTTCGCTACAGTGTCTGCTTTGCGCAGACCTTCATACAACATACCAAAGAGTGTCTGAGAAAAATGATATATCAGAGAGCTAAGGAAAAGAGTGAGATAAACAATACCTGCCTTGGGTGCATTATCCTCACAAGTTTATCATGATGGGTTATATCATGGTATTGTCCAAGCATTATGATGGCATAGGCCATAGTATCATTACTCTGTGTCTTCATCAGACTCTTCCTCCTCCTCCTCTTCATCATCGTCATCGTCCTCTTTCTCTATCTTCACTTGGGAGTGGTTAACTCCAACCTGCATACGTCTAGCGACATACCACTGGGCTACAATGCCAACAGACAACGAAAGAGAGTCCTTCACCCAGCCGGCCACCCACTCTCTAGGGTCAAGCTCGCCAGTCTCAACAACGCTCCGGATATCCTCATGGACACGATTATGCAGGGATTCTTCGTCTCCAGATTCGGGCGTCATAGGACGAGGAGCCTCAAGCCAACGAGCCCATTTGGCGGGGAAAGGTTGGCTGATGGTCGCATACTCGATTTCATGGACCGGGTCGACAATGAAAATGGCAAACCTAAACTCTTCCTCGTTCTCCTCTTCCGCCTCATCAGACTCTTTCTTCTCCTTTTCTTCGGCGGCAGTTCGACCGAAAAGGGTCTTGTCCTGATCAGTGACAATGGCTTGAACAGACAAGAACAAATCCGAGGTGCGAATAGCACCAGGCTCGCCGTCACCCGATCTTGCCTCCGCCCTCACAGCGTCGATGCCTCCCCGCGAAGCAAAGTACTCAGTCGCAAACGACTCTGCATTAACACGGCAAAGCTTTGTGCCCTCAACAAGGCCTTTCACCACGCCCAGTTCTCGAGGCTGGTCAACTTGTCTCCACCAAGGGCCGTCGTCCCAGCCGGCAGCGCTGTCGCGAGACCGCGGGTGGCTGCTTTCATGACCCCTCTGGACAACGTGGAGCTCACCGCCCTCCACCTGCTGCATAACATCGGAGAAGACTTCGTAGATGAGAGGATCGAGAGACGGGTATCCAACCAGATCATGGGTAATATGAATGAGGAGGCGCTCGTGAGAGCCAATAGGAGGAGCAATGGTGTTGATAATGTTGGATAGGGTTGGCAGTGCACGGTTGCGAATCTCGTCGCCTGTAGACAAGAGTTTTAGTCGCTGCGTCATGTTGCGCATAGAGAAGCTCGCAACTTACCATAGCTCTTCAACACATTCACATCAATACCGCTTCCCAGGCCTTTGACCTGCTCTGCCCACTTCTTTGCCTCTTCGTTCTGCTGGATCTGGCTGTACGCAGCCTCAGCCTGCTTCATGACCCCGGTCGCGGTCGACAGGATCCCACCCCACCACCCTCCTCCGGCTTGCTGAGGCGGCGCCTGTTCCACCGGTCCCCTCCTCTCCGACTCATGGAGCTCGGAGCTCGTGGCGCTGGGGGTGAAGGTGGCCCTGAGGCTCCGCGAGCTGTCGGTGGACTTGCGCGCAGCAGAGGCCTTGTCGTCGCCAATGGGAGGGGTTGCCGTCGAGCGTCGCGCAATCGTCTCCTTCAGACGGGGTGTGTGTGGGCGAGACGCGGGCTGGGGAGCAAGCTCCGATTCGAGGTCGGCGAGGATATCGTCATTGCCAATTGCTTTGGCGGCGGCCGAGGTGGGCTTCTTGGACGGCTTCTTGGCCTTGGAGTCGTGGCCAATGCCCGAGAAGAGCTCGTCGAGATTGTCGTCGGCGGGCGCTGCCTTTGATTTCTTGGAGGCCATGGCGCTATGCGAGGGGTTCTTTGTCTATCCGGACTGGATGGATTCTATGCAGCTGGATGGGTTGATTCATTCACCGCTGCCAGACCGAAATGTTTGTGGCTGCGCAGTGTTTGCTGCTTGGAGCTACCTTGCTTGGGAGGATTATGGCCGATACGAGCACGGGGGTGATAGCGTGGTATGCAGCGGTGGGGTAAGTCGTTGCAGGTGGTGACGATATACGCAGTACAGCAAGAGACTTTGAAACAGTCAGCAAGATAAGCTCAGGAAGTAGTACTTGTATGTACTGCAAGCTAGTTCAATTAAAGCTTACACTTGATTGACAGAGAGTGGAATAGATGCACAATAACGTTTTACAGCAAGCTTCAGTTCCTGGCAGAGCCAGACGGTTGTGGGAGGGAAAGGACAAGAAACAAAACAAGGCGCTGGAGAGGAATGATACAGCGGCGGATCTGCGTTGGCGGGAACATTCGCGCAAAGTCACAGCAGATTCAGCGGGTCTTGCAGCGGGCTAGCGCGCCATAGGGCCTTATTTGCTGCAGCGGCTCCTATGGCAGAGTGTCTCTCAACCTGGAGAGAATAGAACGAGTGGTGTTAGTGCTGCTTTTGGCTTTGTAGAGGGAGCCAAAGCGCGCTAATCGGCGCCCAAGGCACCTAACAATCCTCATCTGCAAAATCACGTGCATGATGTCAATCATTCAAACGGAAAAAAGGGTGCAAGTACCCAGTACCCACTAGCAGCTGTTTGTGTAAACGGAGCGATGCTGGCGCTGCCCCTTGAGCGTGTCTCCAAGTCATCGTCCCCAGCCCGTGTTGTGCGTTCATTCCCTGCCGGATCTTTTAAACTCTGTAGGCCTAGATTCTTTGAAGATAAAAAGCAAGCTTTGCGTTTGTGATACGCGGGCGATGGCGCTCCGCCTGGACCGGAAAAGGCAGTTTGTGAATAGGCGCTGATTGGATGGACCAACCCCGGATGGGACTCTTTGCTTTTTTTTTTTTAGCAGCAGTGCATGTACTGAATACTTTCCGTAGTGGGTGGTGCGCTGGCCACTTCCAAGTGCGCGGGAGGTACGTACCGGGGGCGCTGGCCAGTCACAGCGCAGCATGGCCTGCCAGGCTTATTCGATCCACGACAGTTCTGAGAAAAAGACTCCTGGGAGAGCACTGACAGCGTGGAAAAAGGCTGCCCTCAGAAATCTCTGATATTCAGCTCACCGCGGCATCATCGCAGCAGCGGGCGGCGGGTCTTATTTTGTCTGCCTATTGTCCCTGATGTGCGTCTTTTGCCGCAGCTGATTGTCGATTGCTATTGTTGCTTTGTTGGCAGGAGGAAAAACCTGCTCGCTCCGGCCGGCACGTCACGCTTCATTCGCCTCTCACTCTTGATACAAAGCATCGCCATCAACACTTTGACAGGCCTCTTTCACTCTCTTCCCCTCATCATCGCAGAATCTCCTTCTTCTACGCCTTCTCTCTTCCATAAAACTCTCCGCTCATCTTTTACGGGATTGCCCTGACTTGGCAGACACCATCTCATCTACACTGCCTGTTGTCCTCTTACACCCCTTTAAAGAACCTTTCTTGTTTCCACCACAGGCTGCGGCCTGGCAATCATGGACCGCGCTCGCCGCCCAACAACAAATCGCCGCAAGCCTCAGGGAGTTTCTTCGTCTCCTGCGTCTGGCTCAGACGCTTCGTTTGAGCGCAATCAGTCGTCCGCCAGTCCCATCATGACGCATGCCACTAACACTCCACAAACCGCACAGCAAAACCGGCGCGCCCAAAAGCCTCTTCAGCCCGCCTTCACTTTCTCAACGCCAGGACCAACCACCCGGCCTTTGAATCTGAGAAAGAGGTCAAAGACCATGGATGACTACAACATGGCCGAGGAAGATTATGAAAACGACAGTCCCAAAAAGGGCGGTCACAGCCTACGCAAACGCGCGCGTGTTGACTACACGTTTGAGCAGATTGACGACGACATTGACTTTTCAAGCGCCATTTCAGGCCCAGCATCAGCATCAGCCTCTGCCTCTGCGCCTCGTAATAGGAGACGAAGGCCGGACAGCAACAGCTACGATTCTGAGGATCTCTACAGTTCTGGACTCAAGAGGCGAGGCGCCTCTGTTGATGCTGACACGCCGTCCAGCCGGCGCCGCAATCCCGCCAGGAAGACGTCCGAGGCGAGAGCCTACAAGGACGAGTTTGACGACGACGAAAACGACGTCCAGGACACCATTGAGGTGGGCGTGCTGTATTCCGACTCTGACAAGTCCGACAGCGCTCACATGGACATCTCCAATGCTTCGTCGACGGACCTGTCCGTTGATGCCCCACAAAAACCTACACCAGCCCTTTCAGGCTCTCAGCACCACGACGGCGACCTCAAGTCTGCCGACCATGCCGCGGCGCAGGCCTCAGCAGATGCGGATGTGAAGCAGCCTGTTTATCCGACTGCCAATGCCGCTGGTTCTGCTGCTGATTCCGCTGCCGGCTCTGCTGCCGGCTCTGCTACTGGCCCTGCCTCTGCTTCTGCGGCCGCTGACACCAACATGCCCCAGCAGCAGTCTGGCCGTGCGAGTCTACCCGATTCGGCCGCACCAGCCTCACCCACTGAGAACCCGGCTGAGCCACAGCCCAAGCTTCACGAAGCCGACGCCACACGCACTTTTAGCGACGACATGGCGGCACCACCTGAAAGCTACGCGGATGAGCTCAAGTCTCCACGCAGCAGCACGCCGCAGACGCAGACGCAGACGCAGACTTCTGGCAGCATCGTCAACAAGAATGATCGCGAGGCAGAGCCCGGTGTGCAGCCTGTGCAGATGCCGTCCTCGCCTTCCACTCCGCCGCCGGCAATGCATGCGACCGCAGAGGCCAATAACACGGCCTTGACACATGCGGCTGAGAATGACACTCCCGCTGAAGAAACTGCAAGTGTCAAGCCTCTTAACCAACTTCCCGAAAAGGCAATTCCACAGGAAAACCCTGAGGCACCACCAGAAAGCGACTCACTTCCGCAGCCGCAGCCTCAGTCTCAGCAAGAGTCCCAGGCCCAGCCTCAACCACAAGAGCCGCCATATTATCCGTCGGCAGCAGCGCACTTGATTACACTCACGGCGCCATCCGTGCCGCAGCCCAAAACTCAGGTACAGGTACAGGCGGAAGAGGCACCTAAGGAGCAGACTCCGGAGCAAGACTCCAAAGCGCCCAGCCCTCCTCCCATCACAGTCACTGCCCCAGCCAAGGACGAAGCCGATGGCACCCCGGCCTCTCCATCAATCTCTGCTCTCGGCTCCACGACATTGGACGCATCCCAGTCAACGAGCACTGACACCACATGCGCCGAGCCACGCGTGTCATTGCCCGCGGACGGTGCCGACGCTGCTGTCAGCCCACCATTACCAGAGATCCAAGTCCAGATTGAAGCCACAGCCATGAAGCCTGCAGATCAAGCGCCGCCATCCCAGCCCTCTGAGCGAGGCCCGTTTAAGCCACAGCCTCGACCTGAAGGCCGGTGGGCTCACCTAACTCCATATATCGATGGAGAGTATGTCGCGTATCCTGAAAGGAAAGCTCAGCAAGAGGACGAAGTCACTACCAGCGAGGACCAAACTGCTGATGATCGAGAGGCCAATGACATGGAGCCAATGGTCGATGACAACGACGACATTCCGGATGCTGCCGGGATCGAGGCACCCACGCCCGCTCTCAATACGCCCTTACGGGGCTCTCCTATGCCCGATTCAATCGACCCCACTGCCTCTAATTCTCCGGCCGCTGGTGGAGATGATGGCGACGACGTTGATGTTACTGAAGAGCCGCCCGAACGTAGTCGGTCATTCCGCTATCGCAAGCTCAGAGATCCCAACGAATACCTTGCCGCCCTTGAGAATTTCGAGGATATGTCGACAGAAGATCTTTACGAGGTCTTGGAGTCCATCAACATTTCACTTGTTCAATGGCAAACCGAATGGAACGGATTAGGCAAGATTGTCGATGACTACGAAAACTCGCTCCGCCGGCGCGTAGCAGACGTCAAATATGAGTCTCGAACACGCAACTTCCACCAGCATGGCGTCAATTACGAAGAACCTGAATTTGTTGTAAAGGGATACAGGTCCAAGGACAGAGAGGGCATGACTGAGACTCGCTACCTGCAAAACCAGGATCGAATTATGGCAGCCGCTTATGGATTTGAGTATGACCCACATCCATCCAAGATTGGCCGCCAGAACCCAGAGACACAGCAAGCAGGAATCATGACCAGGGGTCGTTCCCTGCGCAATCAGCCAAAGCCCACAGCCAAGGCGACAGAGGCAGACGAAGTCACTGGCAAGCGACAACGGAAGCCCGTTCAACTGTTCGATCCGGCAACACAGGATGTTAGTCGCAGCTCAACACCCGTCCCAACCACCAGACCCAGACGGCGTAGGACTGCCAATGCCGATAACGATGAAAGTCAGGTCCTCTTTGCCGCTAGTTTCAACAGCGAGGCCATCTCTGAGGACGAGGGTGGAGACGGCAGGAAGAGACGCAATCGTGCAGCACGGCCCAAGACGAATGTCCCCAGCATCGTCGAAGAGCTCGTACCTGCTCCTCCAAGCGAAGATTCCTCTGTGCGCGATACACCATCAAGATCGGGCCGTAACAAGCGAGTCAAGCAGGCCCCCAAGTACGACGAGGATCCACTAGGCTACCACTTTGTTGAAGAAGAGCCGCCCAAGCGTCGCCATCTGTTGACTCTCAAGATCCCCAAGGGCAAGAACATCAGTGAGCCGTCTTCGGCAATTACAGACAATGGCGACTCGCGGCCTTCGACAGCCGACTCGGATTCCACTTCGCACACTGCCGAGTCGTCGTATTCATTCCGCCCCAAGCGACAGAAGCGATTCCGCGACGACGCCGAAGAGAGCGAGGAAGCCTCTCAAGCTCCCACAAAGAAGAGGAACAAGCGCATCAACGTTGCTCCCCCGATCGGAGGAGAAGAGTTCCCTCCTATCTTGCCAGAAATGCTCGAGCCAGAAGCAGCACTAGGGCCCAATCGCAAGATTCAGAAGATCAAAGTTGTTCGTACTACACCGGCGAGCCGCAAGGGCACGCCATCGTCGCTGCCCAACGGTGAAGAAGCTGAGGAGGCACCAAAGGACTACAAGAACATGACCAAGTCAGAGAAGATGTCAGCATCCATGAAGAGTAAGTATCACGCTGTTGGACCGCGCTACGTGTATTGTCGCATTCAGCTCGCTAACAAACTATTTCAGGTCGCTGGGCCAATGGCAACATGGCTGGTGCTGTGGAGAAGCGAAAGGCGACACTCGCTGCGAAAAAGGCCGCGCAGGCCGCGGCCGAGCAGAGGGTTGGGCTCATCGCCCCCAAGCCCAAGATGAAGACGGCCAAGAAGGAGCCGGTTGAGCACAGTCAGATGCCGCCGCCCTTTGCCCCTCAGCAACCACCGCAGCACTTGCATGGAATGGGATACCCATATCCTCCATCATAGATTGATATCGTTTGCGATCTAGCCAAAGGAGAGGCGAACATATGACTCGGCTTAAAGAAGCCAAAACAAAAAGGAAAGCTCAGGTCTTATCTTACAGCATCATATTTGCTTGTTCGATGTTTATACCACCGCCTTTTTCCTCACCGCGGGGATGAGCTTTTTTAAATCTCAATCCGCCACTAACAATTCATGTATCATACTTGGGCGTCGGACCGTGTTTGTGTATTGCCAATAGAATTGGCAAAGGCAACTTGCACACACCAAAACGAGTACATACATACTTGAACCAAAAAAAAGACAACAATTATTAATCATCCAGGGGAGGGAGGGAGGAAGGAATGGGGACGTTATAATTGTGGGAGGAGCGTTAAAGAACTGGGAAACGCTGCGTTTGGACATTTGTATATGATTACTTTTCGTTTCTCTTTCTCTTGTCGTTTTCTTTTTCTTTTCTTTCTGTTTTTCTTTTTTCTTTTTCAGCATTGGGACTGGCTTTACAGAAAAAAAGCATACAGCTGACTGGTCAGCCCTCGGCGTTGGCGGCTTCCCCCCAAGAATGGTGGTTTTTATATACAGAGGGAAATACTACGTTTTTTTTCTCTTTAAACCTTTTTCTTGCCTGTTATTATTTTCTTGCTTCTTTCTGTTTCTTTTCCTCGTCTGCATCAAGTATATAGGACAGGATCACACGCACAGCTTGTTTTTGAGCAAAAACACGGATAAATGGTGGTAGGCTGGACGACGCTTCTTGTTTTTTTCAAGAGCATGCTGGTGGATGTAGCTATTTTTCTTGGTTTTAATAAAACACTTCTCGAATTGTTAAATAAATCTCTTGTCTTGTGGTTTATGTTTGACTGTGGTGACTTATTAATTACTGGTAACACGATAGAGAAGCGGTGCTTACTCAACGTACAAACAGTTCGATTATCTGATATCAAAGAGACATAAAAGAGTACGTCCACAAGTATAAAAAGCATTCACTTCTAAAAATCTTCTTTCTCTTACAATCCTTTTTTTTTTTTCTCAGATAGAGTAAACTGACAGATCGTACTGCTTCTTATGATGACTCTTTGCTTGAATATTCATGTAGGGTAATTAGCGGCCACATCTATTAGCGTGTACCCTGATTCTGAGAATTTCCTAGATTGCCTAGATGGGCCAGGCGGACGAATCGATTTGTGGGTCTTTGGTAGTGTCTCAAATTTTGGCTATAGCAAGAGGGTGATCACAAGCAATTCTGCAGGATTATGCCGACCTTTCAAAGCCGGAGAATTGGAAAGCGGTGGTCTTAGCAGTCATTTCTTTTCAATAGCCGCAAGGGCCGATGATTACGTTCTAGTACTGAAGGGGGAAAAAGCACCATGACAAGTTGTTTCACTCGGCACTGTTTGAAGAAAACGTAGGACTTGGATATTTTTTTCTTTGTCCGTTTGATGCGATACCTGATATTGAATCATCCTTACACGCCGCAACCGAAATGCAAGAGCCTGCCAATCCAGCGACTTTACTTTCCCGTTTCCTCCCCCTCCCATTCTTTCCCCCCGAGTCAAAATAAAAAAAAGAAGAACTCCGGAAGGGTGGGAAAATAAGAGGCAGAAAAAAAATATTTCCACGCTTCTATAAGATCGCATCGGCGGGGGGGGACTTGTTCATTTATGTCTTTTTTTCTTTCTTCCTCTGTCTCCACTGTATAAAGTAAAACCTCCCTCCTTCGTAACAACCTCTTACATGACGACACCGGAGTTGCTGGCAATACGCTGGAGAAGAAAATGTTAGGATATGTGGATTCTCGAAAAAGAAAAAGGTAGCACTTACGGGCCACAGCTCAGCAGCCTCCTTGCCGACGGGGCCAGTGATGGCAGAGCCCTTCATCTCACCCTTGGGGTTGACGATCTGCAAAGTTGAATTAGCCCATGTCACAGCATCGAATTGGCGAATGGTTTCGAATGGCGCCTCCAGCCTCATAGTGAAGCAAAAAGACCACCACTCGAACCGCATCTTTCAGGGTACACGTACGACACCAGCGTTGTCCTCGAAGTACAGGAAGACACCGTCGAATCGCTTCCAGGGCTTGGCCTGTCGGACGATGACAGCGGGGTGGACCTTCTTTCGCAGCTCAGGCTTTCCCTTCTTGACGGTGGCCATGACCATGTCACCGACACCACCGGCGGGGAGACGGTTCAGACGAGCACCGATACCCTTGACGGAGATGATGTACAGGTTACGAGCACCTGAGTTGTCGGCGCAGTTCATGACGGCACCCACGGGAAGACCCAGGGTCATCTTGAGCTTGCCACCAGGGGCACCACGGCTGTATGGCACATTGTTGTCAGTCCACGGGTTCTCTTCGACAGGCTGATCGTGTGCAGTTTTCTCGGTTCTCCTCTCTTATTTCGCAATTCCTCGACAAGGGATCATCAAAAGACTGGTGCCGGCAGGAGCAAAGGCCAAACTGGCTCTCCCAATCGTCTTCGGTTCGTAATTGCATTTTGGCGTTTTGGCGCGAACTCGATTCGTTAAAAAGTTGGCAAAAGTTTTGGAACTCGTCGGTGCATAGAGTAAACGCCCAAAAATTCGTTCAGATTGTCTCATCGTTGAGGGACAAAATCCATCCACAATATCCTCCTCTTGCCCGGCTTCTCTTCCAGTGATTTTGTTGACCTCGTCGGGGAATTTGCGAAAGAAAGAGAGGAGGAACGAATATCCTGCTGCACGTTAAGATCAACTTACGATTGCTTGGCCATTGTATCGGAGGGTTTGGGGGCGTTGAAGTCGTGAGAAACGTGGAGTCGCGAATTGCCGTCGTCAAGCTGCGTTTGGAAATTTTCCTTCACTCAGTACCTAGGTCTTAGAAGCCCTAAAACAAGTTGTGGCTCTCCGCACGTGACTTATCCGGAACTGGTAGCGGAAATACGTACCTAGTAGGGTAGCGGCGATATATCCGCTCTTTTCTACGCCAATGATGGAGCTTTGCGGAAACTTGGGACCCCGCTCTTTTCTTCTCTGCTTTACAAGTACATCAGGCTATTATCCCACGCTCGACTGGGCACGGCGGTGACGATGCGGTGCTGTTTGACATGTGGTGGCTGCTGATTGTGCCAATTGACGATGCTAATGCGACATGATACAGATAACAGGCAATCAGATACGATTATGGGACACCAAGTCAATTTCCGGCTGCTGATCAGCCGGCGCCTAACTAAAACATGTGCGAAATTACACAACTTTGGAAAAGAGGATACAAGACCGATGACCTTCTTTGAACATTCGCAGAAAGAACCAGACATCAGTCAAAAGATGCGGCTCTGCGGCTCTGCGGCTCTGGTACCCAACGCATTTTGCCATCGGCTCTGAGTACCACGTGTCATTCAGTCTAACAGATGGCATCTAGTTCCCATCCCCAGGGTTGACAATTTCCCAAGTCCCGGTATCTGAGATGGGTGAATTGTTTGCTGCCGCTGCGTTGGTCTCTGGCTGTCCCACTGCAGTGGGCGTGCCTTCATTGGCGCCCTCGTTGTTGTTATCATTGTTGCTGATTACCATCAACTTGTATGGGAGGTCGCCATCGTCATCTTGGATATATGTCTTCATGGCAGGACTGCTGACACATCAACAAGAGATCAGCTCAAGGCACGGCATACTTACGGATACTTTTTTGCTTCGTCAGACATGTTGAAGGATTATTACGATGAGTGTAGTCTTTTTGAGGATGGACCAGTGGAAATCTGCTTTTGGAGCATATATCATGAAGATGGCTCTCACGCCGGGGAAGCATCATCTTCTTAAATCTCCCTTTTCCGGCTGATGGCCCATACATCCAAGAGAGACACGCATCTCAATTGCTACCCCAACTGCCACTCTCTTCTTCAGGCTCAAATCATCAAGACATGGTGGCCAGCATTGTCGCCAATGACACTGCAACACATCTCCGCATGCGGCTCTGTTCAAGCACCATGACTTACTATTCTCTGCCCTTCCAACTTGACCAAGGCACGTGGCCACGCTCAATTCAAGTCGGTCAATACGGAACGTTTGTAATGTGTGTATCAACCATCATTACGGCCAATGAGTGAGACGACTTGACCTGCGCGATTGCTGTCGGTGCTGGGTATCTGCATATGGTGTGCATTGAATGAGGTCATCTCGGTCAGTACGCTTGGACGTATCTGGCCTCTCGAGTCTTCATGATTTTGCATAGCACACACAATTGGATTCACGTAGAATCTGCACCCGACCGGTGAGATGAATGATGCAGCCATACCTGCATGACGCGCGGTAAGCGCCCAAATGTCTCCAGGCCTGCGAAGTGCAGCGCAGCACGCATGCATCACCTCGCTTAAGCCCGTTCTTTATCGATGCAGTTTGGAAGCCAATCTGGTGGGCATAAGCTGGAAAATCTTATCAGGACGTGGTTGGCGGCCATGTTTCGCCTAGCGCCTGTTGGAAGGGCATCGATTCTATTCTTGTTATACAAGTATGCGCTGAGCGTTGCTGGGAGAAGGGAACCAACATTGTTTGCGGTCTCTGCGCCAAGATCCAACTGATGGGCCGTCTTTTTAGATGCAGTTGGGCCAAGCTGTTTTTTTTTTCCCGGTCTCGGAAACATGTTGGCTGTTATAATGATGCTATTGTTGCCATGCTAGCGCTGTATGATTCTGCAGCCGTGCAACTGTGCCGCAAACCTGAGCTGCGATGTTTCTGGGTCTTTGCCTGATTCGTCATCCCCCACCACGTGCGGGGTGATTCTGGTGGCGCAGTGGATCGAGCTCTAATAAACGATTCGATGGCCTGGTTCCCAGCGCCTCGGGCTCAGAAGCCAGGCGACAGGGTGGCATTGAAATCCTGATACCTACTTTGTAAGCCTCCATATATCGATTTGGCGAAGACGCACTCGGTACGACATTGGGCATTATTCGCAAAGTACGTAGTCACCCGAATTGGTACCCAGAAAGAGGAGTAATGAAAGTTCAATGGCGAATCCTCCCACAGCCTTCTTCGACCACCATGTAAGATAAAATCAGCCGATGTTGAATTCGCCTCAACAAGCAGCTACAACTCCCTGACGGCGATGTAAGCTCGGACAAGAACATGTCTTGTTACTCGATGGCGCCTGGAATGAATTTTCTGAACTCTTCGAGCGTCCATTTTCACCGACGTCAGACGGGTAATTACAAAGCTTTCCAAGTTGTTCGATTCTTACAAGCTGAAAAGCGCACCTGGATCGAGGTGACGTGCTCTTGGCGCAGAAGTTAAATCACGGAAGCGGTAAAAGGTGGGGGCCGGCGCCGAACGCCGTCTTATCGAAACTCGTCCGACTGTTTGTGAGCTGAATCCACTCGGAAATAAAGAAGCTTTGGGGAATATTTAATTCCCTGCGTGTCTTTGTAAGTGTGTACTGTACATCAGCAAAGTCCATATGATGGTATATACACGCCAAGAGCCGCCACCAAAGAGGAAATTCGTCTAGTCCGGGAATTCGATCCCAGAAACAGGATCCCGGTCAATAGTGTCTCTTGCACAGATGCTCATTGGCTTGCAGGCGATGAGATGTGATGGGAGCCCAGGTTGTGTCTCAAGATAGCACATAAATACTACGCCGTTTAGGGATCCTATTCCCTCCGCCGTCAGCTACATAGTGTATTGCTAGCGAGAGTTGATGACAAATGAGGCCGCATAAGAGTATAGGCCATTAGTGCCGTGGTTCACATGTCTCGGATTCTAGAACCTAATCCCCGTGCTATGGGGGGCTATCAGCACCCAACAAACGATGTTCGTACCAGATGCGTTACAGAATACACGATAGTACTAGTAGTAATGCAATTCAATGCAATTTAATACCCTTGGAAAGAGAAAGTTTCTGTAGCCATCTTGCTGTCTACACTATTCCCGGTCCAAAGACCATTTCACCTGCCTAGTCATTGTTAGTCCAGCTCCGTCCGGGTTGCTTATGTGGCGGTGCGGTCCCCGTATGCGGTATCTGGTGGTGGAGAAGCAGAATCTACAGGCGTTTATCCGGTGGAACACCCTCTCAGTGGCTTCCTAGTTCTCTGTCGAATGGCGCCCATGATATGGAGTCGGTTGATGTGAAAGAATCCGCAACGCTGGCTCTCCAGGGCTGTCTCGCTGCAATACACGCCCAAGGCAAATAACGTTTCAGCAGCAGCCCGATTTGGCACAATGTCATCGCTATAGCAGTCAGTAGTCCTGGCCACCGCGTCTCCACCGCCAGCCCACTGTGGCTTGAACCTTTGGCTGGGCCTTTTGGAGTCTCTCTCTCCCCACCTGCGCCCGGAGCTCGACGACTCGCCGATTTCTCTCCCTTCAACCTCAATCGAGCTTCGCATGCCGTCCTGGTCCAGCGCCTGCATCCATTGCAACGCCCGAGCTGCTGCAGCATTGATGCGATTCAGGCCCCCCCCCCTTTCACATGCGCCCCGCGGATGAGCAGACCGGCGGCTCCTTTGGCTTCACACTGAGCCCTGCGACATATTAGCCTCTTGTCTTTCTTGTGCGCTTCTTCTGGTGCTTGTCGTGAGGCCGTCGACACTCGCGAACCGGCCCCGGGCCACGAGTCGGAGACAGGCAAATGGCGGTAAATTTCGACTTTGGCGCCTCTGCGACGTCGCCGAAGCACAACATGGCCGACCACAGCGCCTCGTCGCCGCATCATCCGAACAATGTCACCATCTACCAGACGACCGGGCCAGACGCCCACTTTGGCCCCATCGTGGCCCCGGGAGACTCGGGATCACCGCTGCTGAATCCGCGATCCTGCGTCACCTGCCGGAGGCGCAAGGTGCGATGCGACAAGCAGATGCCCTGCTCCAATTGTCGGCGCGCCTTGATTCCCTGTGCATTCCCCGCGCCCGGCCGTGCGCCGCGCCAGCACCGGCCCAAGGACCCGAATGCCCCTCCGAAACCGACGAGCCTGCGCGAGGTTGAGCTGGTCAAGCGGCTGAAGAAGCTGGAGGGCATCGTGGAGGAGTTGAGCGGCCAGATCGAGGTTGAGACTGGCGGCAGGGCTTCATCTGCCGCGAACTCGCCCTCCAACGAAGGATCGCCCACGGCCCAGCGACCGAAATCCAGCAGCCTGGGCGCATTTGCGGCGGGGGTTGTTGATTTTGGCGACAACCATGCCACTGGCGAGGTCCCCGAGTCTCGTAAGATGAAAGAGAGCCGGAAGCAGCTCGGACGACTGGTCTTGAGCGATAGCAAAGGCAGCGCTCGCTATGTTAGCAGTGGATTCTGGTCCAAATTGAACGATGAGGTATGCAGCATTCCCCCGTATATTTGGCCTGTGGTACAGGCGCGACAAGCAAATTTTCTTGGCACTAACTCGATTCATATGTAGCTGGATGCTATTCGCGAAGAAACGCAGAAGCTTACCGACGAGGATGCCGACGACTCTGAGTTTGAGGAATCGCCGCCCATCGATTCACCTGCCACAGCTGCAAGCTCCTCATATAATCACCAGAGTAATCACCAGAGCTTCATCCTAGGTCATCAATCTCTCGATGCTAATTTAAGAAACTTTCACCCTGTACCCTCTCATGCCACGTTTTTGTGGTCAGTCTATCAGGAAACTGTTGATCCTTTACTCAAAGTCATCCACGTCCCAACCATGGATGCCCTATTACGCGATACCCGAAAATGCCCCGAAAAACTAGCCCCAGGGCATGAATCCTTAGTTTTTGCTGTTTATTACGCTGCAATTGTGGCGCTTGAGGAAGGCGAGGTGAGTACCACATCTCTATTCCATCTTATAACCTATATCGAACCGCTTTGAGTTAACGCTGCTTTAGATACAAACCAATTTCGCCGTTACCAAAGAAGAGATGCTTGCGCGATATCGCTATGCTACAGAACAATCTCTTGCCAAAGCAAATTTTCTAAATACATCGGAACTTGCAGTCGTCCAAGCACTCACTCTATTTCTTCTAGTCGTAAGACGATACGACGAGAGCCGATTTACTTGGTCCATGACCGCTCTCCTAGTTCGGATTGCGCAGGGTCTGGGCATTCATCGTGACGGAACAAACTTTGGACTCTCTCCGTTTGAAACAGAGCAGAGACGACGTGTTTGGTGGGCCATTTTGACTTTGGACTTTCGAGCTTCCGAGGAAATGGGCACCGACTTGCTTGTGGCTGATGGAGACTTCGATACTCAATTCCCTACTAGCCTTAATGATGCCGACTTCTCACCTGCGAGCACTACAATCCCCCCAGCAAGAGAAGGAAAGTCAGAAACTGCAATCTCCTTGGTGAGATTCGAAGTCTGCGCCATGTCGAGGCGCATACGCGACGCGTCTGGCGAGAATACGTCTGGTGCTAGAATTGAAACCGGTGCAGTTGCAGAGAAGGAGCGGATGTTGGTTGAGCTCTATCAGAAGATCGAAGACAAATTCCTTCGGCATCTTAAAGAGGAAGTCGACATTTTATATTGGGTTGCGGCTATGATATCGCGCATCATCATGTCCAAGATGTGCCTCATAATATATCAGCCAATGCTTTTCCCCGGCTCTGATCACGAGCTCACAGCAGAAATCCGCGAGCGGATCTACATTGCCGCCATCGAAATCATCGAATATAATTATAAACTCAATACCGATCCTAGATGCAAACAGTTCCGATGGCTGTTTAGGACATATACGAACTGGTCTGCGATTGCCTATATACTCGTCGAGACATGCCGTCGTCCTTGGACACCACTTGTCCAGCGTGGCTGGGAGGCAGTCAATGGCTACGATAAAGATTTGGCTGAGAACGCCAAGAGAGCTGACCATGCCGTCGTCTTCCTTCCTTTACGTAAACTATTCATCAGAGCAAGGAGATATCAGGAGTCAGAGGTGGCTCGACTAAGGGCTGACCCCGAAGAAGCCAGGCGCCTAGACCTCGCAGAACGAGTAAACCCACCTCGGGCGCGGTTCGACCCAGTTCCAGGCTTAGAAGTCAGGCAACAACAAGTCAGAGAGACATGGAGAGCAATGGTCCAATTGGAGGGCTCCACACCGTCCTCATCAACCTCCAACCCGCAACATCAGCAAACATCAATGAATTCATTCATGCCCGAAGAGTCCAAGCCATCGTTACATCAGACACCAGTAACTGGTGCCACTGGGTCGCACTTCTCACAAAGCAATGCTGTAAGCCAAATGCCTATGAGTATGACCGACGATACCATGGAATACATGGACACTTTTATGGCTCAATCCAACGTCCCCATGGCGGAGCTCTGGAATGTCGGAATGGTAGCCATGCACAACGGGCACGCCACCGTGAGCATGCCAGAAAGACAGCATGTTCAGGGTAACATGGTCGGGCAAGAAGCAATAATGCTACCGAGCCAACAGCCAAAAAACGACCATCACGTTCCACCATATCTTTGGCCCGAGAACTTTGCCCAACCAAATCCAAAGTTTGAAATGGAAGATGCAGACATGCTGGGAGCCAATTTCAATTGGCACGACTGGAATCAGAGCATTCGGGGCTTGGGGATGGAGGGCACGCAATCGAAACAGAGCTGGTGAGAAATAATCCTAGCTGGTAAATATATCGCACAACATACTGTTCCATCACCGTGTATGATATCCTGGCCAAGAGAAGCGATTTAATTGCACTTGTCAACAAGGAGGGGCTGGAAGAGAGTGATTTACGATACGATACCCTTGGGCGAAATGAGGCGTTGTCGTCATGGGATTTAGATACTGCGTCAATTGGAGTACTGCTTGAATTATACTTTATTCGTTTTTTTTTTTTTTTTTTTTTTTTTCATTCTCACCTTTGAAATGTTTCCATTATCTTCCATTTTATATGAGTACGAGTTAGTTATCTGATAGCACTACGCCAAGTATAAAACTGCACCCCAGAATCCTTCCCGCAGAGCCCCACGCAGTGATTCTCTGTCCCACATGTCAACGGAACAGATATCCATAGTTTGTGAGAACTCGTCTTTGTAAAAGCATTCTTTTCATCTCTAGTATCCTTTTTTCTATCTATGCATACACTGAGGCTCTATTGAAAGCCCCCCTTTTTTCACCTTGCCTCTTCTCATCTAGGGTAAGTGAGCGCGGCAAACGTCATGTGACGCTAGGTACTGACGGAAAGACCAACAAGAAGGCGCCTGCCGTGATCGTTTTTAGCGGACCGAACTAAAAAAGCTTATCGGGAGTAAATATCGACCGTCTAACAACAAGTGGGATACGTAACGATCCTCAACCTCACCCGTGGCCCTGCCGTCTTTCTCCCCGACAACTTCGCGCGCGCGCCCTTTGGAACTGCGACACCTGCGGCATCAGCGCCACCAGCCTTTATAGCCTCGGAGCAATGGATCCCGGGCGACGAGCCATGATTGCAGACTCTCGATCGTCTGGTCGTCGAGAGCCCACGGCGCCGCGACCCGATTCAAACAACCGGGTGTCCAAATCGAGCCGACAAGGCCCGTCGACATCTGCGCGCAATACTGCCAAGTACTTGACACAAGACGAACAATCGCGACAGTTCGTGGCCGACGAGGACAAATTCGTGCTGAAGCAGGCCAAGAAGAAGGCCGACATTCGGGTGCGCGAAGGGCGGGCGAAGCCCATCGACATCCTAGCTTTCAACCTGCGCTTTGTCGACGCCGATCGCGATGTCTTCGATGAGGATGATGCCGACGACGAGATTGAAGTAGATCCACCTGCCAAAGTCATTCAAGATCTATCCTCTGCTGGGCAGATATCGGAGCTCGACTCGAATATCGTGTCTTACCATGTTCTGGAGACAGATTCACGGAACCGTCGGTACTGGGAGGCTTTGCGGACACTATGCGCGGATCGGAGGGCTAAACTGGATCCGCGGGGACACGAAGGGAGAGTCGTGAGCAGCGTTGCGGACGACATAGACAGGATCCTCGCACCAAAGACATTCGACGAGCTAGAGGCCCTGGAGAAGCAGATCAAGACCAAGTTAAAGTCAAACGAAGACATCGATACCGATTACTGGGAACAATTGCTTCGCAGCCTCAGGGTATGGAAGGCCAAGGCCACGCTCGCCCGGATAGCGGAAGACATCGACGCGAAGAAGAAGGAGCGGCTTGCAAAAAGGGCTCCGCGCCCCAAAGAGCCCTCCAGAGATGGCGGTCTGCCCACTAGTAGCAGCCATAGTTCAGGTGGCTCCTTGGCGGCAACAAACAAAGTGGATGCTTATGAAACCGGGAACGCAGACGACTCTCAAGCCACAATGGCACTATACGACAGAGAGGCGGCACGCGGGGTGTCTGAAAATGAGGAAGTCTTTGCGGCTGAGGAAGCCCTGCCTAGTGGCGCGCAACCCCCGCAGTGGACAGAAAAGTATCAGGCTCGCAAGCCCAGGTACTTCAATCGTGTACAGATGGGCTATGAGTGGAACAAGTACAACCAGACGCACTACGATCATGACAATCCTCCTCCTAAAGTGGTGCAAGGATACAAGTTCAACATCTTCTACCCTGACTTGGTAGACAAGACCAAAGCACCCACGTTCAAGATCATCCGCGAACATGGTAGAAGACGAGGAGAGTCGTTTGCTGCGGCCGGCGAGGTGGACACTTGTCTCATCCGCTTCATCGCGGGACCTCCGTACGAGGACATTGCGTTCCGGATAGTTGACCGCGAGTGGGATTATAGCGCTAAAAGGGAGCGTGGCTTCAGAAGCTCATTTGATAAGGTACGAACGACCGCCATGTTCCCATTACCCGGTTTGCTTTTTTTCTCCCCCCCCTCCCTGACACTGTCTCGAGTCACGCTGGCCAGCTCAGCCGACATGACCCAAGACAGCCGCCACAAGCGCGGTCCTATCTTGCCTCGCCACTCTTTCGATTAATAACCTTGACCCTGTCGAGCTGCTAACGCTGTAGCCTTGTAGGGAATTTTACAGTTGCATTTCCAGTTCAAAAAGGTAAGCGGGAAATTCATGGCTTCCATTTGGAATTATATCAAAAATGGAGGACAAGGAACAGCTGCTAATTGATGTCTGCAGATATTCTACAGAAAGTAAACAGAGAATCGAGGAATGGCGGGCGCATGATCCGCCTTCACGCACTAGTCGCTCACACCCCTGCGCCACACCAGTATAAATGATGTCGGGTAGAGTGTCTTTTGGCGTGCTGAGGCGACTACAAAAAGAAAAGAGAAAAAACACAAAGAGCAGGACGAAAAAACTTGCTTAATGATAACTGCTATTACGAATCCCTCGACCCACCAAAGAAGGGGAAACAAGGCTAGATACGCGCACACAGGGAAGAAAGAACTAATATGGGAGCAGTACTTTATTCGAGGCTAATAAACAAAGGGAAAGAATTACAAAAAAAAAAAAGAAAAGGAAAAAAAAATACCAGCTAATTCGCTGCCGCAGTGGCTTTCGCTGGTACCTGTACATCTCTCTCACAGCTTTATGCATAGCGGCTGCCTTGATCTTCGGCTGGGATGATGAGGCTAGCTCATCGCTCGGGCTTTGACTTCGCGGATGCTGCTTGCGTGTTGCCGGTGGTGGCAGATCTGCGACTGAGGAATCCTGCTGTCCCACTTCTAGGGCTAGAATGTTTCGCGAAGGCTCAGCAGATACTATTTTCGGTGAGCCTGGGGATCCTTCACAGGGGACTCTGTGGCATCTCGGAGATCCGCGAGATGGTGCATCGATGAACTCCCCTTTCTGGTGCTCTGGACGAGTCGACTGAGACCTGGACCCAGAGACCAGGCCTGCTGGAAGCTGAAACAGGACGTAAGGGCTATGGACGGATAGAGTAGCCGTATGCATGGCGTTCCATCTGCGGACTAGAAGGCTGCTCCTATGCGAGACGGATGGCAATCAAACTTAATGGCTTGACTGAGCTCAACTATTGCACTCGTTTCCGCATCCCCTGACATATACGTACCCGGACACACCCTCCCCCCTCCCTGCGGCAAGCCTTCAGCCGTTTCCGCGGGCACAGCCTTGACGTACATTGTATAGAAGCATCTGCGGTAGGAGAAGCTTCCACAACTACGCTACTACCGGGTACCCAGGCAAGACCTTGGATAAGGGTCCATCAAAGAAATCCCATTGGATCCCTCTCCGGCGGCATGCCGATAGCCGTTGCTGAAGGGTGGAGACTCCGTTGCTGCCAATTAAGAGTGTGGACAGAGCTGACTCGAGGCAGAAGTTCAAGTAGCAGCCCGGACATGCCTACATATGGCAAATGCACGTCGTTCGTATGTAGACCAATAACGGCGGGCTGCCACTTGAAGCCGGGCCAAGACACCCGTGCTCTGCATGGACGTGGAAATTCCGACGCTGGTGGCTTCAGGGAAGGGAGATTGTAGCAGAAAATAGCGACGGCAACATGGGAGATGATCCTATTCACTGCCGCTGAAGGAAAAAAACAACAACACTTGTCGCCTCCGTTTTCCTCTCTTTCTGGTGTCCCCGGCTTCGTTACACACTTGGTCGTCTGGGCCTTCTGCCGGCCGGCCATGTTATCCATATCGACAGCACCCCGGCACTGTTTCAATGAGCCTTTCCCCAGGTTACTCAAGGTGTAACCGATGGCTTCACGTCTGAAGAGACAGGAGTGATGTGCATGAGAGGGTCGCATTGAGGGCTTGCTGGGCTGGCCGTTTCTAAGTTTACGGGGTGCGTGTGTGTGCGAGTGGCACCGCGGACCCTGGATTGCTTGTTCGCATGGCTTCTCTCTCTGTAGGGCCGCCAATAGGGAAAGTCGTCTTATCTGCTATATGTGGGTGGTCTGGGGAGAAAAAAAGATGCTTGTATTGTCCGCAAAGCGACGCATACACACGGCGGCCACACACGTCACGACTGGAACTCGTGCATACAACTGCTCTTTTTTCTCTTCATCACTCGACCACTCAATCACTCCTCTCTTGTATGTATGTACCTGCCTACGCACATACACGCACTATAAAGATGTGGCGCACAAGGAGATGCTCGGGTACTCATGCGCACCCGGGCATCCATGAGGAGGGGCAAAGGGTTTGAACAGGCACCTCATGTCACTAGTGTCCATGGTGTATCCGAGATGCCTGCGCTCACCCCCCGGCAGGACCGATCTTGGACGAATCTCTTCCGGGAGTTATGGGTCTTGGATGTATAGAGACCGGCAGGCAGGGTCCCTTCTTCCCCATGGGCCGGGTCACCTTGATCATCGAGTCCTCTCCATGGTTTTTTCCCCCCCTTCTCGATAAATAGGTTCATTTTCCCCGGGGAATTCGTGCTATCAGAGCCATCACCGCTGGACTAAGAACCCATTCATTTCTACTGTCCCGTGTTATAAGAGTTGTTTATATACTTTTCTTCCCACTTCCACCTGCTCATCACTGTCATCCCATCGGCTGTCCTTGTTTCCCCCCCTCCTCTTATAGCTCCCATAGCTCGGGTGTCCCATACTGTCCTTCTTGTGGCACTCTGCCGCCTCCACTTACATATCTGCCTGGTTCGACACTTTTCCCACTTTCCCGTCTCCTGACGACGTCGTTACAGCATCAGGTCTTTCCGTCTCGACCAGAAAGTCTCTCAACATACAAAACTACCTTCTTTGCTACTCCCCCATTTGCTCCGTCTCGACATCCTCCTCTGCTTCCCCCCCCCCCCGTCAAAGGGCTTCACCCGCCATTCCATCCTATGGCTTCGCCCATTTTGGACAGGAAGCTTCCGGTGGAAAGCTACACGGATTTCCAGCACCCCCAATCTACCAAGCAATCGACCTCCATGGGCTGCTGTTCGCCTGCGGCCTTTTCCCCTTTGCCGTCTAGCTTTGAGAAGGGGCAACAGCATCACCAACCTGATACATGCTCGTTTACTCCGGCGGTTTGCGCTCTCCCACAGCAGCAACGACATCAAGAACTTCAATGCTCACAAGGGGGCCAGGTGCTATCGCCACCAGCTTGCTGCATTGAATCTTGTGCATATATGAGCCCGTACTCGCCGTATCAGCCAAGAAGCCACAGCATCTGGCCATCGCCCCCTCTGAGACCGGGAGATATCCAATATTGTATGCCTTTCCAAGATTTGCCCGCTTGTGGAAGAGCATCTCTACCTTGTCACAACACCTCGCCCGCTTCTCCTGGCGAGTGGTCATCATCAGTATCTGGCTATCCTCCGACGTCAGGCTATATCCATTCGCAGCATCCTGGAGATCAGCCCTTTGATAGGGTCTGCACTCCAATGTCGGCACAAGAGCTCCCTCTTCAGCACCCAGACATACACACTCCCTACACGGCGAGCTTTCATCCCGAATCAGACGTTGACATGCCGACTGCCTACAACCTTTCTGTGTCTTCTCACGCGATGCCAGAACTATCTGCTGTTCCTGCCTCTTCGAGTGCTGGATCGCCAGACGGCTTGCAAGCAGAAACTCCTGCTTCCTTCATTTCGCCCAAGGTCGAGCACATTGACGGCCAGGATGCGGAATTCATGGAGTCGATCCTTGCCGCTCCCCGAGCTGACGAGCCCATGACAATGAGCAGTGCCCGGCCTGACGACAAGGCCGATGAGCCCTACGCCAAGCTCATCTACAAGGCCCTGATGGGCCAACCGGATTATACCATGACCCTGCAAGAGCTCTACCAATGGTTCCGAGACCACACTAGCAAGGCCAAGAACGAAAGGGGCGGATGGCAGAACAGCATCCGTCATAACCTTAGCATGAATGCCGTGAGTGAATCCTGGTCACCGAAGCCTAGCATGTTTGTTGTCTTAGTTTTCTACCCTAGCCCGGTTTTTTTTTTTGTTTCTTTCCTTCTCTTTTCTGTCTTACACCGTTTCTAAAGACCCCGGCAAGTGGGGCTAACATCTGCATGTTTCTTTTCTTTTTCCTATTTTCCTGACTTGCTATTTGCTACGGCGTATGAGACTATCAAGTCGAATATGCCCGGTCTCAATTTCTGCCGCAATTCAGTGGCTGGGAGCCTACCAGATGCTAACTCTTCTACTCTAGGCATTCAAAAGACGCGATCGCAAGCGCGTTGAGGATACCGCCCCTTTGGCGTGCGCAGAAGGCGAGGCCTTATTGGCAGGCGAGGCAAAGCGAGCGAACGAATGGATCCTGGAAGACTGGGCCGTCCGCGATGGGGTGCAGAGCACGACCAGATACCGCAAAGGGAACTCTGGGCGCCGCGCGAGCAGACGCAGCTCAAGCCATCTAGACATGGGAATGGAGCGGCGGCTCAACCAACGCAACAGCACCGTCAGGGCCTTGTCTGGCCAGAAGGGCGGATGCGCGGCTAGAAACTCGCGTATTCGGGGCCATCTGTACGGCCACGAGCTGCCGCTGGCCAGTGGCCGCCAGTATCGGCTCGTTGACAGCGGCCTGGGCTCGCCCCCAGCTCCCATGGCCGATCCCTTCTATTCCATGCCCATTGCAATCCCACGGATCGACCCGGCGGCCATCCAGACCCCCATGGTGCAAGGGCACAGCAATAGCGCGGATTTTGGCACCGCAGCCACCGCCGCCACAGAGCTCTTTGGGCTGCAGATGGCAGGACCGCGGATGGACCAACAGGTGGCTGGCGGAGGCAATGGTCACGGCGGCATTCATGTGGTTTCATACATGGGCCAACAGGAGCAGATGTACCTGGAGCCGTCGCCCGCAGAGTTTCCATATGGCATTGCAGATGTCCAACTAGACTACGCCGGTGACCACGCCAATATCAACGTTCCTGAGCAGATCCGGCGCCATAACACCATCATCGGCACTCCGAGGATCGGCTGGACCAGCCCTAACGGCGTCTAGAGGCAAGCCAGGATGAGGCTTATGATATGCAGAAGCAAGAGAGTCAGCCTGCTTTGCACTACGGGAGCCCACCCACCCACTCACCCGCCCGCCAAACTTTGTCTGTCTGTCTTTTTGAACGAGCTGGTCTCGGAGGGGGGGAGGCTTGGTATACACAACGTCACGCTGGACGGTTGACCGTACGACACACAACGCTCCCGTTCCGATTGGCGAAGTGGCTGGCCACACGCACACACGCACACCTACACTCTCACGCGCACACGTTTTTCCCTTACCGCGCTCCGCATGTCATGTCAAACATGCATACGCATATACGCCAAGCAGGGTTGAGCTGGGAGCATCCTGTACATCTATCTGGTGATGAGCAGCGGTGACAGCCACAGCCCCAGTTTACAACAGCAACAACAGCAGCGACAGCAAGCAACAGTTACAGCGATAACAGCAGCAGCAACAGAGTGACGGGGACAACAATCACGCAATTCAACGGCAAAGCGGAGAGGGAAGAGAAGACGGGAGCCTCGACAACGCAAAAACAACGCACGCCGGGACTGTGACTGCCACCACCAGTCTAGACTGGCACCGCAGCAGCATTGACGCAGAAGATGGATCAAGTACCACGGGTCAGTGGAGTTGATGCCCGGTCTATGCGTTTCTCAACGCGGCTTCTGGTTTTGGTGTCACCACCAGCGCATTCTCCGTCCTCACACACACACACACACACACACACACACACACACACACACGCACTCACTCACTCACCCACCCGCCCACCCACCTCACTGCCTTGGTGGATACGAAAAAAAAAAGAACAAGAGCCAGGGTAGGGGGGGAGACTAGAAGGAAAGCCACGGCTATCTCAGACGAACCAACAGCCGCGTCCACGGCTGCAAGCTGCAAGGGTCTGCCCCATGATGGATGCCACCATTGCTCAAACCGGCCTGGCTTCAACGCCTGGACTACCTAAACAGGCGAACAGAGGCACACTCAATTCGCACGAGGCTAGCAATGTGCCGCAGCATGGGAGACACTTTGGAGGCAGAGAGACGTGGTTGTCTGCCGTGCCGTGCCCTGTTCTGTTGCCCCCAGGCAGGTGAGGGTTGGATCTGCTTTTTCTCTCTGCCTTTGACAGATGTCTCTCTGCGTGTGTGTTATTTGGCGGTACACAGACACAACCGCCTCAACTCTTTTCTACCTGCTCAACAAACTTCTATTTCTTCTTTTTGGTGTTTTTTTTCTTCTTTTTTTTCTGGCAGGAATTGATTGGCCTATGGACTTGGTTATTCTATGGAGCGCAACAAAAATGTATACTATCTATGCTGCGCTGCTCCAAGAGAGAGCCTTTACGGGATGGAAATGGTTATATGAACAGTGATGGAAGCGAGCAAACACAAAATAGGGAATGGAACTTTTCTTAATTGGGCATGGATATGGGTTTTTTCTGGCTTCTACTTTCGGCTGGCTTTTGTTTGTTTTTTTGGCGACATTAATGCGTTTGCTTTTTGTTTTGTTTTTGGTTATGGCCGCTGCCTCCATACCCGCAGTGTTTTTTCAGCACTGCTAGTTTTTTTTTTTTTTTTTGAGAGCGAGATCTTGTCTTTCTATTTTTGTTTCTGTTTTGGTTTTTCACATAGAGTTTCTGTTTTCACATCTAGCTTAATTCCACGACATTTTTGGTATTTTTTTCTCTGACCGACTTTACTTTCACCGTCTAACAGCCTTTGTCGTGATATGCTACAACACTTGGTGGAATACATTATGACCAGGTACTATATGCATGTTGAGTCGATGTGGCACACCGCCAGCTGAGCATGTATTCATCCCATCTATTCCCCAGAGAAAAAAAAAAAACACATAGCACAGCCCGTGTAAATTCTCCTTTCTTTCTTTCTTTCTTCCTTTCTTGTCTTTCACAAAGAGAAAGAAAAAAAAAAAAAAAAAAAAAAAAAAACAAAGCCTCTCCCAAAGCCGGCAAGTTCCGACGAAAACTTTCCTAGCGTTGAAGCGCGATAGCAGGGCCAACAGCCAACGGCCAAGCACAAAAAAAGGGTGTATTATCTCTCTCTATCTCTCTATCTCTTTTGGAAGAGGGGAGAAGCTGGTGGCGGGCAGCAGAGGCCAGGCGGGCAACAGTGCCTCGATCTCTGGCGGTATGCAATGCTCAAACGGTGCTCTGTACGCTCCAACGCATTAATCTATATTTGGCATTGGGCAGGACACACAGATGGCCTCCCCCTCCACTGGCAGATTCTGGCAGGCCAGGGCGCTAAACGGTGGTGGTGAAATGAGGAGGAGGAAGCAGCCGCGCCACACAAACAAGCCCGGCAAGGATCATTGGCTGGGCGGTGAATGACTGGAGGTCGATGGGAATGCGAATGTGTGTACAGGCAAAGGTACAAGCAAAAGTACAGGTACCCCTCGGCCGGCGGTAATGTCGTCTTCCCGCTTGTTTGAGGTACACAACGGCCGATCGATGCGGATGAGCTCCCACTGGCGCTCTCTTCCGCCTTGCTTCCCACCAACAGCCAACGCAGTAGTGCATCTGCTGGCGCCGGGTCTTGACTGAGATTTGAGGGGGGAGAGACAGCCATAGTTTCGAGGTAAACTCTTTTCGTCGGGCCAAAAGTCCTGGGATGGCCCTTGTTGTGGTGGTTTGGACAAGGATAGACGGCAAAGGGGAAAAGGCCTAGAAACATGCGGCTGTGGGAAAGTCCATGTACATACAAGGCTCTCAGCCAGAAAATAATCCGGGCACATGTCTCTCCGAAGAGCAGCGCTGAGTAGGCTGGAGGTGGCGTAGTCCGGGAGACATGAGCACGATGTGGCAATGGCTGTAGCTCCTCTTCAATCTTATTTTAATGTTCATCGATGGAATCTTGGCGACGATGGTGACGATATCAGTTGACATCAACAGACGTGCTACCACCTTACACCAGCCAGCCCACCCGTTCCCAGCCCTGGCAACAAACTCGGCGGTCGCGGCGATATGAGCTCTGTTGAGCCTGGGCTACTGAGCTTCGGTGATCGACAATATTGCTCTATCGGGCCTCATAAGCCGCTTGATTGCCATTTCCAGCAAGCTAGCCAGGATCGTTCACAAGAAAAGGACTTGGCAAAAGATGGGGCTGGTCCATCTTGATCTTGTATACAAGCTTGGTACATCCAGCAAGCAAGCCTTCCTGATCGGAAAAGGGCTTGCATACCGCCTGTATCCGGAAAGTGCTGTTGGGAGCCCTGGTATTGTCATGCATAGATAAAAGACGTTTACTCGTTTTTCCAACCTTGTAACAGGCGACTGCATGCCGGCCATTTATCCTGTCTGATCGGCAATGGCATAAATCATGCAAGTTAGACAGATGTATCCGAACAATATGCCATTCTGGGACCAACCTGAGATGTGCCAACAATACAGTTATGCAATGCAGATCTCTGTTGTTTTATCCATGCCTCACCGCTATGCAGCCCATTGAGTGTCACTCACGATGCCACCCGCCAGCGGCAGGAAACTGGGGTTTGGAGGATACTGGAGCACGCTCTAGAAGAACTCCAACAGAGGGCATCCTTGCGTTGATCCCAGTCGCGTCTGATGCGCGGGCCTTGGACCTGGAGCATTGTGGTAGCAGTACATCGTGCCTGGTTTTTCATGCACTGGCCATGTATTGCCTTGAGCGCCATTGAACCCCAGAATGCGCTGCATCTTCGCTTTATGGACCTTGCTGTGGGGGTATGGCGCAGACCTTTTATTGCCCACGCCCTCTGATCCTGCTCTCTGATTCTGCTCTCTGAGGCCCTGGGGATCGTGTGTGCGTACATACGGCTGCAAGGCTTATCGGGCCTGTGTGAGGCACTGCAGTGCGGTGCTCCATGACATGCGGAGAAGAACAATGCTCCATATCCTGGCCCCAGTAGTCTCTCTGAATGAAATCAAACATTCCTTTCGCCATTTAGTCGTGAGTGCTGCATGGCGGCTGGGCACATGATGCAAATACTCGTTGATGGAAAGTACACAATAGTGCGGTAAGATGGAAATTGCCCCTCCCCTTTGCATCCGTATTAGTAGCTTTAGGCTGCTACTGAACGGTAGGTAGAGGCCCGTACTGTATGACGGACTTCAGTCAGAAGCAGTGGCGGATAAGTGGGAGTAAGATCCGTATGGGGTCACAGCAATCGAATCTGGGAATTCCAAGCGAGAGGAAAACGGGAGGCCCATGGGAACTTGGTAGAAGCCGCCGTTGAGAACCCATCTCAGCACGAGGCTTTCATTCAGGGATGCCTATTTCTGACTCCCTTCGCTTCCCTCATCGTAATCACCTTTTCAGCCCCATGATGGCTTGAACGAGTCTCCAGATAGGTAGGGATATCGTTGACAAGGGCCTGGAGGGAGCTATCTGCGGCAATGCGTCGGCCGCATGCAGCGGTAATGTCCAGCTGGCCACGTAAGAAGCCGCCCGGCCGAGGAGTAATCTTGATACCGCCTACTCTTGAGTCTTGGGACCCTATATGCTGGTCAAAGACTGGAATGGCTAGGGAGCTGAGGGTGTGAGCCGCAGATAGACTTTCCGGTCTAGCCACACTCGCAGATTGCTAGATTTAGAAGAGCAAGGCCAATGGTGTCTAAGAGGTCCCGATTGACGCTAATAGCGGTAAGGTAGGAAATGATATCTTGATACTAATTGCCCGATATCAGGCTGTAAATCCTCCCCCATAGCCCAAACCCTGGCAGGCTCTGAATCAACCTAATCGGCGTCTCTCGGTTACCGCTAAATGGTCTTACCGTCGCTTCTGCCCAGTGCGTGTTTGTTTTCTTTGATCCATCCTTATTCTGTTTACCGAAATTACAGACACTACTCTGTGTCATATAATAATAATTCTAGAAAGGTAGACAAAGTGCCTCATTTTCATCCTTTCGGGGGGCATCCACGTGCTTCCGCATGTGGCCACCCTGAAATTGCTGCGCAGAGGGCCAGGCAGCAAGGATAGGACGATATAACCAATCATATGGATAGCCTCCGGCTGCCATTGGATGGTTGCATGCAGTAAAAGTACCTATGTACCATGTCGTGTAGAGATCTCCGAATCGGGCTTGCGTATTCTGATAAGTGACAGGTAGACTAAGGATGGTGCCATCGATATATAGTATGGATCTCCAGTGCTGTGATAAAACCTTGGGTGCTCAAATTCTATACGAGAACGCTTATAATAGAGTTCTTTGGATCCATTCCGGGGTTTCAGTTGAATTTTCGAGCAAGCTGTATCGCATCCAGAGGTGAGGCCAGGTTGACGATCGAAAGGAGAATGTATGTTCTTGGGCCGTGCGTATCGTGACACTGCTTTGCCAAACCGCCACCTGGAGACAGACCCTTGTACCAAGTCAGGCGCATTGACACGTCTCCGCGTAGCAGTTTAAGTTAGTCCTCAGCTGGGGATGTCGCAGCCACTCATCATAGGGCAATGGAAGCGGACTTCGCCGCTGCCTGCTTCTAGTGCCCACGCTCTGCCCTTATTCGCTTACACGTGCATGATTTGGTACGCGCCTCGTCGAGAGATGGATCCTGCGAAATTGGTGGTGCAGCCGGAGGGCCAATCCCAAGCGGCTGCCGTCGGATCTTTTCCACAGCCTCTTCTTTTCAGCTTGGTTTCCTTTTTCTGCCACCCTTTTTTCTGCTCACCGGTCGACATCGCGGTGTAGCATGGCTGAGCTACGTATGCAGCACTCTGTATGCCCCTTATTCTAAATCCCAGGGGTAAGTAGGGAGACCTCTCGTGCTCGCAAACCTCGTATTTTGTCGTGCAAATCCACTTAATTCCACAGAGCTGGCCATGGTGAGAGACCAAACGCTGTGTACTAAGTAAGACGGTTCCAATGACACTGACCACCCTCAGGCACTTGTTGAGCTGAATTCTTCACATTTCTGCAACAAGTCATGGCAACTTGAGTTCGAAATTCGACGAATCATTTCTCCTTCTCTTCCGACTTGCTGCTGCTCAGACCAAGAGTCGGTCGGCGTGTTCATGCAAGTCGACGGCGAGCGATTACCGATGTGGCCATAGTAGAGCTGGCAAGTATGGCGTTTGTAGTAGTACATACTCTTATCTTTCATCTGATACATGAGCCTTTTTCTGCTCTCCATAGCCTTCTTTATCGGCAAGAGCTAAACTTTTCCATAGCTATACCCCAGTCAACTGATATGGGTAATTGTAAAGGCTGAAGAAAGAGGGAATAAAGATACGAATGGGAATTAGAAGGGCCATTAATAGCCCAGAGCGGATGCGTAACTTGCTGTCACGGCCTATAGACTGTAAACCAAGGATTGTAAAGTGCTTCATCTTTTGGGTGTCCAAGAGGGAACTAAATTCTGGTGAGATCCTTGTGAGAAGTAGTACATGATAAAATGATGCGATTAGATTAAAATGCTATTTCAGAATCGCCTCTTCTTTTTAGCAGGACCGGCTGCTGCTTTTCGTTGAAGATCATTCTTCAATTCTTCGCGTCTCCGATCAGCGCGTTCCTGTGAGGTTTCTCTAGGTTGGTCCTCAGTTTGGGACTCCTCGCGCTCAGCTGGGCGGCCTCGTTTTGCACTGTTATCCCCTATTGACGTTTTGGAGCCTCCAGTATCAGATTTCTTTCCGATAACTCCCAGCTTCTTTGGCGCCTGAGGCTTTATGGTTGCCTGCTTCTCGGTGTCCTCCTTCACTTCGGCAGCTTCTGCCGCTTCTGTGGCACGTATTTTTGTTGCAGCACCGCCGATGCGCCCTAGCCCTCCCGCCTTGGTGATGGGTTTGGGATGAGCTGGCGCGGGTAAAGAAGAAGATGGACCGTGGCTTGTAATCATTTCATCATCGCTAGCCTCGGATGCTGTCTCGTCCTCATCTGCTGGGACTGGTGTCGTCGTTGCCGGCAAGCGATTTGTCTTGGTATCTTGTGACGATGCAGCGTTCTTTGCACCGGGCTCTGGTGGAAGTTTCACTGCCATTTCCTCCTCATCTTCTGTAGACGCATCATCAGCAAGGGCTATGGGCGAGCTCTTGTTTTTTGACTGAAGATGAGGAGGCGTGGGTTGGACTTGAAAATCATCATCATCTTCCACGTTCATCGATTTGGTAGATGGCGATGGCAATCTTTTCGTAGGTGATGCTATTTGCTGTTTGCTACGACGCACCAGTTGTGACGTGCCCTTGAAATCATGCCACCACGTATCCAGTGCTGGAGAAGCGTCTACCTGTATCAAACATCGTTTGTTCAGGCCTTCTCCGCCAAACACATTCCTTGCAAGATCGCCAACATTGGTTGGGCTGTTTTCATCTGATTTGAGGCTCGCTTTCCAATTATGTTTGCGAAAAGGGGCCAGTCCCTTTACTTTCTCTTCTGCAGCGCTTCTTGTCACTTTCTTTTTCCCTGAAAGAGCCGTGAAAACATGCTCCAGGCCAGTCCCGGTCGCTTCCAGCTTATCGGCCAGCTTAGTTATGACTGTATCTTTGTGACTCATCTCCTGCAATAGCGCTTTCACTTCTTCCTTTCTAGCGAATTGTGCTTCAAGCAGAGGTAAGACGAGATCAGTAGCAATAGCCGATGGAGGAGACTTCTTAAGATGAATAGGCCATTTCAGGGGCTGGAATCCTGGGAGCGGGCAAGTAACCAGAAGGGACAGGCCGTCCTCGCCAGCTTCTGCGGAAGAGCCTGGTGACAGGGTGAGAGCAGTCTGCTCATGACCCGGTTGAGTGGGATCTAGGGCCGATCTCAAGCTACCAAGGAATTTGGCCATGTTCTCGGGCGTGTCACTCGGGTCAATGCTTGTGTTCTCGCTCCACCCCCTCATGAAGATGGCCTTTCGGTCCAGGCTTTCGACCCAAATATTGGCCAAATCAGTGATTCGGACAGTGTAGGCAGCGGTGCCGATATCAACCGACACCAGAAGCATGGGTATGTCAGATGATGAGGCCTGAGGCAAAGGCTGCCATGTCAAATCGCCGGCCATGGCGTCACAAAAGGGGCCCCGTGGCGGCTGCGATGAGAGAACAGCGCGGTGAGGTCAAAAGTCGAAAGGGCCGCGTGCTCGTGAGGCAGCCCCGTGTGCACCAAGGGAGATTCTCGGTGAATACAAGCTGGGGAACCTAGTGATCCGTGGCCAAGGTTGAAGATGCAACAGAGGCGGCGTCGCACTGGGGGACGTGCGCAACGGATCTGTCTTTCTGCGACAGCGGTCGGACAGCTCTTTGGCTAGCAAGATTAAACCTTTCTTGAGAGGAAAGGGCTCCAGATATCACAAAGCAATTTAGGGCCGACACTCTGTTGATGGTTTCGTAGAGCTTTGCTCCGTAGGCTCAGGCTGATTCACATCCAAAACTGGCTCGGCAAGGCGCTCGTGTACGACACGGCATGTCTCTGCAAAAGCCGAACTACTAGTAGCGTTGGAACCGGTATTGTTCTGGAAATGAGGCAGAACGCGTCAAGTCAAGACCCAGCGCAGTGGCGTCGCGGCCTCATCCTTGCTCTGCGCAGGAATAGTGGTGTGGCGCTGCATTCTAGGTATCCATGGATGCCTGTAGGCCAATCAGCTGGCGCATCCTATACGACAGCTGGCAGCAGCTGTTGGAGCCCGAAGCTGGATTCTCAATCTCTGATGGCGTAATTCAGTTGGGCAAAAGGAAAAAGAAGTGGTAGACTAAAGAAAACGAAAGAACTGAATCCGTAATAGCTTTCTAGGTCATCCAACACGTCGCTTGCCTCTTTCCTCTTTTGTTTTTTGAAAGTCTAATCGTGCGCCAAGCATTGCAGGTACGAACCTTTCAGCCAAAGCTTGTAGGCACTATGTAAAGGTACAAGGTACCGCAATAGCGGCGCTTTGATGCAGCTTGTGCTAAGTATCCAGAACACCCAGCCAGCAAATAGACGTGGTTGCTCTTGCATCTGTATTATTTTCGACTGCATTATATGTAGGGTCATCCAGCTGATGGCTTATGCATTGTTCAAGGAGTATGGCGGTGATATTCAAATCTGTATGCGAGTTTTCAATTCCAATTCGTTCGTGCTACTGCTTAATCTCCGCCTTGTCTCGCTACTTACGCAGGGATACCAAGCCACTGAAATCGCACTGACATCGCACCAGCCAAAGTCCCGATCTCCAGACGCCAATGACGCAGGCCACATCGAGGCCATATCTCAAAACCGTGAATTTGGCGTATAATAAGTAAAGCATGGGGCAGTTGAACCAAACTCACGCGTACTTCAGTTCTTGCCTCTTAATATTTTTGAACTACCGCTATATCGTCAAGATTATCATTTAAGAATCCACCGTGTGTAAATGCTCGCGAGGAGCGTCTATACGGTAACTCGATCTCAGATCACAAGCACGAGTTATCTGCCCTCACTTTCGTCATATTCTAAATTTCTTCAACCAAAATTCACATTCTCTACAATGCCTCCAAAGGGCTCCAAAAGGAAAACAGCCTCCCCTGTGGGCAAAGCCAATGGAGTTGAGACCAAAAGAGTGAAGCATGAAGCCAACCAAGATGAGCTCCACCAACCTCATCCATTCGCAAAGGATGCAGAAGAACATGGCATCGTTCTACGACGCTTCTATCCGCATGAAATGAGCACTTCTCGAGCTTATGCATACAATTCTAATGAAATTGAAAGGCCAATGGAAGGACTCGTCGCGGCACTGGAAGAGACAGCCGGAGCTCGAAAGCAAGCCAAGGTCCGGCACGCCGTAGTTCACTGGTTTAAAATGGATCTTCGTCATTCCGATAATCGATCACTTGCATTGGCCAGTGCCAAGGCTAAAGAGGCTGGCGTTCCTCTCATCTGCGTCTACATCATAAGTCCTCAAGACTTCGAGGCTCATCTCACGTCGCCGGTCAGAGTAGACTTTATGTTGAGAACTTTAAGCGTTCTAAAAGACGATCTGGCGGCTCTCGATATCCCTCTCCATGTGGAAACCGTGGATAAGAGGAAGGATATTCCACGTCGCATTTTGGAGCTCATGGAAGAATGGGGAAGCAACCACCTCTTCGCCAATATGGAATACGAAGTTGACGAACTGCGACGTGAAACTCGTATGATTCGGCAGTTTGCGGAAAATAATATGTCGTTTGAAGTGGTTCATGATACGTGCGTGGTACCCCCAGGAGAGTTGCATAGCGGTACTGGCAAGCAGTATGCTGTTTACACTCCTTGGTACCGAGCTTGGATGGCTCATATTCATGAGAATTTGGATCTCCTCGAGATTTATGATCGGCCGGAGAAAAATCCAGGTGCCACGCGTCGAACCTTCAAGACGCTCTTCGATTGCCCAATTCCAGATGCACCAAAGAATAAGCAGCTCAATGATGAGGAGAAAAAGAGGTTCCACGGTCTGTGGCCTTGTGGCGAACATGAGGCCATGTCAAGATTGGAGAAATTTTGCGACGAGGCAGTCACAAGCTATCACGATAGGCGAAATATCCCTGGGGACAATGGGACGTCATGCCTATCTGTGCATCTTGCAAGCGGGACAATCAGTTCCAGGACATGCGTTCGGACAGCCAGGGACAGGAACAAGACTAAGCGATTAGATGGTGGTCATCAGGGCATTCATGTTTGGATCAGCGAAGTCGCCTGGCGAGATTTTTACAAGCACGTTTTGGTTAACTGGCCATATGTCTGGTACGTATATAAATCGTGATTCTCATTTGTTAGATCGACTGCTAAACTTGTTCAACTAGTATGAACAAGCCATTCAAGCCCGAGTATGCGAATATCGAGTGGTCTTACAACATGGATCATTTTGAAGCATGGTGTGAGGGGCGAACTGGATTTCCCATTGTCGACGCTGCGATGCGTCAGCTCAATCACATGGGATATATGCATAACCGGTGTCGCATGATTGTCGCTTCGTTCCTGTCCAAAGATCTGTTGATTGATTGGCGCATGGGTGAGAAGTATTTCATGGAGCACTTGGTCGATGGCGATTTTGCGAGCAACAACGGTGGCTGGGGATTCAGTGCCAGCGTTGGAGTTGATCCACAGCCCTACTTCCGCGTCTTTAACCCATTGCTCCAAAGTGAAAAGTTTGACCCCAACGGCGAGTACATCCGTAAATGGATTCCTGAGCTGAAAGCCTTGAGTGATAAGGAGATACACGACCCGTATAACCGAGGTGCTGGCACCAAAGCGAAGAAGCAGGGCTATCCGAAGCAAATCGTCGATCATAAAGGCGCGAGGGAGCGTGCTCTGAGCGCATACAAGGACGGGCTGGAGAGAGGGATCTAGGAGAAATTGGATATCGAAAACGGTTCATCTGATAGTTCAATAAGTGTCAATTAATATGGTCAATTCGTACTTGAAAATCTAAGCATGTTTGACCCGTATCTGTACCATGGCGAGCAACTTAACCGCCACAGCTTTTTGAAGGCCAAAGTGTTTAATCTTCGGCTTGGAAACTATCAGAGCAGCTCCAGAATCCCCGACCATAGAGCGCAGGTTAGTGCTCGCTCGAGGAGACTTTGCTAGCCGGTATGTCTTCATAATGAGGCGGGGAAAAAAAGGAAAAAGTCTTTAATAAACGTCACATCCGAATCGCATATTTCCACGTCGAAATCTTCTTGTCTTGAAACGGAGCCAAAACGCCTTGAATTGGATTTGCTACATGCAGCCAACTCTAGTTTCCACGCCCGCCTTTCATACCCATGCTAATCCCTATTCGCGAGGTCAGTCAACCCGCTTTCCGTATTTCGATGCCGCTCGTTCCCGGTTCCTCGTACCTCTTCCAAATTTTTATGTTTTTGAGAAATTTATCGCTGGGCGCTCCAGACGGCCTTGACGAGACCATCACGCTGAGCCAATCGGTTCAGGGAGTCGTCGGACTCACCCATGGCACGGACGAAGCCGCACAGGGCGTAGACGTGGTTCTCTCCGGGGACGGCACGGCCGTTCTCGTCAACCTTGGCAATGGAGATCTGGACGGAGCCGTGGTCCTTGGCCTTGATGATGCGGTTGGTAGCGCTGCACTTGCGCGGGACGTAGCTGGACGGACAAGAATCAGTATTTCGGCATTCCTTCAGCAGGACATCGTAAAGGTCCTTACAGGTCGACGATCTCGCCACGGTCGTTCTCCATTTTGGCTGTGAGGAGGGGTAGTGTGGTGGTGTAGAGGAGTTGAAGATGCGGAAAGATGGTACTGAGCCTTTTGCTGGGGCCAAAAAACTACCAAATTACTAAATTTCGAATAATTTTCGTGTGCGAAACTGTCATGTGATTTGTGGATCGAGCTACCAATTTTAGACTGTGCGCCTCTCCAGCTTTTAATAGCCCACTATTTTCCAATGTTAGTAATCGGCTAGCTGTATAAGTACGCTATACAGTACAGTATAATCAAGCGAGAGAATCAATGATTTACAGTCCAGCTTTTAAGAGGTACAATACGGTACTTGAATATCAAAGGTAATCGGGGAGTAAAGCTCTTCTCTCCACTCACGTAGTTTTTATCAAACCTGAAAATGCCTGGTGTTTGCTTGGATGATTACTCGGGTCGCACTAGTAGTAGTTTGGAGTCAGTGTCAAGTGGAAGTTACCAATACGTCTTCCTCCCTAGAAAAGAAAGACAAAAAGGAAAAGCCATTGAAGTGATTTTAGCAAAAAAGGATAAAATACGGCATAAATGATCTTGATCTGTTTGCTACTAGTATTTTAGGGTTCTTCCCAGATGCTCGATTTACACCTTGATACTGAAGAAACGTGAACTAGCCCGTCATGTGATCACGCGGCGGTCACGCGTTTTGTTGGCCATGGAGGGGGCGCCTCTTGGCTAATTAACGATTGTATTGACACATCCGCTCCGAATTACGGGGAAGGGCGGGTATCAGAGGGCCGAAGAAGCGAAAGATTCATCTGCCATGCGAGCTCTCCGGTTTATGTGACTGCGATCAAAGACGTTGACTGGGCTACTGCGCGCCGACTATCTGAGATGCGCTTTGCGCTCTCAGAGGTTTGCTGCGGGCATGATGGCATCCCCTAACGCCTTTCTGCCCTCACCATCACGAAGTGCCCGGCAGACGTCGCATTTCTTCCGCTCTTCATCTCCTGACCTGCCTGCTATTGGAGATATACTATCACCTGGCGTAAGAATCCGGTCACCTAGATTTGGCGACAAAACACTGGTGATCTCTTCCGACGAAGAGTCTGCAGTCAAAGACCGCGATAAAAAGAAACGCTCCAAAAGTGTGACTGCGGGGCCAACTCCGTCAGTCTCGAATAGATCTGGTACCGCCGATGATGGTGACAGTTCTTTATGCATCATTGATCCTCCCGCTACGCATACTCCGGTGGCTCAGAGAAACCATGCGACGCCACCAAGATTCAGAGCACAATCTAGCTCTCCCACAAAAGATCAGCCTTGGAGAAAGTTCAAGTCAATAACAGACAATTTTCAAGGCGACAGTCCCGAAGGCCAGGAGACTAAATCTGAAGTCATTAGGACTATATCATCCCCACGGCCAGCAAGCAATCTACCTCCAGTAGTGGAGCCAAACTCCAAGCGAGCGGGAAATGATATCAATGAGCCGCTACGATTGGAACCGGCCATGATTCGAAGACTGGACTGGACACCCCCATCTAATAAGACTTTGGCCATTCATGAGCAACAGTCTTCTTCTGCTATGAAGGATACGCGTTCGCCAGAGTTTCAAGAAGAAGACCAAAATTTTGAGCAGATCCTCGATGCCTACAAATGCACAGATAGCTTACAGCAAAATGTTTCAACGCCATCAGGAGAAGGGGCCAATGTTTTGGGAAAGCGAAAGCTTCTCGAGATGGTTGTCACAGCTGCAGCACCCGCAGCTGTATCCGCTGAAGTTCAAGAAAAATCTCCTGTGAAACAAAAGGTGCCAAGGAAAAGACCACGCACCATAACAGAGATTGCAACCTCGGCGTACAGAGTGCCAGACGCGCTTGAGCCAGTGCCAGGAGCGATGAACGATTTTTTTGTCACGATCACGCACAATGACACAGATGATCCAGCCGCTAAAGACGAATCCAAGAAAAAGCCTAAAAGGAAGACGGCAAAAGCTGCGGCCAAGAAAAAGAAGAAACTATCACCACCGTCACCAATTCTACTACCCCCAGCAGAGGCGCTTCAAGAAGTTGCGAGACAAGATTTTGTCTTTGGAACCTCGAGCCAATTAGCGATTGAAAACTCACCCACCTTTTTACGAGACCTTCAAGCTGCGATGAGGCGCTCGAATCGGGCTGACTACGTGGATCTTGACAGCCCTCTAAATAGTGACGGTATCGAGCTTCCAGAGCGAAAGAGGTTATGGGCTGCTGGTGCTCGTGACATTGATGGAGATTTGTTTGATCTTGAAATCAACAAGATTACGGAAAGATCATCTCAACCAGTACCCATGCCGTATGATAACGAAGATCCATTTGGTTACATTGGCGGAGACACAAAAACTACACTGCCTGCGAAGGATGATGTTGGAGCCCAAGCTGAACTACCAAGCGGTCCCCTTATCAACATCAACGAAGTTCTCCCCAATGGCGCCAAGCCCATCGAAATCAACGACGACTCTATATTAGCAGGTGGCGAAAGTCTAATTGAATCTCCCGTCAAACAAGTGTCCAACCTGGCTGGTGGATCCCAATCTTCAAAGACGCACAGACTCGGGGGCCCAAGCAATTCAGATCAAACCCAACATCACAGTTCAAAACCCTCATTCGAATTGTTTACGGATGCCCAGCTGTCCAAAGAAGTGGCTTCATACGGGTTCAAAGCCATCAAATCGCGCCAAGCAAAAATATCTTTGTTAGAGCATTGTTGGCAGAGCAAAAGCGGTATACAACAGCCTAACTCTACGAGAACATTTACTACTTCCGCAGCCACAGGAAAAAGCGCATTGGACAATAGCGTCCGGACACCACGTGGAAGGCCGAGGAAGAATAGCGCCTCTAGTTCACCGGAGATACAAGAGCCACCGCCGTCTGCACAACCTCCTGTGTCTCCGTCAAAGCCTCGTGGGAGACCGAAGAAGTCTGTTACTGCTGCAAAACGTACCACAACAGGTCCTTCGAAAGGGAAAAGGGCTTCACCAAAAGCGTCAACAGAAACTCCCACGGCACAAAAGCGCAAACCAAAGGCGACCAAAGTCATTGTAGAGATTCCGGATTCAGCATCTGATAGCGAGCACAGCCTACCCTCAGACCCGGCCTCCTCTCCCGGGCTCCCCTTTTCACAGCCTCGTGTGGACCTCTCCACATCCGTCATGGACGACACAGATCTCAACTTGTCTGGAGATCAGTCGCTGGGTTACGAGTACATAACTAAAGCCGTGCAGTCGGCACCACGGACAACAGACCCGAAAGATCCTTCTTGGCATGAGAAAATATTGCTCTATGACCCGATTGTACTCGAAGACTTCACGACGTGGCTGAATTGCGGGCAACTAACACGTGTGGGATTCGACGGCGAAGTGAGCACGATGGAAGTCAAGCAGTGGTGCGAGTCCAAGAGTATATGCTGTCTGTGGAAAGTCAATCTGCGTGGTAAGGAGAGGAAACGGTATTAATGAAGAGCATGAGCATGAGCATGAGCATGAGCATGAGCATGAGCATGAGCATGAGCATGAGCATGAGCATGAGCATCTGGAGTTTTTTAACGGGCATTTTTTTCTCTTATAGTTTTTCTATGCCTTGTATATGAGATTTGTATATAGTCTAACGCTTCCAACGACATATGCTTCAAATTCCACAAGTTGCTAGCTCAAGCAGCATCATATTTCTCATCCAAATACTTTGATGGCTTATCGCCGTCGATGGCCCGTTTATTGCCGTTTTGTAGCATGAGATCGGACCCCATTTCTCGGAGCGCGGAGTCGCATTCGTTACGGGGTCTGGACAGCACAAGGCACGCTTCCCCGCAAAATCGAGCCGTGGAGCCGGACCTCGGTTCCCAGTCTCTGTCCCTAGTCGCGCAGCCACATTATGAGGACAGCTCTTAAAGCCTAATATCTCACACCCGTCGTCTCTTTTTGCTGCAATGATATCGGCCGCATATGCCGTGAGCAGGCCATTGTCTCTTCGCATCAGCAGCTTGGCGTCATCAGCGCAAAGACCACTCACCCGCCCGGTCCATCTCAGCCCTGCCATGATGGCTTCGCAACCGCCGACCTGGACGCGCCTCTACTCACAGCCCGCGGCTCCACAGCCAGAAAAGAAGTCGGAAAAGAAGCCGATTCCTGAGCCGCGGCCCAGTGCTTCCATTGTGCTGTTGTCCCCCACCAACGAGGTCTTGCTGCTGCATCGAGTCAAGACGTCGACTTCCTTTGCGTCTGCGCATGTCTTTCCAGGCGGCAACCTGGATGCGTTCCATGATGGCGACATCCCGGCTCCGGGGACGCATGAGCGCCATCGCGACGGTCCGGCGTATAGGCTGGGTGCTGTCCGCGAGTGCTTTGAAGAGACGGGCATTCTGCTCGCCAAGAAGGATGGCCGGTTGGTTGATCTGCCGCAGCAGGAGAGGGATGAGGCGAGGAAGAAGATCCACGGGAGCCAGATCAGGTTTGCTGATTGGCTGAAGTCGATTGGCGCAGAAGCTGACCAAGGTTTGTTCTGAACGCCTTTTCTTCCATACTTCTTTCATGGCTGTGTTGACCAGCGATCGCTTGGTGTTTAGATTCGCTCATTCCCTTCACGAGGTGGCTGACGCCCGTCGGCGTCGGTAAGCGCTTCACCACTCAGATGTACTTGTACATGCTCCCCATTTCACGATCTGGAATACCATCCGAGATGCTGGTGCCAACTCCCGACGGCGGCGTCGAGCACACCGAGGCCATCTTCGCCCCTCCGCAGACGTTCCTCTCACGCGTGGCCTCTAATGAGATGATTTTGTTCCCGCCTCAGTACTACATCCTCACGCTGCTCACAAAGTTCCTCAAAGGCCCGACAATCTCAGTCGAAGAAGGGCCCATCTATTATACAAGGCAGCGCAAACAACTGCTCAAATTTGTAAAAGCCACGCCGACGGTCGATACGGAAAAGGCCAAAGACCACGTCACGTCAAGCATATCGTGGGCCGACAAGGTGATTAGTCCATATCACTTGTTTGTCAGAAAGAGCGACAAGCGAGTGGTTTTGGGCTTGGAGAAGCCAGGGCTTGAGCTCAAGGATTCGGATAGGGGCGGTGATTGGGAGAGAGTGGTGTTGGTGAGCTTTGGCAAGTCTGGGCCTTCTCAGGTGGAGGTGCGCCTGAGGGAGGATGTACTCGCGGAGGAGAAGGAGGCTCCCTCGGGAGGGTCAAAGCTATGAGATGAAATGAGTTGATCTTAATTTTAGATATATAAAGCGTATGGTGGGTTGTATATAAAACTGATACTAAGTTGCTCATAATGTTCTGTGAAATCGAAGGCCAGTAGTAATGAGAAGTGATAACTATAACGTTACATTTACTGAACGTTGTTGCACGGTATTCACACCACTTAAAGCAGAAACTGACACATGCTGTTATTCCACTTTGTTTACTTTATCGACCCAAGATCTCCATACCGCTATTTTGGTCTTCGAATGGGGGGAAAAAAACTTGCTCAAACACACGCAAGTGTGGAATGGACAGGCTAAGAAAACAAAGAACCATTGGCTTGGCGCACGCACATGGCAATTGGGCGTGGCTTTTCTTCCAATTTGGTAGCCATCTTGTATAGTTTAAGATCCTAGTCCTAGAATGAAACGCTCGTTATCATACTGTTTACATTAATTTCTGTAATTTTGTTTTTACAATCATCATTCTGTGCACTGTGCGAAGTACATGGACACAGTTTCTGGCGATGGCCGCCTAACCTATGATAGCTCATAAGTGGTTCGGGACACTTGATCTGTTTTTTCTACCATCTTCTATATGCGTAGCCTGGAAGGACATGGCGAATTGTTGGTGGGAGGATATTTCTGAATTTTTCAACAGCTGCGTTGATACATATATCTGATAGCATAATGCGCCTTCGCATCAAAGTAAGGAGTACGAGTTGCCAGCAGTTGTAGCCGTAGAACTCACTGCAGCACTTGTTCCCTATAAATAGCTCTATCTCTATAAGATAAAAGAAAAGAAGTAAGTATATACGATTCATTATTTGTACTCAAAAATAATTTGACGTTAGCCATAAAAGGCCAATCATTGCTTGGTAGAAGTAATGTCGACGATATATAAAGTAGCTGATCGACCCGTAGCTAAAGGATTGTGGCGGCTATATAGAGGAGTAAAGAATGCAAATAACATAAAGTGCAACCTGATTATGATAATGGCCTGAGCAGGGGAATTTGAGTTTCAATGATTACACTAAATTGATGACCTATTTTAAACATTTAAATCTCTGTATGCTTGTAATCATGTAGTTTTACGGCTTTGTGCAATGATAGGCCTTTCTTCGAACTACACAAAAGATCTATCAAGCCACGGCGGTGAAGAGCCGCAAACGCCTGAGGCAGTCACACTTTTCTGCCAGCACCTATCTCTAGGTAGATATCAATTCCTTTCCTCTATTTAATAGATTTCCTTTCTCTCTCTTCTTCCTCTCTTTTTCTTCCCCCACATAGATCTAATTTCTTTCCTTTCTTTCTCTCATCTTCACTCACTATATGCAACACTAGATTTGTATCCGCCAACAACAATGTCTCAATCGCTCCTGCCAGCGAAATTGAATCTGCCAGGCGCAAGATCATATCCGCCATGCGTCTTCAACACGCAAGCAGAAAAGGACCTATACAAACGTCTTCGAAATGTGTATGAAACGCATTGCGATACTTGGGATGCCGAAGCACGCGATGCATGGCCAGTCGTTGTTGAACACGCATCGTTGGCACCTTCAACAATTGGCAAAATCACGAATCATTACATCACGAGACACATGCAGAATTGCGGCGTGACATGGGCACATGTGGTTGCACTTCGAATCATGTACGAGAAGCAGCTCTACAAGAGCAGAAAGTTGATGGGACTCATTCGATGCAAATATCCAAATGCAAGCTTTGAAACATTTGCTTACAGCGAAGACTACATGCTCTCCTTCAAATCCGAAATAGCCAGAGAAGCACAAGAGCCAACAGTTCCAAAGACTCCAGCAGTGGAAGGCAGTGTCCAAAGACGTCAGGGCGACGGAGGTCTACAGCTCACCAGAACACCCGCGAATAACCACCACCGTGAGCTGAGCAAAGGGGCCATTGAGTTCTTGAGCGAAGGAAATTCCTCTGAAGATGAGCCACTCATGTGGAACTCGTCGAAGAAGACAAAACCGCCGCCTGCTCAGAATACAACGCCGAAAAAGCGAGCTGCTGCCAGCAATGCACGAAACGAAGGCGGAGCTGAGCCACACAGACGCACCAAGAAGCCGCGCCATGCGGCCAGAGGCACTACAGATGTATCTCCACGTTCTGGAGAGGTCAAAGAGAGGACGAGCGAAGAGCAAGAAGACTCAATTGACGTGTTCGACAAATTCATCAGTGCTATCAAAGAGAATACAAAAGCAACCAAGGAGAACATAAGGGCCACCGAAAAGAGTACAAAAGCTACCGAAGAGAATTTAAGAGCCATCGAGAGGAATACAAAAGCGACCGAAGAAAAAACGAAAATTATCAAGGAGATGAGGGCACGCAGCAAAGCTGTTTCAAAGAAAGCCACAAAGGATCAAAATGTGTGATGGTTTGAGATCTATAGATTGGTTTAAACGGCGTTCAAGAGATACATATCCATAGAGCTTCTAGTAGTAGATAAAACTAGGCAGCTAGTACGCGGAGTGATTGTGGTTTACTTAATCAAGAGATTAATCATTTAAATGACCAATGAATACGACTCATTCACATGTTCTAGAGCAAAGGCTCATCATTTGTGATATGAACAAACTTGATTCTACCAAGAGACATACTGGGTGCGAATATTAACACCAAGCCGCTAGCCCCAACCACCACCAAACGGACGCTACCAGATTTACTTGCTCACCCTAAAAGAGGCACCGAGAAACAACGACGCCAATCTAGGCAGAGCTACATGAAGCTAAAACGGATCCTCCTGTTTCCTATTCGCTGCATCTATTATGCTCAAATCAAGCTTATCCCGGTATCCTGGCACTATCCCAGAGCTGCGTTCCACAAGCTCCTGATGTACTCCGGTACCACTCCTCGCTTTTCGTTTACTATAAAAGAGCCAACATGGGATCTTTGTCCAACAGGCGTTCCCCCTCATTCCTCTCTCTCTCTTCAGTCTTGTTTTGTGTCTTTTCCAATTCAACTCCTGGCTCTCAAAAACAATGGCGTTCAAGTCGATCCTCCTGGCTCTAGCTGCTTCAACGGCCGTCAACGCGCACTTCAAGCTCGCGTACCCCGAATGGCGAGCTGATACCCTCGCCGAGGAAAACGAGGACAAATACGGCCAATGGAACAATCCCTGTACGTTCTCCTCCTACTTCCACTACGACCACTTCAACAAGCGTTAAAATAATGGCTAATCAGAGTAAATCCCAGGCGGCGGCGTCCCCTACAAAGCCGGCAACATCACCGACTGGCCCCTCGGCGGCGGTTCCCTCTCCCTCGAGCTCCACCACCCCTGGACCTACGTCTACGTCAACCTCGGCCTCGGCGCAAACACCACAAACTTCAACGTCTCCCTCACGCCAGAGTTCCTCAACGTCACCGGCCGCGGCACCTTTTGCGTCAAGGAGCTCCCCGTGCCGCTGGACGACATCAAGGACGGGCAGCTTGCGTCGCTGCAGGTCGTCACCAGCGGCGAGTCTGGCAACGCGCTCTACAACTGTGCCGATATTCGATTCACAAAGAATGCGACGCAGCTGAAGAACTGCACCGACTCGGATGGCATGGTTGTGCAGGCCATCAAGGAGCAGAATGGCAATGGCACTGATTCTGCCCAGAATAGTTCTAGCAGTGGCAATAGCACCGGTTCAGATGACAAGAAGAATGCTGCTAGCCCGCTGAATACCGATAAGTCGGTCGTTTTGGCAACTGTTGCCTTCCTAGCGGTTGGATTTTCTTTGGGACTGGGCATCTAATCTAGAGAAGTCATGTCATGGTGAGGGCGAAATGTGAGGGACACAAACAAGATAATGAAAACACAGGGCGATGAGACATGAATTGAAATATAATGATATTAGTGCAAGTAGCGAGATGATCTACCTCCTAATGCGTATGCCGTCTCTTGATGCTGCCATGCAAAGGACAAATATGATTGTACAAGAATGTATAAGTTTATATATGTACATGTGGTATCTCCAGCTTTCTGGTATCATGATTCAAACATCTTCAAAGGAAGAAAGAGAAAGAAAGAAAAGAGTTAAGAAAAGAAAGGAAAAAAGCAAGCAGGTAGGAAAAAGAAACAAGGACCACTGTCGCTTTCTTTTCCCCTGCTTCAGTCAGTCATTGCCAAAGCTGGTATATCTGCATGATGCTTACTCCATTTGATGCCCCATCTCATGCCGTTTCAAATATGCTTGCCATTTACTCAGCACATGTCGTATATGTCTCCGAAATAAACTCCAATAGGTGATTTCAAATGTTGGATAGAAATAGAACAAAACAAAACAAAACAAAACACTAGATGATCAAGATGAATAAAGGTTGGGGAAGAAAATGAAAAGAGGAAAATAAGCGGAGAAACTCTTCTCTTAGAGAAATGTATAGAAAGGAAAATGTAATCTTCAACAACTCTTTATCATGCTGCAACTGTTTGCTCAATGGAGAGCTCTCTGACAATCTTGTCCATTGTGATGCGGTGGGCTGGGTTTGGCGCCAACATGTCCTTTACCAAGCGCTCTAAGCGGTCTTTGGGTGTCAATCTCTCTCTTGCTTCATATATCTCTGCGAGCCAGTCTCGCATCTGATTCACGGCTGGTTGGCCGTTGCCATATTGCTTATAAGCATATGGCGATGCTGGCTGGCCGTGGATCTGCGCGATTTGCCAGTATAGCGGCTTGGGATGTTGCCTTCGTGCGCGTGAGTCGGGAAATTTAATGAATTGCATTGTGTACAGCATCGTGACGCCCAAAGCCCAGACGTCCGATTCAGGGCCTCGAGTTTTGCGCGCGATATACTCGGGTGGGATATAGTATGGAGTTCCGCCTCCAGAGGGAGTACTTGACGCCACCGTGGTTAATCCAAAGTCACAGAGCACAGCGCCGCGCTCAGGCGAATATAGGATATTGGCAGGCTTGATGTCGTTGTGTACCAGTTTGCGGTTATGGAGATAGCTGAGAGCATTCGAAATATCACGCAGGATTCGAATGGAATCGTCCCGAGTTCCCGTAAACTCATCGTTACTTTTGTTCCTCCAGTGGGCAGGAGAAGTGAGGTCCTTTGCGTCTATATGCTCCATATACAGACTCAGGTACCTGGCGTCTCCTCCGTAATAGCGCACAATAGACTCATGTTGTAGGTCCTGTTGGCTTTGGCATTCTCGCAGCCACATGTCTGCTTGGCGGATGACATTCCGTTCGTGTACCAGCGGCTTATTGTCTGGGTTTGCGACTCTGGTCTTGAGAACTTTGACAGTGACAATGTTATTCGGCACCTGCGAATGCGATGCAGTGAAGACTGCTGACAGAGCGGTGGACGCAATCAGGTCACGTTTGGTCAACTGGTATTGGTCGAGTTCACAGACGCCAGGCACGGCAATCATGTCGCCCTGCTCTGCGTCTAGGAGTGCATGGCCATTGGCTGACGCTATTTCCTTTCCCTCTCTCGCGTTGGGAAGAGGGAAGACTAGAGGCTCGGCCGGTCCCAGAAACATGATGACGCCGTCGTCTGGTCCCACGCTGGCATCCGAAATACGTCGCTTTGCCCTTTTGACATCTTCGTCTGGCGTGAGGGCCCTTTTCAGGCTCGTGTTGAGGTGGTCAGTTGTGATGAACGACGGCGATGGCGGTGGCGAGTCCTCCACTACTGGTGAAAGTGGCGGCTCATAAATAACAACTGGTCGCTTCTCTAGAATGCGAAAATCTAATACTGCAATATCTCTCACTTTGATTCTAAAAGTTCCCGGCCTCAGGCCCTTGGCAAGGCCTGGGTTGATAACGTGGCGCTCGCTTGGTGGAGTGCTGGCGGCGGCGCTACGAGATATCTGGCCGAGCAAGATGGGCACGTCCGACTTGTTCAGGAAGATGACTTCGTCGCTGGCGGGATCGTAATAGAGTTCACACCACAGTGGCGGCCGTGACAAGTCTTCTTCCGCAGAGCCGGGTATTCTGACTGAGAACTTGATGTCCTTGGCGGTCTGAGTCACAGCAAGGACTTTGTGTTCAGGCTTGTCCGAGGCAGCCACCTCGGCGCGGAGAGCCAGCCACTGGCAATTGTCGCTGCCGGGACTCACTGAACGAGAGCCGGGCAGCTTGGTGAGAGGCCGCACGAGGATGCGGATGCCTTGCTTGTGGTGGTGATCTTCGACCTGCAAGACGTCGAGCGGAACGGCCTCTGGGTCGGTGGGGATGACGGGCTCCTCGACGCCGACGCCAGGGAAGCGGGCTTCAATCTCTGACTGAGAGAAGGGCTCCGTCTTCTCCTCGGAGAACCCCTCCGAGGGCTCGGCCCGGGCTTCAAGCATGAGGACGGCTGGCAGTGCCTTTGCAAGGCCCATGTGCCGGTGGTGATGCGAGTGTCTCTCCAACGCAGCACCGCAGAAATGGATGGATAGAAGAGTAGGTCGCAGGCAGTCAGGGACTTGGAAGTAGACTTAGAGTGGAGGGGAAGCAGGCAGATTGACAGGGTGGGTATCTGGCGTTGGCTGTGATACTCAGACGCCTGGAGAGCTCAGCAGGCACTCGCCCAGGCAGAAGCCAGCTCAGAGGAACAGCTGGGACAAGACAGAAAAGCTGCGGGGTCGCAGACAGGTACTGGTGGTTGAGTGTAGCAAGCAGCAGCAAGTAGAACAGAACGCAGGGTTGGTTGATGCAAGCCGGGATAAAAGAAGGGCAAGGAGGCCAGCTTCGGCCAGACGCACAATAAATGTAGAAACGAGCAGCTGAAACGCTATATCGCGGCCATACAGCGAGTGTCAGATGGCCAGCGAGCAAGACGAGGTCCGGGCCTGGTGATGGAGTCTCAGCCTGCGCTACGGGCAGTCACAGCAAAGGTACAAATAAGAAGGCCAGAAAGAAGGCAACCAACCACCAGACGCTGGGTGCCTTGCGGACCGCGGACCAGACGCTACAGAGGAGCGAACAGCAGCGGGCGGGAGGGAACTAGGCACTGGCTCAAGGGCAGCTGGTTGGTCTAGCCCCGGAGCAGAGCATGTGCAAGACTCGATTATGCGAGTGCTCGCTGCGTAGAAGCCACACGCTGAGCACGACACGCCAGGATTGGCGGCGTGGAGGGCCCCGGCGAATAAGAGCTAGAGCCGCAACGGGGGCAATGAGGCGGAGCGCCATCGCTCTATCAGACCGCGCCCCATTGCTTCCTTCTCAGCAGGCCCGCAGTATCCCGGAAGGCCTATTTCAAGCTCATGAGGCCATGCTGGTGATGGGAGGTCAAGAAGACAAGTACTGTAGGTAGGTATCATCTGCAGCGGCACTTGCTGTGCAGTGACCTCTTGCCCAGCTCTAGAGTAGAATCTTCTCGATGGACATCAAATCTACCGCGCATCTGAGACAGCGGTCAAAGGTGTCCTCCGTCAAGCAAGGTTCGTACCATGTCAGCGACGGCAGCAGACGGCATGCTTGCGTCTCACCGGACACCTCTCACTCGTAAACTTTCTTGAGTGGTGGAAATGATGATTGTTGCGTGAGGGCCTTTCGCTGCCATAGCTATGCTGACTCATCTACACGTGATCGCTGAAGAGCAAAGAGAAGAAGAAGAAGACGAGAAGAGAGCCGCAGGGCCAGCGCGAGTGACTGTAGATAATCATTTGGCCGGTAGTAGATAATTGTGTGAGCTCCGCAGGCATCTTAAGGCGTCCTGCTGATCAATGCGATGCCAGCTCATCGCGTCCGAGCGTTGTCTCAGCTGCCTGGAAGAACTCTCCATTCTCACGCTCTCCTCCATCGTGAAGCTGTCACGCTGGTTGTTGCTGTTGCTCAGCTGGAGGGCGAATAGGTACCTGATCAAGAGGTCACTTGCCGCCTAACTTCTGTGAGCGTCTAGCACGGTGGCGCAGAGCTATGGCAAAACAGCACACTAGCCACAGCCTCGCGGAAGAGGTGGGCTGCTAATTGGTACTTGTGTCATCCCTTGGGCAGATTTTTCTTCTCCGACTAGGGTCGAGGCCTTTGTACCTCCCGTCAAAGGCCGCACTGGCTGGACAGTGTGGTGTGAGGAAGACCACTGTAGCAAACACTATTGGAAGAAGCAGGGATGCTGGCAGACCATCAGCAAGGGAGGAAATCCATGTGCAGGCTGCGCGAGAGTGGATTTATTGGTGGAGCGAGGGAGTGTATAGGGCCAAGAGGGTGTGCAAACGCACATTGTAGCAGATCTGGCATCTTCATTGATAGGAGAAAAAAAATGATAAGAGAGGTCGGAAACAGGAGGAGCAAGGCATATATTGTGCTATAGAGTGAAGATCTGTAAAATGACGAAGATAGATATTGAACACCTCTACCTTGATTTAGCTGATTCAAATCACCCAGAAAACAAAAACAAGGCAGCGCTGCGCGAGGCAGGAAAGGCAGGACTGTGTCATTCTAAGCATGACGTGAAGAAAACGGACTCGCATTAGCGCGCACAGCCCAAACTCTCAGGAATCCGCCACTGCACGCTGATTGGCATCTGTCGTGGCCCTCCCGCTGCACTAGGGTAGCGCTAGGAGCTTTTCGGAATAGCCTTCCGTACCGCTCGCATCAACCTAATCTCGATCGGCCCTAGCTCGCGCTGCAGCCGAAACCAGCAGCCAACCACGGCTAGGCAAGTGGATAGTCTTGTTTATGCCTCAGGCTGCAGTGCCTCTGCGATCCGGTGCTTGGGGCAATGGGTATACGCGCGACTCCCCCCAGCCGCTGCTGATGAGAATCCCAAGGGCCCTGGCGACAACAATCTGGGACACACTGCCTGTATACTCCACGCAATCATCACGAAGACACGAGCACTTACAGCAGGACGTTATTGCCCAGTAGTACTCGTCAGTGACTGTTTCGCCATGGCCATTAGTTCAAGTACTCAGCTCTAAGCGAGCCGCGTTTCGACGACACCAGGGCTCCGATATCGACACGCATCTCCTATTTCCATTTCCAGTCATTCCAGTTATCCACAGCCGTTATACCACGCCTTCCTTATATACCGTCGTCTCTCGAGACCCTCTACAGCGCCGCGGTCCGCCCACCATGGACGATCCCGATCTATCGTGGCCCGCCTGGAAGTTTGGCATGAAGAGAGACGACCTTTTCACCACGCTCCACGATCAGTACAACACCTTTACCTACACCCTCCAAGACCCCGAGGCCTTCCACCACGACGTCTACGAAATCTCCAACCATGCAGACACGGCCGAAGAGTTCCATCGCTTCATGGCGGCTCGGCAGCGGCAGCGGCTCTCCGAACTCCAGGAGTCTCTTGAATCGCTCGCTGTAGAGATCATTGCCAACCCGAAGTTGATAGGTTCTGACCAGTGGCAGCACGCCCTTCAGCTCTTCCGAACCAAGTCGTTCGACTCCATCGTTAGATATTTTGCAAGCTACCTCCCCGACGACTACATGGACCGCCATGGACCCTGTTCCATGTCATCATCCTTTTCCGAAACCGACTCTATTCGAACCACTAGCACAAAGGCCAGCAGCGCCTCCGATGCTTCGTCCTTCCTCGACGACGAGTTCTTTCCTCACGGCCCCTTGATTACCGCTGAGCCGGGCGTTCTGAAGGCCGCAGATATACCCCCATCGCCCGCATCTGAAGGCTCCCCAGCTGAATCGGCTGACTCGCCGACATTCACATCCACAGATCCACCTTCGCGATCCATGTCCTTTTCGGGCCCGGACTCTCAAAGACTTAGTTCTCGCTTTGTTCGACGGCCTCACATTCATGACGATGACGATACGTCTCAATCCGACGAGTGCGACACGACAGTAACCTCTGTTTGTGATTCGACAGAAACTCGATCTTCTTTCGACCCTGCCGATGAGGTCGACGACAAAGAACTACCTGTACACATTGTAGACGGCGAGGAGGAAGACGAGGACCTTCCCACCGCCCAGTTTCCTGAAGACGATTTCTGTTCTTTTGATTCCTTCGATACCCCAAATCCCTTCAACACCACTTCCTATGATACCCTTGAATCCGATACCCCTACCCCCAGGCAGGCTACCGAATCCACCTGCTACCTAGACTATAAATCAGTGGTTTCCCGCAAATCACCAACACCATACCAACGCTCATCATGCCGCCGTTCACAATCACCAGTATCGCTACTTGGTCGGCGCAGAGAAGGGAGTCCTACCCAAGACATTCGGAGGAGTCCAGATGAGGCGCTTAGCAAAATACAAAAGCCACCCCCGGGAGAGTCCACACGGAGGAGGCCTAAGAACAAGAGATGGGGGGCTTGACTCGAGGAGTCGGGCGTGCGCAGCGCGCAACACTTGTATATATATGAAGATGATGAAGCCTCTGTACATATACCGAGTCTTATGACACTAATGATTTTCAAAACCTCAAAAACACAGCCTATACGCGTGTGTGGTGATGTCATTGTTTGAATATGACCTTGTACGTTACGGCGATTACTATTAATATTGTCTTAGTATTTCCCATCTGTTTGGTGAGTCGCACGCCCTATTAATGCTATTTGTTTCAGCTGGCTTTGTTTTTTTCTCAGGTCGAGTGAGCGATCCTATCACGGTTCTCGGAACGTGTGATCACGGCATCACTTGCATCGTGGGTCACATGGAATCCAGGAACCAGGAGCAGCTCTCTTCCTTTTTTTGCATGTGAATGACGTCATGAATCGTCTTTCTTTCCCCTTCTTTCATTTTGACTTTTGAATTGTGAATTTTGTTTGGTTTGATCTGGCGCATTGTTTTTTTGCTGATTTTTGTGGGTGGGCGGGTGTTGTTGGCGGATGTGCTACTTACGGTTTACTAACCCATGCGAGCGTCTTGGACCATCTCGACCTCGTTGTATGCAGGAATACGCTGCTCATATACTTTCGGGTTATACACGACTTTATGGTTATCATAACGATGAGCTATATCATGCATCGCGAAATATAGACTGAAAGGTAAGTTTCGCTTAAATATTTGACTTTAGATTATGAAATCGCGATGCTCATAGTTAATACATACAAACAATACAATGAAATAAATTGCGCCGCAAGATATCTGCCCTTTCTCCTCCAGAATATGAAGATAAAAAAAAATTGAAAAGCAACCGACTCGCGGCTTATACTATGCTACATCTTCCTAAAGCAAACGAGGGTTGAGATACGGCAGCTCCTTCATATGCTCGCTCCAAATGGCCAGCGGATCCTTCTTCTCCCCCGCCTTGCCCTTCTCAACGCCATAGAGATACGGCTTCTCGTTCGCGTAGCAAGCCGTCTCTTGCTCGTCAGGCAGTTCTCCATGCAGGATATACTTCTTTGCAATGGCATCTGTGCAGTCGGACTTGTCTCGTGATGAGTGGCCGTAGCCGTGGTGCGCAATTAGTCGCGCGTTGCTGCCCATCTCCTCGAGCAGTCTTCGGCCATTTCGCAACGGCGTAGCAGGATCATATGTCTCAGCAATCAGCAGGACTGGGTGCTTGAGCGTTGCGTTCAAGTCGCCACGGAAGACCTCTGCCGGCTTGGGCCAGTATTCTGTAAACCACTGGCAAGGGAAGACGTTGAAGAAGCGCGAGTTGCCCGAGATCCAAGCCTTTGCCGTCATATTAACCCACAAGGATTCCCACCAGTCGAGGCCATTCTCTGGCAGCGCGGCATCGTAGCCATCTGAGCATATGACTAGGTCCGCTAACTCATCGGTAGATGGTTTTTTATTGGGAACAGAGGGCAGGGCAGGGTCATATTCCCAGGCTGTGCGCTCAAGCATGGCTGCAGCGAGTGTGGAGTTTCCTGCTTCAAGCTCATAGAGCAGCGTTGCCAGTGCGGGCCAGGAGAATGCGTTATAAAGAGATCCGTAGATGGCTCCCACCAAGCCAGAGTATGTGATGATGGATGGCCCGTTGGATTTTGTATAGCCTACTACGGGCCGCGCAATAAGCGAAGTAATGAGTGTCTCCATGCGAAACTCTAGATTTTCCACAGTTACAGCTTGGTCATCAATCGGCTTCGCTAGGTCGCAATGCTCTGGTCCAGCGCTGACGCACTCTCCCAGAAAGCCATCGTGCCAGGCATTGGTCGCGTTATCCAGAGCAGTCCAACCAAAGCCTCCCAAGAGGCGATGGTCTTTGACATACTCAGTACCATCCAGAATCATTCTTCCTACACTTGATGGGAACATGTTTGCATACGTCTGTCCAATTCCAGTGCCGTATGAGATCATGTGCGCCGTCAGCTCGTCTTCGCCCAGGGCCTTGCGGATTTCTTCGAGGTCGCGAGCCACGAATGCCGTGCTCACAAAACGAGGTAGATCACCATGCGTCTTGTAGCAGGCGCTGAAGATTGCCTGGTTCAAGGCATCGGCGACCTCGAGGTGGGCCCTGGGCGAGCCCAGAACCTCGCGGTACTGTCCGCTAAGCATTGACCAGTGATCTCTGTCGGCATCAAAGGGGAAGCAGGAGATGGCGGGGAGGGACGTGTTGACGCCACGGGGATCCCAGCCCAGCACATCGTATGCGCCGCCGCTCAGACGCTCCGTGAAGATTTCAGCAGAGCGCCAGACGAGAGACGTTCCGCTGCCACCGGGACCGCCAGGCTCAACAACAAGAGTGCGCTCGCTCTTATGGCCCGCAAAGGGCTTGGAGAGGCCATGAACGGGAGCGAGCCCTGAGACCTGGTACTTTGTCACGGCGAGACGAGCGATACGGGCATCAGACGCGTTGGTGTAGTCCAGAGGAACATCCAGCCAGCCGCAGAGGTAGATGCCGCGGCCAGCGTAGGGGTCATGCTTCGGGATAGCGTCTTTGTCTTGCGCGGTCCTGTTGCCCCAGCTCCAGTGTCTGGGATTTGGGTCAAAGAGCCTCGCCCAGCCTCTCTTTGCATGGTGGTCATCAAGAGCAGGAGGCACAGTCTTATCCGTGCAGGGGATGAAGTGGAAAGGATCATTCGCTTTGGGGAATTTGCCGTAGGGTGAAGGCCCTCTCCAGTGATCATGGTGGTCATGGTCAGGGTGATCGTGAGGAGGACCATGGGGAGGACCATGGGGAGGATGAGGGTGAGGATGATGGTGATGAGGAGGTCGTGGAGGAGGTCGCCAGAAAGGCCATTGAAGATGGAAAAGAAACAAGCATGCAAGACCAGCAATACATGCTACTCTGAGGCGCCAGATGCGCTTCTTATGTGCGAGTTGCTGCGCAGCAGCGCCGTCCGTTGGCAAGGCTGCCTTCTCCATCTTCACCAGAAGTTCTGTGAAGTCGTGAGTAGGTAGGTTGTCTCAGTGAAGTTCAATTGTGACTCCCGATTGGTTTTATGTGCCATGGCAAAAGGTACCCGTCGACGCGTACGACGCTGACGCTACTGGGGGACTTATTATAGCGAGCGGCACGGCACGATCAGCCATTTAGTACAGTGAACACCCCAGCGGGGCCTTGTACCTGGGAAATATTGATTGTTGGCCAAGAGACTTCAAAGGCTGTCTATAAGTCACAGAAAAAGTGAGCATATATATTGATCAGGTATTCATATCATGTAACGGTACAAGCAACGCTCGAAGCTGTATTCTACATCGTTACTCGTTACTTGCACATCTTGAGGCTCTTGTCTTGAATCTACTGTCAAGTCTCTACCCACTATTCGGAAACAGCACCCAGAAAGCCAGCGGGGGTGGAGAAGCGATTGGTTGGGAATGGCAATCAGAAAATTGCCTTGATGGGCTCGATGAAACCCTATTGACGACATTACGGAGCAAATGCAGCGAAGACGGCATGAGGCTTACGTTATGCATCTTTACTACTCGTTGAGATGCATCTATATCATAATATGTAAACGCACCAGTCGTGCTATTTCTTAAGAACAGAGAAAATCATGATGCTACCGATAGTCGTATTAATTGTCGGGAGTGCTCTCCGCCATTGAAGGCTGACTGAGAGCCATCAGCATTTACATATAATCCTTTGTCTTCTCTGCACACAGTTCCCAGAATTCCTGTGCTTTTCCTGACCCGCCTTCTTCAGAAGTCTTGGTTGCGTCGATCAAATCCTCCCTAAGGCTGTTCGAAACTCTGCCCCATGGGATGACATAGCATCCATTATTCTGAATGCTAATATCCGCAGAGAATCCAGCATAAAGCTCGGTTAGAGCCGCAAGCTTAGGCTTATAAAGCAGCGGATAGGCCAGATACTTGAGATGCGGCGTGTGACGAAAGAGATTTGTGGTAGCGGCGCCTGGATTTATAGACACGCTGACAATGTTTGAGGATCCAGCCCTTCGAGCAAGCTCCGTGGCCAAGAAATAATTGCCAGTCTTTGAATTGGTATAGTTGCGAGTTCGATCTTGAGGAGGCGCGCGGAGCTCGTCTATGATGATGCCACCGGGAGGAGATGACAGCTCCATAACTTGACTGCTGGTCCATACGACGCGAACTGAGTCTTGAGGTGTTGCTGTGTCTGCGGCTGTAGATTCAAGAAGAGGCAGCAGTAGCTGGGTGAAAAGAAACGGCCCGAGACAATTTGTAGCAAACTGCAGTTCGATGCCTTGGGATGACACACTGCCCAGAGGTGGCTGGGAGACGCCGGCATTGTTCCACAGTACATGAAGCTTCGATTCCTTGGCCTTGAATTCCTGGACCGAGGCTTTGATGCTGCTCAAATCATCCAGCTTCAGAGACAAAAATTCAAGGCTGCCTCCTGTCATCCCAGAGGCTTGTATGCGCTGTATTGCTTCACGAGCGCCTTGCTCAGAACGCGTAGCGATGTACACTCTCGCATTCTTACGGTACAAGATTTTGGCAAGCTCAAAGCCGATACCTGAGGAGCCGCCAGTGATAATGACGACCTTGCCGTCCAACGAATCCAAATTAGCCTCCGTAAAGGTTGGCTTTGGGGGGAAGAATTGCGACCATTGGGCTCCCATGGCGACAAGAGAAACAAACAGACAATTAACACAAACTTGCAATCCGATATTGACAGCGAGTACAGGACGCTTTTTATCCAACGCAAGCGGGAAGCCTCTAAAATCCTTTCCCTAATACACAACGACCAACAGCACCCGAAGGATCCCCCTCCATTAGCTCAGACATAAGGGGCTGTGGCGGAAATTCCGCCAGTTGCGTAAGGCCAGCACTTGAGCACCTCATAGAGCGCAAAAGAGGGGGAATTGTTCGTTCAAGTCGGTTAAATTCTCGTTTCCCCTTGAAGATGCTGTTTAAATGAAGCCCGCGACATGTAGTGTATCGGGATCGCAGCTTATACCATGGGAGGAGTCTCTTTTAGCACTGCTGGCTACATAACTCTAATAGCGGCCAATAACGAGGAGTCCGTTTCGATCAATATTGGTAAGCTATAAATAGTTGTCTGATGCCTGCCTGGGTCAGCAGAGCAGTTTCTTTCTAGAAAGGCCTCTTCGTTATCAACAGCCTTCTGTAGCCATGTCCGCCACTTACAGTAGTGGTTACGCCTTAGCGTTTCGGGAAGCACTAACTACCCGAGATTCTGACTCGTTGGGGCCACAAACGCCGGATGTGTGGCACATGATACATTATAGGCGAAGGAGCAGGCACGTATCACACAAACGGTTGTGATGGGGATGCAAAAGAAGCACTGCCAACTGATTTCTGACAGAGTGGACAGACGGCTCGACTTTGAGCTTGAGCGACCTGACAGTATGTGTCATGTGCCAAAAGGATGGAAAATAGCGTACATTTATTGATGACTCCAAGGTTAAATGGAGTCCTTGGACTTCTTACATCGCCTTGAGCAAACCGGCTAGGGATGTAAATCCTGCGACCATATGCGCCCATACAGCTTTGGTAGCGGTAAATACATGTATTCTGCTAACTAACAGCATCATATAGTCCCCTTGTATTGCTTGTTTGGGGTATCTAGACATTTCTCTCGCCAAGTGTGTACCTCCCATTCTCAACTCAATAGTGGTGGGGGAACAAAGTATTGGACCAGGCAACCTAAGCTGTAGCCCTCAACTTTGCTCTCATCTCAATAGCCTTCTTTTCAACTATCAGAAATGATCTCATATCCTCCCACTTTATCTTCCGATCCTCCAGTGCCTCAAAGTCAAATGACCAAAGCAGCTTGGAAAATATGAGGCGAATTTCTGCCAGTGCCAGGTATTGCCCCAAGCAAGATTCCCGCCCTTCACTGAAGGGTTGCATCGCCTCAAGCCGGTCGTGGAAGAAGGGAGACTCTGGGTTTGTGCGCGCTTCAGCCAGCCAGCGCTCTGGATGAAACGACGTGGCCAAGTGATAATGATCCGGGTCACGGTTTAGAGTATATGCCTGGACCGATACTGAAGTCTATTTCGCAAACTTGTTAGCGAGCAACGCAATGACAGACATACGACAGCAAGGCAACCAGATACTACTGAGATTTTGACTTACCCCTCCTGGAAGCCATGTTCCGCACACAGTTTCGCCTCCCTCGGGTACTTTCCTTGGGATAATCCAAGGGACGGGGGGACAAAGTCTGAGTCCTTCATTAATCACAGCGTTAAGATACGGCAACTTGCGCAGAGCGTCAAGACTGATGTCGTTCTCTTCTGGGAAAGCCTCATGGATTTCCCTTTTTAAAATCTCGAGCTTATCCGTGTTATTGATAAGATAATTGAGAGTGCCGCTCAGCGCTGTCGCTGTTGTCTCACTGCCGGCGATTGTCAGCACCATGAATGTGGTGTCAATGGTACTTTGCGGCAGCCTTTGACGTTCTGCGCCTTGTATCACATGAGACATAAGGTCAGGTCGCTCAAGTTCAAAATTGAGACGTCTGTGAACCTTGTCAGAAATGAGCTGGCAGTGGTTCTTTTGCATCTCTCTCAAAGAGGGCGGGATGCACATGAAGAGTATGCGTTCGATTACGGGATATAATCGTGCCGCTGCTATGAAAGACACTGCCTTGACACTCTTGAAGAGAAGAGCGACCCAAGGGTGATACTTTGAATCTTGGAGGCAGTTGAATGATTCGCCATAGCCAAGGTCGCCAAAGATGTCAAACGTGGTAAAGTTGAACCAGCGCACAACATCGATGATGGCGCCATTTTCGGGTTCTTTGCTCGCGAGCTCTCGGATCCGCTCTACCAAAAGATTGACATAAAGATGCAGAATATCTTCTTGCTCTTTCAGAGCACGCGGAGTGAATCCAGGCGCCAAGAGGTTGCGAATCCGCGCATGCTGCTTTGGGTCAATGATGCTAATCATAGAGTCTGGCATTCCAGGGTTGGCTTTCCACCAAGTGAGATCCTTCAAAAACGGCAGGCGGTCTTTACGGAACGCCAATATATCCCTTATGGCATCTTCGTGGGCAAAAGTGACATCGTTTGGCGAAATACGGAGGATGGGGCCGTACTTGCGATGCAGCCGCTCAACATCGTGGACAAGAGTGCCCCTTAGAAGAGCCCAGATGAAAGGCAGGCGAGATACTTTCCATGTGATTGGGCCCGGAATTTTGGATAAAGGATGCAGAAACAAATTAAAAATAATCCGAAGTGCGGCATACTGAAGTATCATTAGCTATGGTCAGACCTTTGTGTGTTGGACCCATACAGTCAAAAGTGTTAGTGCGGTGGTGGTCAGCCAACTGAAGGGCGAGATCTGCCAACCCAAAGCAGTCGTCATTGTTTTTTATTTAGGTAAACAAAGATACATTCAAATGTTGAAATTTTTATAATTTTTATTTGTGTTGGTTCAAAATAGTTGGCTAAGAATGAGGAGAGAAAGGACAGAAGTCTCAGAAAAACAGACGCAGATGAAGGCAGTCGAGTCCTATGGTCCGGTTTGGCCAGACACTCGAGGACACAGCCTCAAAGGTACATTTATATTTGCGCTTTGCGCGGGGAAGTCACCGAAGAATTGATAACACGCCTCATACAATGTGCCTCATGACTGAAAAACCCCACGTCTTGCGATCCAATTGGTAGCCTTGCGGGCGTGGTGCCAGGCTAAAAGATGCATCGTGTGCCGCCGCCTCCGACAGTCTTGAACATGAGTGGCCAATGTCTTTCAACACCATATCTGTGTGTGTACAGGTATGAAATATACCGCAATAAGGTGGTCTGAGAACCGTTGTTGGTTGGTAGCTATTACGATACCTCGGACCACCACCCCGATTTGGATGTCTGTTGGTCGTGTCAACTTCGTATGCATGCAATGATATCATCTATCACCAAGCTGTGTTCTTCAGACTCGGTCACCCCACCAATAGTTCTGTCATATTTTCCCAAATTCAGAATTTACTGCTTCCACTCGTTATAATTTATCTTAAACGACTTTGGTCGCAGGAATTAGTGCTTCTTGATATCATATGTCAAATTCATTCCTTTTCACCGTATGAAGGTATTATCGCACAATCCATATGGCGTCGGCCGTACTAATTACGAGTCAATGCCTTGTAGAAAATAGATGTATTGAATCCATATACTTGGCATGGCCAGATCTCAGTGGTCCTTCTCAAGCAAGTTGTTTCCAAGCTCTTTTAGGTTGTATTTTGGGATCGCATCATTTCAGCTCTCTACTTCGTAGCCATTGGTTGTATTTCTGTGCGTTTGGCTTAGTCATATATCTGCTTGCTTTTAAGACCAGTCTGTGCCATAGCAGCTTAACCGCTTTCCATGGCTTTTTGTGATGACGGGGAACCCACAAAGATATTTGGCATCAATATCTCTGCGTGAGCATCACTGTATGTCGTGTCATGTAATTCACGAAACTGCTTAACATGATGCCGGCTCCGCGATACACGTGAAATATCTCCTGCGTGGATCTCTTATCGGCATGACGGCTATTACGAGACACAAATGACCAACAAATTCTCACTTCAGTGCAAGGGGTGACGCAGGCCTTATTTGCGTCTCTATAGTGTTACTATTCTCAAATGCTCTGGATTAGACATCTGAGAAGAAATGCGGGCTTTAAGAACGACGATAACTAGGCTTCGCCTTTTACGTGGAGTAACAAAGCTTTAAGTCTTGTGTTAAGAGCCTGGCATTTATCATGAATAATAAACAGGTCGATTAGCTTCTGAAATATACTGCCAAAGCTTGATGCCCGCTAGAGCGTTCATAGTGGTGAGTAAAGCTGGGGCACCAATCAAGGCTATCCGGTTTGATTGAGGTCACATAGTTAAGACGCCGTCAGCCGGTTTGATCAAGGTCAAAGGATTGTTCAGGATCACGCCGTTTGAACAAAGCCGCCCGGTTTGATGGCAGTCTGATTCGTTTGAAGCCATCTCGTTTGATTGAGGCTGCAGGTGAGCGGGCAAGTTGCTTCCAGCACTCTTTTCCCCCCCTTAGCGGGCACTTTTCTTAAGAAAGCAGAAGTCCGGATTTTATTATAGTATTTTTGTCAAAGTAACACTAAGGAGGAGTCCTGCATGCTTAAATAGCACATGTTTGATTCAAGACAGCAAGCATATTACAATATATAACAACTGCTTGCTATATATTGGAATAATAATAATAATAATAAGCAATTAAACAAAAATTCGTTCCACTTTACAAGAGCGGCTAGTTTTTCTGCCCAACTAGGTAATTGCGAGTCGTTTTTGTTTTAAGCTTACGTTAGCGCTGGCAATTCACCCCATTAAGAGCAAAGCTGGGAGCAGCCTTCTGCGGTATACACCTTCCCAAATCTGCTTCGCATCTTTGACCAATGGGAATATTTACTCACTTTATCGCTCCAGAGTATTTATTTACTGTTGTCAGCCAACAGGGGGAAGCCAGTTATTTACATGAAATATACCAATATTATTAGGTTTCCTCATCTGTTTTCTACGAGATAGTATCTGCAACCAGTGTTTAATCCCGCCTCCTGTTTCCCAGAAATGCTGAAATACAAACCCAAGTCAACCGCCGTTTCGCCTTGCAGGCCTCCCGCATGCAATGCTTTGCCGTGTTAGAGGCAAAGGAGGGGAAATTACTGCGTCATGTATATATCCGATGAATGGCATAGTCTAATATCGGCCAGCTGCAGATTCGTGTTTGCTGGCGGCAAACGAACGGCAGCTGGCAGGATCATCATTCACCTGAGGCAGCTGGCGCACAAACGCGAAAATATCTATATCATACCAAGCTCTTCGTTTCCAAAATTCTCTTCCAAAAAACAACTTCCACACGTCCATCCCCCCATTCTCGTACTTTTTGCTGCGCTTTACTTATCATCCTCCCGCCCCAAACCCTCACCATGGGTTCTCTCCTTCGATCCGTCCTGGATCACACAATCTTACCCCCAAATGTCCCTGGGAAAAGAGAAAAAGAAGAGAGGTATGGGGAGATATCTGACAATCTTCTCACCAGACTGCTGCGAGCTTGCAAACAGGCGGAAAGCCTATCAAGTCAGCCGTTCTCTGACGCTATCCACTCTTTGAGCGTATCACTTGAAGCATGCCGCGAGTTGAATCGAGGAAGACTCGACAAAGAAACTATGCTGCGATACTTTGCGCAAATTAAGCCACAGGATGTTCTGATCCTTCATGTGACTGAACAAAACGCCGCCATCCTCGTCAGGCATGAGATCGATGAGTAAGTGTTTGGACCCAGCGTAGTAAACTTCAGTCTCACTAACAAAATCGCGATCGATAGGAACGGAGAAAACTCAATCGTTTTGGAATCTTTCGAAACGTCCCCAACAACGGAACACGTTCTTGCCGCCGACAATGCCCTTTCTTGGGATTTCCCCGGACGCTCTGTTCGTTTGACTCTTGCACAGTTCAATGATGAGAAGCTTCAGGAGTCACTCGCGGCGTTTCTTGAGAAAGCCAGCATGGAGTCAATCCATAGTCTCCAAGCTCAAGCTCGAAAAGCGGGAAAGGTTGTCTCAGAGCTTCGCGACACATCCGATCCCGCATTGATAACGCAGATGCTTATGGCTATCCTGGAGGCTATCGGAGAATTTGCAACTGTTCCAACTCTCAGAAAGAGAGTTAGAGATGACGTCAATCTTTTGGAGGCTGCATCATTACCATGGAGAAGACTTCCTTTCTGGCTCGTCTTGCGGGTTGCAACCCAAAGACAGCTTGAATTTTCGCTTGGTCAAAGTGGACGAGCTTGTTACAAGTTGTTAATGAGCATTTTCTTTGCCAATTTACTCCGTGACGCTACAAACATACTTGCTATCAAGGAAGGCAAGGTCGAACATACTTTTTCCATGAATGAAGTAAAAAAGCTTGAACCTGAGCTGGTCGTCACTCTTCGGACAAAGCTATGCCGCTGAATGATCAAGATTGAACGGGAGAAAACTCTCCTGCAAACGCACAAAGAGGCTTTTGAGGGATTCTTCAACAACGTCACGCCGACAGTTGAAGGCTCAATTACATTTGCAAATAGCTCTGTCGAAACTCTCTGGGATGATGTGAAGAAAGAAACTGAACGAGTCATCAAACAGCTTCCCTTACGAGCGCCCGAAAAATCTTTCCAGCTGTCACTTCAGAATAGCAGCGACCATCTCAACAAGCTATTGGCTGCCAAGAAAGCTCCTCAGACCTCGAGTAATGTGTCATTGGATCTCCCTAGTCGTTTGACCGAAGAAATTGGAGAAACTCATAATTTTTTCAGTCGTATATATGTACTCAGCCAGCTGGAGCAGAAGATTGAGCTCGATAGCCGGCGTACCTCGAGCTCCATCGAAGGTAGTGAAAGTCACTGCCGGACACTTGCTGATCAAATCCACAAGGCCTTTCAGGTGATCGGAAAAGTCTATGATGGCGACCCAATCCTTCAGAGTGCCAAGGTGCTCGCGATATTTGAGCTCTGGATGCGGATGGATAAATCTGCCCTTATTAACTGTCCTCTGTTGAGCAACTATCGCCCTGTCTTCAGGCCCGCACTCCTCGATGCCCTTCAACTGCCCTCCCTGACTGATATGAAGCGCCTCTTAGCAATTCAGGATTACCTTGATAATCGGCATGCAAAAGCTCAACATGGTCACATTTTTGAAGATTCGGGCGCGGTCAGCTTCGCCAAACAATATGTGAAGCAATCAGAGCAGATGAAGGGAGACATGGCAACCATCGAACGTGCAGCGCAGGCGAACCGTGACGCTAAGATTGATAAATGGAGGGAGGTCACAGCTGAGTATGAAGAACTTACTCAAAACATCAATACGACGAGTTGTCGTTGCACGTTTGAACATGGCGTTCGGGTTATTCATGGCTGCGTGAGGTGTTGGCACTGGAGGTGTCGTAATCGGCTCCAGGTGCAACATCACGAAGATTTTCTTCCAGAACACGAGAATACAAAGTGCCAAATTGTTTTCGAATTGGTAGTTCCCAAATACTTGGCTGCATACCGCAATGCAACATGGAGGATTCTGAGAGACTTGGCGCACCCTGACCGCTTACAGTCGAAGCCACCCTTTACTTCGTTATCATCATGTCCTCTACTGTCGAACTTTATGACCGCAGATCACACGGGGATTTCACTCGCATCTCGGAAGAAGTGCTTCATAGAAACACATTACAGTTTCAGTAATGGATTGGTGCCTATGAATAAAATCATCCTGCCATTCGCGGCAGATTTTTATTTATATGACCATGAAGCCAAAATCTGGGCGAGGGATCTTGCTAAAGTCCCCACGCTGTATCATATCTGCGGCATTCGTGTCCCAAGAGGGATTTCTAGCACAATTTTGAAACCACAGCAACATCCGGCTGAGGATTTTGACGGACCATCATCTTATGAGATCCAAGCCAATATCACCAAATGCCCATCCACCATGTCTGTAGCAGGGTTTTCGGCATATCAGAAACTCCTTGCTGGCAAATTTCGCCGCTGGCCAAAGATTCTCGTGGAACTGGGCTCTTCCAACCTCGACTTCAGCAGTGAAGATACGACTTTGACACTTACTCAGTTAGCTGTCCAAGCCGGCCCCCGCCCCCCAGAGGATTCGACCGCTCTGCGTAGCGTGCATTCAATTATGACAGACATGGACTTCACTCGGAGATTGAAGGAACAAATTGAGAATCGACTTGAATCTATCCGTACAAATTGGAGAGAATCAAGCGGCATGGAGCTTCTCATCAATCTGAGTTTACGAGCTTTCTCTCTCCTGCCCGATGGCGAGATGCGCAGCGAGTTTGACCATCTCCTCAAATTAGCTAGGGCTATTGCTCTAAAATGGGTCAACGCATCGCAGGAAGAATCTAGGAAGGCCCAAGACAAAAAGGATGCTCATAGAATCTCCATTTATAGCCTGAAGGCCGCATTACTATGTCGTCGGACTTTCGAGATCTACATGAGATGTGAGACGGCACTTTTGTCGACTGACCTTTCTTCTTGGATTCGAGCTTCAATTGCGCTTCAGGAGAATCAAGCGGTTGGCATCAACAGCTTGCCAGACCTAGTCAAAAACATGCTCATTCATGATGCAAAGATGACTTTTCGTCTTGGCTCTTTGATTCATTCTGCAGTCGAAGCTCATTCAGGCATCATTGGGGAGGCTATTCACGTTGATTGGCAAAATATTACAAATCGTACGGCCCAATCCGAATCATCTTGGACGTTTCTTTCTTCTCCACATCAAAGATGGATCCGATTTGTTATAGATGAGGACTTTGGGCGCTTTCAAAGCAAACAAGTCTTCCATTTACATATCTTAGAAGGCCATTTCCTCGTTAATGGAAAGAGACGAGGGAGTCTCCCACCAGCTATGCTCAACGATCCCACCACCCAGCTTTTATTTGGAGACCACAGCTTATACGTCTATCCTTCGTCCATGTTCGGTATGGACTATGAACTTGACCGCCTAATTGAAGATCAGATCATTCATTTTGGCCGACGCGACTCTCGGGTCATTATTCGAGCACAGAAAGGAGATGTGATTTACGAATTTATCCCCAAAGAGATATTTAAGCTGAATCTGATGACATTTGATCTACCTATGAGTCTGGTAGATTCTTGCTATCATTGGCTCAATTTAGATGAGAGCATTTTGGAAATTCGGCGACATCCTTCAATTTGGTGGAGCCGGACTCGCGACTGGAAATTGAACTTTTCTCAGCGAACAGCAGTTCGTGGTGAAAACGTGAGACTAGTTGATCCACGATCTGCCGTGTTTCAACAAGTGGCCAATGCATTTCAGCATTTTGAAATGCCACAAAAGCTAACAGTCTTCCAACCGTTGGCACGAAGAGGCACGCTGTCAGTTGAACTACGTCACTTAGATCTTGAGTTCTACGTCAATAACAGGGGCATACTTCACTGCAGGCAGCTCAAAGCCTTCCTCGACCTCAATCAAGACGCTGGAACATGGTATGGGCTTACCAGTAAGATTGTGTTACGAGATATGCAAGATGAGAAGAAGAGAAGCATAATTGTACCCAATGGAAAATTGACATGGGCACGCCACCACAGCGGCGTGCATGTATCCTCTTTCACAAAGGACTCTGATGGGTATTTCCGATTTGACATTGACGAGACTCTTGGCCGCTTATCTGCACCAGCGGAACCACTTTTGCTGTACAAAAAAGCTCTATACCACGCTGTTACATCCTTCTGTTTACCAGATCCTCTAACAGGAGTAACCGGAACGGAGGAAGCAATTCGCATTCTGAAGTCTGGTACAGCCCAACCATGGTCACCAGATTGTTCTCCGAATCTTCAAGAGTTTATATCCCTGCTCCCTCAACGAGATTATTATCCTGCAGAGCTCAAACGTTTACAGAGGGTAAAATGGAATGAGTTGCTTACGGTGACAGTTCAAAGCGACCAATTTGAAGGTCTGATCCAAAAAATAGAGGAGAAGGCAGCCAAGCTCATTAAATTCTCTCAAGGGAAGGGTATTCATCCGATGCCTTCGAGGGAAGAAACCCAGCTGCGGCTCCGTGCAAAAGCTCGCCGCTCGCTATATGAGCGAACAGTTGAAGACACGGCATTTCTACAGCAATCTGATAAGGTGTACGTTCCTCGTGACAGATCATTAGACGCCAATAGCTGCCAGGTTTACAGAATTGCCAATATGATAAGCTCAAGCTCACCTCGGTTCGAGATCAAGCGCAGTATGCAAGAAATTCTTGAGGGCTGGGACTATATTGATGGCTTCAATGATGGTTCTCTGTTAAGCGTGGAACCTCTCTTGAATCAAATGGAAGACCCAATCAAGCAGCGTTTAGGATCACTCATAAACTTATGCTGTGACGAGAACAATGTTTTCTCACCAGTCTTTCAGCTGAGTCTAATCTTATTTCGCCCCCAGGCTGATATGGACGTTGTCAACTTCTTGGCGGCCTTTTGTTCTATCAAGGAACTCAGAGACTTAGAGCGTCCACAGGACTCTGGCTTTTCGGAATTTAAAGAACGCGGACCTCCTTCAACTGAGAATCTTCAACAGTTCATTGCCGAAGCATTTATACCGTGCCCCTGGGTGTCTAACAACGAGAAAAAACAGCAGAGAAAGATGGAAAGCCACGAAAAAGAGTGTGAAACCCAAGGGAAATTATTTGCTGAGGAGCTTCTCAAATTTTGGCCTGAGCTTCCCAACAGTATTGACTTCAGCGAGGCCCATAATCTACCCCTTATTGATGTTTCCTCTGCATTAAGCACTGTCAAGCCAGAATGGGTTCGCAGAAAGCAAAATGATCTGTTGGCAGCCTATATAGGTCAAGTTGATGCGACTATTTTGCAATATCAAGACCAGTACAATAGCTCAAGCTACTCTTTGAGGGAACCTGGACAGTGGCAGCCGAGAATTTCAAACTTTCTCAATACCAAGTATCAAGAACTTATACCATCTATTTCGCAAGATCTTGTGGTTAAGGATGGTCCAGAACTTTTTCGACTCGGCGGTCATTTCAAATCTACTAAACGAAAATCACACGACAGCGAGCTTCAACAAGCGCCACCTGAGATTGTCGAGCTAGGTCAAATACTAGACTCCTTCTCTAGGTCGCCAAGTGCCCTGCGTCGTGATTATAGCGGTGATCTTCTTCGCAGTTTGGAAGCCCTGGAGCATAACATCCATACAGCAGGTGCCGATTCGCGACCTTTTATCCCTGAAATGATGGAGATAATGGATGCAATTGATGATACCCAGGCAGCCGCAGCCTCATATTTGCAATTGATCAAGGACGCGCTTTGGTCAAGCGATACACGATTCAAGTGGCTCACTTTGGGGAACCTTCTGCCGTGCAAAACTCCTATTGAGATGCTCGAACTTTTGCAAACCCGCGCCAATCATCGATTTGGCTATGACATGAAGGAAGCTCTTATACATTATGGCTGCGCAATCGCCGAGATTCAGAGGTTAAACCGTCTGAGATCCGCTATTCTTTGTGGAGATCAGCGAGCTATGTATGAAGAGCTTCACAATGTCGGCCATGAGAACTGGGATCCTGTGCAAGAAGATTCAGATTGGCTGCTACTTGAGATTGACAGCAACATGTTGATTCGCACGGATCAAGTTGACGTTGCCCGAGCTATCATTAATCCCGTTTCGGGCAAGAATAGCGTGCTACAAATGAACATGGGGAAAGGTAAGGTGTGACAGAATACCCAGATCCAGACCAAACATTAACGTTTATTCTACAGGCAAAACATCATGTATCATGCCCATGGCCGCGGCTATGTTGGCAAATGGCATGGACGTATCCCGCCTTATTGTCCCTAGGGCTCTTGTAATGCAAACAGCTAATATGATACACGCACGACTCGGTGGCCTCGTCGGACGAGGAATATATCATATACCATTCTCGCGACAAACATCCACGGCAGATCATATGCTTCAGCTATACAAGGAGCTGCACCATGATATGCAAAGATCCAGAGGTTTAATCTTAACGAGCCATGAGCATGTGCTATCGTTTAGGCTATCAGGGCTACAGCGCCTTGCGGATAGTAAATCCAAAGAAGCCAAAACAATGATCAACTTCCAGAAATGGCTTGATACCCACTGTCGAGATATACTGGATGAATCAGATTTCACACTATCTCCGAAAACTCAGTTGAACTATCCTAGCGGATCAGAAAAAGCAGTCGACGGGCATCCATTCCGATGGCGGGTTGCTCAGGGCCTTTTGTCTATGGTGTGCGAGTATGTGCCGCGATTACTGAAAGGTTTTCCAGGAAGTATAGAAGTTCTGGCAACATCTAGCTGGCTTCCTACTATTCAATTCCTCCGTACTGATGTCGAAGATGAGCTTCACCGGCTCATAGTAGAAGATGTCGCCGCCGGCAAAGCTCCGTTCCTCTACAGAGAAGTGTCAGTCAATGAAGACACGCGAACAGCTATCAAGCGAGTGCTTTCTGAGAAAAATCTTGATGAAAAGCTATTCGAAAAAGCAGCTAATTCTTTCTCACGCCCTGAGAGTGCGAAGAAAATGCTACTCACTGTTCGGGGATTCATTACTTGCAAGATACTGGTACTCTGCCTAGCGAAGCGATGGAACGTGCAATACGGCCTTCATCCGCATCGACCTCCCGTCGCAGTCCCCTATATGGCTAAAGGCGTACCTTCGGAGTTATCCGAGTACGGTCATCCGGATGTCGCCATCATTTTGACATGTCTAAGCTTTTACTCAGCTGGGCTATCATATGAGCAGTTCCGACAAGCCATAAAGCATGTATTGGACTCAGAAGACGCAGCGTTTGAATATGAGAAGTTGACTTCAGGATCAGTTCTACCTCCTTCTCTGCAGCATTGGAACTTTATCAATCTAGACGATGAATCGCAGATGAGGCTACTATGGGAGAATTTATGCCGAACCCAAGTCGTTACCGACTATTATATGAACAATTTCGTCTTCCCCCTTCACGCGCGGCAATTCACCATAAAATTGCAAGCTTCTGCATGGGATATTCCCCAGGCTACCGAACCAAAAACGACCCTCAAGGCACGAACGACAGGCTTCAGTGGCACCAATGATAATAGTTACTTACTACCTATGACCATTCAGCAAGAAGATCTTCCCGATCTTCTTCAGACAAATGCCGAGGTCTTATCGTACCTGCTGCAGCCTCGAAACAGGGGATACGCTGATTTGGTGAATCACAATCGACGGCGCCTCAGTGAGCGAAACATGCTGATGAAGCTATGGAATCTTGGTATCAGGGTTCTAATAGATGCTGGCGCATATATCCTTGAGATGGAAAACCAAGACTTAGCAAAGCTGTGGCTCGATGTCGACAAAAAAGCACAAGCAGCTGTTTATTTTCGTGCTGATAACAGTGCCTGGGTTACCTTCAGAGATCCGGCAAAGAGAGATGCGCCGCTGCTTGCGACACGGCTAGCGAATGATTTGAGAGATTGCGTTGTCTATTTTGATGAGGCTCATACCAGAGGAGTTGACCTGAAATTGCCTGAAGATGCACGGGCAGCACTGACTCTGGCACTCAAGCAGACCAAAGACACAACAATGCAAGGCAAGTATCTTCTTTGCTATCCCATGTCTCTCTGTGGTAAAAATGAATGCTAACAATCCAATTTTCATTGTAGCGGCCATGCGTCTTCGACAGCTGCGTACAACTCAATGTGTGACCTTCTTCGCCCCTCCAGAAGTCGATATGAGCATCAGGGATATTTGCGGTCAAAGATTCCCTATTAAACGCTACATCGAGTCTCCTCACGTCATTTTCTGGCTTTTAGAACAAACCTGTCGGGCAAATGAAGACTTGCATCCACTCTTTCGGGCGCAAGGTATCGATTACTGCAGACGCGCAAATGCAGTCCTGCAGTATCCTGACTTTCTTAACTCAGAGTTTTCAAAAACTAGCCTTGTCAAAGTATTGCAACAGCAAGAGCATCAAACTCTGGAGCAGCTATACGGCGGCTCATCTCACGACCCGTTGCAAAGTCTTGGGGAAATGGGCTCTGCTCCCCTTCAAGGATTCGTGGACAAGCTATCTCAAAACGATAGTACTGACGCTTGGCAGCAAGATGCATTTGGTGAGGTGGAGCAAGAGCGTGAGCTCGAAGTACAGCTTGAGACAGAACGCCATACAGAAAAGCCCATTCACTACGAGGCATTCCCATTCCCAGGCCTGAGCTCAACTATCGTAAATTTCTTGAAGACTGGGGAGCTAGATACTGCCGCTGGAGAAGTTGATCATGCCTTTGACTACATTGGTCAGGCGGAAGTTGGCAAAAAGCATGAGATTTGTAGCACTGGATCGAATTTCTTTGTCTCAAACGAATTTTGTCGGACCATTGTGCTCTACAAGAAAAAGAAGAATGTGGGCGATCGGTTCCTGGTAAGTCTAATTTGCCAAATATTTATCATCAGTCGAGATACTAATTATGAACATCGTTAATAGCGTCCTGTGGAATGGATTCTCTGGAGCATTTCCACTCAGACCGCCCTGGTTGTCATTCCAGAAGAGGCTGAGCTGCTTATTCCGAGGCTTCGACTCGCCGGTAACGAAGCAAAAGTGCATCTCATTGCCTACGCTGCGCCCATCACACGATCTATGACACCTTTTAACCAGCTTCGATACTATACATTGCCGCCAATTCCCCTCGATGCTGAATTCCCTTCGTGGTTCAAAGTGGAGCTGGGCATTTTGGCAGGCCGCCTCTACATGGGCTACGAAGAATGGAACCTCGCAAACGCCTTCATGAGGGACTCTCAAGCGGATACTCGAATTAGCTCTACGTTTCTATTGGAATGGCTTGGTGTTCGCTGCCGAGCGAATGATGTGCTCCACACGCCAATAGGATACATCTGTCTTGGAAAGACACCAGCTCAAGACCATCCGTTTTTCGCGCGAACTGCCCCTGTAGCGACTACGATGCTCACAGCCGTTCCAACTGAGGATGTTATTGAAGAGCCAGACAATGGAGAGTGGGAAGAGTCAGATGATGAAGAATGGAAAGAGGCAGAGGATGGAGATTGGGGAGGCGATGTCGCTGATGAGAAATGAGTCTTGTTATTCTGAGACTGTTTTTATACTGTCCTCCTGAATTGTGAGGGTGGGAAAGTGACTGGTTATGCTTGAATGATTAATCTTGGAAAAGATTAATTATGATGATTTGTTCTCGATTTGGGATAAGGTTGTTCGAGATATTGTGAATTTTGGGAAAGATGAACTATGAGAGTTTGGCCTCGATTCGGGATATCGATTCGGGATATCGATTCGGGATATCGATTTGGGATAAGACTGTTAGAGATATTTGTAAAGAGTTATTGATGCAATTTATTTGAGAGTATACATGAGTATCCATGAGACTATCGCAACTGAAAGTAAGAAACGAGCATGCAGGCACAAGGGTAGCAGTTAATCAGGTGTTTAGTTATCTATCATCGGTCATATATAAAGTCAATTTAATAGCATCGATGTAAATATAATACACATATGTAGTAATTGATACAGATATACGTGTCACAAGTATGTATCTCAAGCACCGCACCAAGAGGAGGGCCTCCATTCAACCTACCACCAACTCCAACCTCACTTATCGCCACCCACGCTTGATCCACTGATGTATACTACTCCAATGACCCCATACACACGGTTCCTCAGACGTTTGCCTTCTCATCCACTATCCTAACTCAGATTAGACCACCGGATTTATACCCTAGTTCCAGTACAAGGGGGGAAGAAATAGGCCAGTGCATTACACATCAGCCTCTTTTGGCCGCCTGACTACAACTAATCCAATAACAGGACGTTTCTTCAAGTCGTATTAAGAGTTTCCATGCCCTTCTGTTATCCTATTACGGTTTAAATCAACAATATGAGTGTCTCGTATACCCCCCCTTACACGCCCCATCTCCATCTATGCCTACATACGTACAAACCTACACCCCCTTTTTCACTCCAACTCATCTCCATAACGTTCCCCAAAGCAGAAACCGGCGTAGCCATCTTTTGCCTCCAACAAAAAGTTCCTTCTCCTCACTTTCTATCTCTTCTTAGCTATCTTTTGCCTCCAGGCTGTTCCCACCCCTCCCCCCTTTCCCCCATCTCCTCCTCCTTGGCATGGAAGACGTCTCGGGCAAATAGTAGACAGCCCCATCTTCCACTCTAGGTTCAGCTATTTACCCCAGCTTTACCACTTACATGAAAGAAACAAGAGGGGTAAAAACAAATAGTTTGACTTATATCCTCAGATCGTGTCGATTTGGGGGGGCAGTGTATGCTTAGCGCCAACATAGAGCCTTGGACGACTGCCCTCGATACCGAGATTCGTCCGGTTATGAACAGGATCAGAATGAGGGGGGGTCTTGACGCCATTTGTCTTACCTGCATTACAAGCCCAAATCCGTTCTTCTAGTAGTTTGGCTTGGCCTTCTTTGGTGGTCTTTCTCGCAGGTTGGCCAGCTTGCCTCGACTGGAGAGTTGGGAAGCTCAACCAGCGTGGTGTGGTTACGATATCGTTGCTGAATACTATAGCATTTTAGGATTTTTTACAAAATTAGAGTGTGAAGAAGAAAGCATTTTAGAAAATTTAATACATAAACTGTTAAATTCGAAGCTAAATTGTTGCGCTGTTCAGGGAGACCTGAACAGTCAGATATCGTTCCATAATCGTAAAGTAACCCATATTCCGTCACAAAATAATTCCCATAGCCCAACTCCTCCAGGGTTTCCAAGCCCTGTCCATAATTTCCCATCCCTCAAATTGCAAAAAAAATCTGAGCAGTTGTTGCTGAATCCTATATACCTTATTCAGCCTCCTAAACGTCGACCGCCTTCTCCACATACTGGACCTTCTCGTCCTTATCATCTCCATCGCGGTGCAATAGAGCAGCCTCAAAGGAAGAGAAGATGACATCGTCATTTCCAGTGCGCTCTTCGCCCTCGCGAACGAATTCCCACTCTGAGCGGGTGAACCTTTCAAGAACTTGGGGAGCCATGTTGACAAAGCGGAATTGCAACTCCTTGCCCAAGTATTTGCGCAGAGACATCTTTAACTCGATAAGTAGTAGAACAGCAGTTGTGTCAATAAATGAAATCATCTCAAAATCGAGAACAATGTAACGTAAAGGATAAGCGTCGGTTGAGATGGGCGCTATTTGTTCGCGGTGACGGATCTTTGCGACTCGTCTCTTCGTCGAGTCGTTCCAAACTCGGTTTTCTTCGGCAGCCTGAACCATTGCAGAAGTAGCTTCATAACGAACTTTGATATCCTCAACAATGGAATTCTTGAGTCGTTCAGCGTTGGGAAACAGCATATCACTAGTAAATTTGACTAGGTATGCCTCCGAGGGAACATCGATTTCTGAGTCCTTAGGGCGGTTCTTTGAGAAAGACCAATGGTTATTCTCTGCTTGCGAATGAGAAATCTTGACCAGACGAGGGAAAGCAAGCCTGAGGAGAGTGTAGGCGATACTAAAGCCGACAGACACGGCGAGACCAATTTCCGTTGTGGTGAAAAGGGTGACCCAGAATCCCAGCATTGAAGCAACAAAATCGATGAAGCTGATCCTCCAGTACCGATAAAAGAGCTTGGGGGGGGAGACGAGATGAGCAACAGCCATGATCTAGAAGTGATGGAGCCTGTATTAGTATCTCGAGTGTGTACCAGTGAAACGAGATGGAGTCTAAACTTACAATGATAGCAGCAAGAGTGGCCTTGGGAATCCAGTACAAAGCTGGAGCAAGCTCATAGAGAGTCAAGAGAACAAATCCAGCAGTAAAAATAAAGTTCAAAGGAGACCTAGAACCGGCCTCGCTAGAAACAGCCGTACGACTCATGGCACCTCCAGACGCCATCGAGCCTTGAATACTAGCAACCATGTTGGCAGTGCCGAGGAACAAGAGCTCTTGAGAGCGATCAATGTCATATCCGTTGCGTAGACCAAAAGCCTTTCCGACTCCAAGATGTTCAATCGACATGGCGATAAACGGGGCCACAGATCGACCAGCCACCTTGGCGAGCAGATTGGTGTCGTGAGTCTTAGCCTTGGCAAGTCCATTGGCATTAATCTCAGTCACAGCCCACATATAGTTCTTCTCGCCACGGTCCTTGTTAACACCCCAGGAGATGAGGGTGTAGATGATGAGAACAACCGCAGCTCGACTGGTGCAAACAAACTTGATCCATTTGTTCTTCTTGCCGATGGTCTTGCCAACATGCTCGAAGACTAAGAGCATCGCAATGCCCGTCAACCCAATGCACGCTGTCATTCCTTGGATTTTGTCAAGGTGGCCGAGGACTCCGCGAATAATCTCTACAGTTGTAGAACCGACGGTCAAGCCGACCAGAGAACCGACTTGCCCAAGCAAGATGACCAAAGCAACAGCTGAGATCCATCCAGTCAAGACAGGGCCGCTGACGAAGTCGAGTAGGAATCCAAGTTTGAGGGCTCCAACAATAAGAGCATAGACGCCAACCATGAATGCCACGGCTGAGGCAACCGTAGCCGGGTCTTCATCAGGCAAAGAGGCAACTGCCTCTGCTGTAAGAAGCCCAAGAACAGATGTCGGTCCAGTGGATATCTCTAATAAGTCGGAAACAAAAAGAAGCCCAAGTCAGCCAATCTGGAACAAACACTTGTAACGATCATTTTCGTGCATTTAAAGAAAAACGGGAGGTAGCGGGTAGGTATCCATTTCACTCACCTTTTGAAGTTCCCATGAACAGATAAAGTAAAGACGGAATCCAAGCAGAGTAGAGACCATGCACCACAGGGATGGTCGCAATTTTAGCGTAAGAGATACCCTGTGGCACAAACATCACACCAACGGTGATGCCAGCGACAAAGTCGTTCAGAAGCCATTTGGGGTTGTATCGAGGCAGCCACTGGACGATGGGGAACTTCTCATAGAGATACTCAGCCGCGGCAGACGGGGTGCGACGAGCAATAGGCCCAGCCCAGCGCTTGACTCTATTGACATTAGCATCGGTTTGATAGGCCGTGACAACATCTTCTTTGGCCTCTGATAGTTTCTTGGAAACTTTATCCATTGTGACGATCGGGAGGGCTCGGGATGTGTCCGTTGGAGCCAACCGGTCTGGAGGTTCGGAAAGGTCTCGGAGTTGCGGCAACTCGACAAGCCTCAGTGCAAACGTATATATAAATAAGAGCTAAGGCCGTTCTTGATGAAATAGATCGAACCAAACACCAATGCTCATAACCCAGGGGTTGGAGAAAGAGGGGGGCCTCTCCGACTCTATATAGGTGTGAGTATGAGGACTCTAAACCTAGGAGCTCTCTTCTGGAGATGATTGACAATGCCCAGGCAAAGTTGGAGAAAGCAGCCGCTCCAAGCTGAACGACTATGCAGTATTCGGATTCAAGAAGTCGACGCGAATGGATGGTGCCCTCACAAGGTACCGGTCCTCAGATGTGACGAAGCCCCGAATCTGTTGCATGCAGCACACCAACTTTATCCGAACAACCACTCTCCTTGGGCACAGCAGAAGGCGAGGACGAGTCACACCAACTTTAATCCAATCGTTAACGATTCACCGAGAGGGGTAGCATTGGGAGCTAAGAAATTGCCTCGACGGCAGCCAGCGCGAATCTAGACACACACACGCGACTGCCTGGCTCGGCAGTATTTCAACGTTCCTGGGCTGAGAGTGTCGTGCCGGATGTCGTTCTTTTCCCCATTGCGTCCCGTCAGGATAAATGAGCAATTGCTCCGTGCATGCAACGCGGACAAGCATTCGTCCATGGCCCTATCCCCTTGTACAAAATACTTACATAGGAGGTATATGTGCTTCGTACAAGTATATGCTCGTACCGTACTAGTGTGCCATCAACAAGCGGCCGCATACTGAGCTATGCTTATGGCCGGACTCTCGAGATCCATGAGACTGACAGGGAGGGTAGCTCTATACAGGCCTCCATGTAGGTAGCTCAAGGGCCCCTTTCTCTCTTTTCCCCCCTCTGCCTTATTTTAGTACTGCCACTTATGCATAAAGAACGACTCTTGATTCTCATCAGAAAGAAACGGTAAGTATTAGGTACAACAAACGCTCTCGAAATTGATGGGAAACGTTCGCTAACAAGATTCTCTAGCTTGCACAATGACCCAAAAACTGGTTGAAACTAACCGAGGACCATTGAAGAGGGGACAACTTACAAGCATGGCATCTCACCTCTCACGGCAACGAGCCAGCTGTGAAGAGTCGTATTTAGTCCATTTGCTGTAATAGCCAGCCCCCTCAGTGGCGTTCTTTGGCGATAGCTCCAAATCTTACCCCCCCGGGGAGCAAGGCTAGACACAATTAGCGGCTGACTAGCAACGATGCTGCCAGGAGTGGAGGCATTGATCTAATATTGCATTTCTTCAAGCACTTTAGTCGGGGGGGTTAGCCATGTTTCGCCCCTGTACCCGTTGAATTTACCTTTTCTCCTTCTCGCCCGAGTTGGCCATCCACCTTCTCCACGAGCCTGAAATGTCACTATTCGCGATAAAGGCCAGTCCTAAAATGACTGATCTGTTGTTGGGTCTCCACATTGCAAGAGACAGGCGGGGTTGAGGGAGCCCACCGAGCTGCGTTTTTATCAAGCGACGGCATCAAAGACTCAAACGACTAGGAATCGACGACGCCAGGTCCTATACTCCATGGCGGCACAAGAAATTGTCGAGGTGAGAATCCAGGGTTTCTCTGAGCTCCAAGGTAGTAAATCAGTTGCAGATTACCAAAGCAAGCCCCCCCAGCCGTGCCGGTTTTCCGAGTTGGCGGCTCTGACGTTGCAGCGAATGCGAGCCAAGACCAACAGACAGCGTATGCCCAGAATAGGCGAGAATTCTTTGGCCGGTACCCCGTCATGTGTGTGAAATTGAATGTGCTGCATGAGATCTTCTCTTCTGCTAGCCACATCTCATTCTGGCAAATAGTCTGCGAGGTGGCTCAACTGCAAAGACAAATGGAGGGTATGCCATCACAGCTGGGGCTTGGGGGCGTGTCTTTCCAGAAGGCCCCTGTTCCTGGGAAGGGGATTTCGCAGAGGTTCTGTCCGGACTCCAGATGAAGGTGACGAAGCTGCATATCCCGAGGCATCTGATGGCAATGGCATCCCGTGAGTGGTTGGAAGCAGCACTCCGGCAGATGCATCTAGTCCAGGCGGTTAGGAGCGGAGGCCACTTCTTGACCCCGGGTCTTGTTCGCTGGTTCGTGGAAATCTCCAATTCTCAAACAGCTAGACGCCATCTCCTCGTCGATTTAGCTCCCGGCTGCAAACAATGGACTTGCCCCATCTGTACCGATTCCGCCATCTGAGGTGATTGGGCTCGGCTCGACAGCCCTGCAGCCCCTCTTGCAGGTAGGCAGAAGACCCAACTCGGGAACGCTTGGGGCGATTCTGGCGAGCAATGTAACGCTGAGGCTGCATTGGTCGGTCCCTTTTTAGAAACAAACGACGTATAACTCGGGTGGCGTTTCCCTATTCTCAGCTACCGTTGCATCGACTAGGCCGAGAAGCCCCTGATTAGGAGAGCTATCAGAAAGCAGCCAGTTGTTGAGCAATGCTTGAACCGCTGCGAGGAAACTGGCCTGGAATGCTAATAACAACATCCAGATGGCTTCCTGGCTGTTGGTCAAGCACGAAAATTCGACATTTAGCAGTATTAGTTCGGCGCCTCTTTGCGGGGAAATGGAGATGAAGTGGAGAGGTTCTGCGAAGCTAGAAGCGGCATCACCAGCGAAATCACCCGCTAAAATTCAAGGTACGAACTAGTGCTCATAGTGACTATTTTTAGACGTGATAGAGCATCAAGCAGTCTTTGTCACAAAGTGTTTCTGTCCAACAGCAGTCTTCTCTGCATAAACTCCTATTTCTCATTCCTGTTCCTGTTGGTGATCCAAGATAGTCATCACATCCGGGCCCATGAAGCGCCAAACTGCGCCGACATATCAACCAAAACGGTGTACGTATGCAGCATCAACGGCACGGCGCGCAAAGACTTCCGATCATCGACATGGGTTGAGGGAATCTGCGGGATAGAATCCACAAACTGCGACCAGGGCTTGTAGTAACGCAGATGATGGTAGAGTTTTCAAAGAAGGAATATCAATTACGGGGCTCCGAGGGCATGTATCGTCTACCTTGTCCTCGAAGCTGCCCGGGTCCTGCAAGTACTCTGCAGTAGCAGCATATGCATGTACAAGGAATTCCAAATCGAGGTCTTACAGAGATAGTCGGCGAATTATCGCATTACAAAGCTGAAACCCGGTTCGCAGTCAAGAGGTTACATAAAGGCGCTCATCGCCAAGACTCGGAATCTACACGCCTCTCAGATGCCCAGGCTGCCGTGTCACGTCGCACAGAAGACGCCAAGTATTCCATCGACGACACTTACAGGGCATAACCGAATAAATTCTCAAGTACCGTAGCATGGGATACGGAGCAACATATACAACGTACCTACTTGTAGTACGTGGTGTTTTTAATTTATTCATCTTCATTCAGCAATGATCGCCGTCCCCAGGCCCTGCGACATAGTTTAACGTCCAGCCGGCAAAGCCGTCTTCGGCTTCCCATATCCGCGGCGGTAACAGGAAGACGAGCAGGATATCGTCAAAAACACCATGTTTGACTACAATAACATCTCATCAAAGCAAGAAGCCAGGCACTGCAACTCACCCTTGTCCCTTATTTGCTCTCTTGCATGTGTCCTGGAGCCTTGCTATGCCAGTCATCTCGTATAGGTAGCATCACAAATTACGCCGACATGGTCAGTAGATTTGAGGATTTTCGCCGTCTGCGCGACATTGAAAGATTTTTGATGTCTCGGCCATGTCGGTAACTGCTTGAAGCCGATTTTTGTCCGGCTGTGACCAACATGGATATCTTTTGGTACTTTGCTGTGATGTCCAGAATCCACGTACTCAACCTTCACTTGATCCCTCCAACATCTTGAGACATTCTCATCTCGAATTTGCCCCTTGCAACCCTCCTAACCTCCTACTTTTTAATCCCTCCTTCGTCGAAAGTCCAACAGCGTTTCAAACACTTCAATTTCCTAATACAAACGAAGATCCGAGACAATCCAGAAGATATTCGGCACGTAAATCTTTATCCCGAGTGGACGGCAGTTCAAAAGTCCCTCGAGTTTACACTTTCTCGCGGGTTTACATGATATTTCTTGTAAATCTCAGATAATTTAGCCTATTTAGAAGATGCCGACTTATTCAAATGTTGACATTCAGAAGCCGTAGACATGTTTAGGCCGCAATATTCAAAATCGTATTCTTTACCTCAATTCCTTCACGCCTGTCTTAGCTACTACCTTGAGAATACATCTGAGTGCCTGGCTCGGCCCGTCTTGATGCTAGGTATTTTGGGGCTTATGGCGCAATACGTTTTTAGCCGTCAGTATTGATATGGAAAGCCCATCATTGTTGAGCCCTTATCCACACGCAGCTTTGATATTCCTTTGCGCCGTATCAGCCTCCTCTATCCGAAAAACGCTCTACTCGCCACCACAAGTACGAGTCACTATGTGGAGCTCGACTTACTGCTGATAAACAAAAAAACAAAAAGACTCGTAGCAGGTGGGTGGCGTGCAAATGACATACGTAATCGCATCTGATATTCCTCAGTCATTTACCAGCTGCCCAAACGGGTCAACCTCCGTACGTCCAACGTGCCTTATCTCGAGAAGAAAATATGGTGGTGTTCGGTCCACGAATTTCATTGGCAATACATAACTCTATCCATCAAGCATGATTTCTTAATTTGAAGGAGTGGAACGGTTCTTTTGATTCTTTCGACATGAGCTCGGAGCGTATTACAGCAGCCGAATCGCACCAAGTTGGCCCAAATGCAGGGCTGCGCTTCTCCAACGCTGCTACGGCATTCTAGGAGATCCAAAGAGATGACGAGAAAACAAAAGGTCAGGCTTATCTGTAAGCCCAGCGCCACCAGACGACAGGTTATTTGTTGGTGCTGACACCACGGAGTAGTTCTAAATCGGTGGCATTGTTGACAGCTTCTCCCCCCCTCCCCCCCT